ACCCTTAACATTTAGGGCGATGAAAACTAGATGTTGTCAGATTCTCCACCCTGGCCGATATGCACACAAAATTTCACGAAAATCGGTCGAGCCGTTTCGGAGGAGTTCAATTACAAGCACCGTGACACGAGAATTTTATATATTAGATGGTATGGAACCCTTAGCCTACCCATTCGTGCAACAGCAGAAGCTCAATACACCAAGGCTTACAACTCAGGTCGACCTTTGATCTATGCCGTAATGGCGGTAAATTACATTTATCCACGATAAATTTCATCGAGGAACGAACCCGCTAACGCGAACCACGCGAATATCGGCGAATGACTCCGTTTCACACGCGAGCCGCAAAACGAGCGTACGGTCAGGGCCACGGGATTATCCGCTATTAGAAGTACAATAGTCACGATAACCGTCTCACCCCGCGCGGCCGAGCCTAGCCGCATCGTAATTGGGCTTAATGCCTAAGATCCTGTCCTTTTATTAACAAGGAACGTTCAAATTGGTAAAGTTAAGGGATGATGATGACATAACCTTGTTCTTTTCCGTTCCGGCCGCAACCGATATAAGTTTATTGAACAGATTCATATTTTTGACCGTAAATTGGATGTTTTACTCGTTGTGTACACGTTTTATAAACAAGATTCAATCCCAAAAATTAACAGCCCTCTTGCAAGAAATATTTATTCAATATAATGTAAAGCGGTACAATTTTCAAACGCCACGCAGTATAGACATCATTTTCATCATTTCAGCCTGTTTGAGTCGACTGCTGAACGTAAGCCTCGTCCTATGCCTTTTAAGGCTTAGGACTTTCTTAAAAACTTAAAATGATATATATGGTCTGTTTGGGCCTTGGATTCCGAACGTTCATCAGCGAACACCTAAAAATTAATGAAAAATAAATAGGTTGAGAAGTGACATATCGGAAGTGGATTCTATTTTTTATTGTTAAAATGTTTTCATATTAACTTTTTTATGTGAAAAGTTGCCAAGCGAGCAGGCGGTTCACCTGATGTTAAGTGAATGCTGCCACCCATGGACATCTGCTACACCCGAGGGTTGCAGATGCGTTGACAACCTTTAGAAAATTGGGCTCCGGCTAAGTCACTCACCAGACGAAACGCGAAAGTATTATACTTCCACCTTACGCCGGTCTTCTAAGAGGGCCACGCAGCAACCTCGGCTGTTGCACGAATGGGCAGCCCCGTCCGGGTAAGTACCACGACCACGCAGAAGACCGGCGTAAAGAGGAAGTATTATATAACAAATACTTTTGCGTTTCGTCTGGCGAGTGAGCCGGAGCCCAATTTTCAAAAGGTTGTCAATGCATCTGTAACCCTCGGGTGTAGCAGATGTCCATGGGTGGCAGCATTCCCTTAACATCAGGTGAACCGCCTGCCCGCTTGGCAACTTTTCACATAAAAAAGTTAATATGAAAACATTTTAACAATAAAAAATAGAATCCACTTCCGATATGTCACTTCTCTCCCTATTTATTTTTCATTAATTTTTAGGTGTTCGCTGATGAATGTTCGGAATCCAAGGCCCAAACAGACCATAAATATCATTTTAAGTTTTTAAGAAAGTCCTAAGCCTTTATTAATTGACTTCATTTAATATAGTTTTGAATTATTTAAAACTGCATTTAACTAAAAATAAGAGTCACGTACGACAACTTTTACATTCGTATCGTTTAATTCGTGTGTGTTTTGAAAACACTCATATGTTATTAATTACCAATATAAAAACTCATTATTTGTTTTTGTAGTATAATAATATTTTTAAATGAACAAGCAGCTTCACAGCAAAGCTGTCGGACATCAAGCCAGTGCTCGATAATTTTCTTTGCCATGTTGAACACGTTTAAGAACATCTGCATATTAATTCGTTCGATAAATTCATTATATCTGAGAAGCCAATTAAAATTTCTCGCCTTCATCACATTCTCGATGGTTCTAACATGGCACGTCCGTTAATCGAGTTATATAGTATACCGAGTTTATCATTATGACTTGTTATCTGACTAGCAATGTACATCCCTAGCACGCTAAATAAAACCGCATTAAGACCCCACAGCCATTGGACAGTGCGCAATAAATCAAAGATAGCGAAAATGCTAAACTCTATTTCTAAAGCCTCAAGACTCTTATTAGCCGAGCATAAATTTGTTGATGGAAATTCAATCTGTTACTATGTAGCATCAGGTAACAGTTCTGAGCGACGTCCAAGTTATAAATCCATTGGCAACGTCTAGGAAACATCTAGGCAACGTCTGTTTGTCCATCAAATGATTGGGGACTGTTACAATCACAATACGAAATATTATACATTGTAATGCATGCGTTATAAGCTTTCATTCTAGATCATACAGTTATTTCATACCTATCCCATAGAGTCGTGGTGTGACTTGCTGAGACAATTTCATAAGTTTTGGTCGATACTATCGTTCTAATATTATCGTCAGTGGCTAGATTGTTTAATACGAAGTCCAAGTCTCACACATTATTTCTGTATTTGTAAGTTTTATCAACTCGGAAACCTTCGCGTACAATATTTAACTAAAAGATTACCAGTACAAGAAAGCATACAGAAATAAATCTTAACAATGATTATCTTTATAATTTTATTTTTTTAAATATAGCTTTTAGATATATATCCTTAGTATTTAGATAAACTTATATCCCAAACTTCGTAAAAATATATATCATATATTCTATACAAATATTTATATTCGTATAGAATATATTATATTAAAACGAATATAGAAATATCGTTTTAATATCATATATTCGATTCGATTATATAGAATATATTCGTTTTAAGGACGTTTTACAAACATAAATTTCACGTGGACAAACACCCAGATGCCAAACGACTATCTATGGGCCACACAAATAGTTGTCCCGTGTGGGAATAGAACCCACGACCCCCGACGCCGAAGCCAATACCTGGGTGACTGCTAAAACGAGTTGAGACCGTTGGGACTGGTAAGATCTAAAAAAGCTCATTGGTGAATATGTAGAAAATAAAAACAGTTTCGTTCTTAATTTCCACAGCTATTTTGAAATCATAAATGGAGATTTCAATTTTATTATTGGAATTTAGATAGTGCAAATTGATTCCAAGCTATCGAAAATGTCCTGTCCGCACTACAATAAATCAATATTATCCTATGGAATCTGACAATAGTGCGGCGGCGCGGCCCACCGGGCACAAATGCCACAGGGGGCAACCGAATCGGCCATTTGTAATTGGCGCCGCAGTATCTTTGCAATTTCAAACTGAGCCGATAAGCCGATGATGTATTATTTCATCCGCACAATTAGTACTTGCGGTGTAACAATGCCTGCGACTCGGGCCGAGACAAAGCGGTGGCACTGGACATTTCCATTTGTCGGATATTAAAGCGTCTTGAACAAACGAATTTGAGAAAATCACGGAATACGAGAACATTTCGAAAGTAGTATCAAATAATGAACATAGATAAAGGAAACTCAAAATCCATTTGAAATTATAATACGACCGTTTTCCACCCCAAAGGGAGGAAAACGATTATTTCAGGTCTTGCCGAGGCTTGACCTTTCGGAGATTACTTACCCTTCCTAAACACGCACACATATGCTAGCTACTTACTATGATCTGTCTCTGAATGGATTCAAGGCCCCCGCGGGGAGAGGCGGCGGCAGGCGCGGGTTACGTCACCGCGCTCTCGTCAGTACCTGTCTCCGAATAGCCGGCAAGGGTTTGCTCAGGTCAAGCCTCGGCAAGACCTGAAATAATCGTTTTCCTCCCTTTGGGGTGGAAAACGGTCGTATTCCAGTGTTTGCCTCGGCTTGACCTTTCGGAGAAGTGTTTATAATCTGCCGGCGCTCCAAAGCGTACTGTGACTGGTGACTGAAATAAGTCCTTGTAAGCTCGTAATGGACATAAAGAAAATATTAAGTTCATATTAAAGAAAAAAAACTTTATAATCTAAGTATTTTCATACCTAAAGATTTTAATTATTAGAGTAGGTACTCGTTAAAACTAAAATCACATTTATTAGGCTAGCTAATTAAACTTTAATCAGACTTGAAAACGACTCGATAGCGTTATTAATAATGATTTAATGTAGACTATTCCAGGACCTGGGTACCATAAAAATATACATCACTAATAGTTATAAATGCTTAGGAATCGGCCTTAAAGGAAGTCTTAAAACATGGTTGGGGTCCTCGTCAATATCTAGATTTGCAGTAATGCTTAAAGACGTCGTGAGCCTACAGCGTCCTGAAGAATCATGTCTCAGAACATTAAAAAATCAAAGCTAGGGCTGATCTTATGGACAAGTATCCGCAGACCTGAAAAAGTCGTCTTGAGCCATCCAGCAATCACGAACCTTGACGCTGCGTTTACTTCACCTCGTGTCGTGATAAACAGATTGATATAGATCGACGCGTAATTGGCTGCTAACCTAGTCCAGAATCACTGGATCTTCAGAATAAATTAGGTGCCATCCAGATGGGTGAACTTGGTATTGTCCATTTCTAAACCTGAAAAGGTTTGACGGCTCGCAAATGAAGCGTCAATTTCTTTTTAACTAATCAGCCTGAAGTATAAGGTTGTTATCAAATACTTGAAAAATATTATCGGGTGACTGGCAAAGTCTTTTCTTCTTCTATGATTTTAGCAAAGAAGCAGAAAGATTTAGAATTTGTTGATGTGTTACTAGGCAGAATTTCTAGGGTAGGACCAAATATTTGGCTCGAGTTAATAGGGTATACCAAGGCTCGAAGCGGCGACGTTTTGAGGTTTAGGATTGTTGGGTTCTTTTTCCCTTTCCTTGTACCAAGATACCCACTGCTTCCATGCGGAACTGTAAGTGCGCCAAGTGGAATCTCTCCACGCTGATTGCAGATGCTTAACGTCATCTGGATCTAGGCAAACAACTAGTTCACTCCGCCAGACGTCTAGCAGATCTTCCACTTGTGAAGATGGGTGGTTGACAGACAGATCTATCAGACACTTTCAAATTGCGAATTTGAGAAGGAGCCCCCAGAGCCCGTCGCTTCAAGTCGTTTCTCCAGATCACTGCTTCCCATCGAGGAACTACTACAAGAAAAGTCCCCGACGACTTGTTGGGATGACGAAGCACCCTGGGGATCAGGGGCAGCATAGGGCAGTGGAAAAACCCGAGCAAGATTGTATTGCCAATCTCGGCTGAAAATGATTGCCTCTATTGACGCATAAGCTGGAACAACCGTTGACTGACTCGTGGCGAAAAACTCCACTTGAGGGGTACCCCATTTCTTGAAAATCTTTTTCACAACGTTCCCCTTGAGGTGCCAATCTGGAAGCCCGTTTTCGCACGATAGGCAATCGGCTATTATATAGTAGCGATCAGGCAGATAGAAAGCATGAAGCGTCACGTCTACACTGTCGGCTAACTTCAAGTTGTTGCTTCTAGAAGAACGATTGACCGTGTTCCTCGCTGATTTCTCAGGTAAGAGATTACCGTCCTGTTGTCGGATTGCACCATCACTGAACAACCTCGAATCGCTTCTTGAAACTGCGACAGAGAGCTACAAGCACCGAAGAGAGCTCTTTCCTGTTTATGTGCCAACTCAACTGGTTCTCTGACCACTGACCCGATAGAGAGTGATATCCAAGTTGAACACTCCAGTATGGGTTTGACGCATTTGTGCTTATGAGCACGTCAGTTCCGGAATTAAGATTTTGTCCGGAGTATTGATATGCTTGATCCACCACTGGCAATCTGCATGTGCTGATGAGGGAACTCCAAACTTCTTCTTGGGGTGCTCGTTGGAGAGTTTTCGACTGACCCTCTGAATCTGCCTGGTGTTAAGACTACCCATGGGAGTTGCCAAGGCAGCGAAACATAGTCTTCCTAATAGGGCTGTGCCTGACTTCCAAGACCATCGACCGGTTTTGTGAATATTTTCTAGTTTCCTCACTAATCGCGCTTTTTGCGTCTGACAAATTCATCGGATTTGTCGCTGCGTCCCACACGATACCGAAGAATTCTATCTGCCTCTTTGGCTTTATAACTGATTTTTTTAAGTTTACGCACAAGCCTATATGCTGAAGAATCTTTACAGCCAGCCTTAACTGATCCTCTAGAACAGCAGGATCCTGATGGGCAAAGAGAAAGTCGTCCAAATATACTTGAAGTCTTAATCCCTGTCTTCTCAAAACTCTTGCGAGCCATTTGATAACGAGGGAAAAAGCCAATGGCGCGCTGGACAGGCTAAACGGTAGAGATGTCATCTCGAATGGATCCCCCTCGTAAAGGAGAGACAGATACCTTCGATGGCTCTTTCTTATCGGTATATGAAAGTAGGCCTTACTGATGTGTAATTTCCCTAAGTAGTCACCCTCTTGGAGAATATTGGGAATCTGCATTTGATTTATCAAGCGGAACTTTGGCGGATTGAGAAATGCGTTCAGACGACGGATATCGAAGATCTATCAGAGCTTTACGTTTGACTTTGGTATGAGAAACATCCGCTACAGTAAACCGGTAGAGGCTTATGAGATCTCTCTACAACACCTGATCTTAGAAGTTCTTATAATTCTTTGGTCATCGCTTCTGACTTTTTTGTTGCGAACCGAGATTTCCCGCATAGAGGAATGGAGGGCTGCTTGGTTACAAAAGGAATCGCGTAACCTGAAATTATCTTTAGGACTGCTCTTGGAGCTTGTAAGTTCTCCCATTGTAATGTATAACCCCTAGCTGCCCTCCCCGAAAACCGTCAATATCTGCGATTGGCCTGTGACCGTCCTTTATTTCTAAACTGTTTCCCTATTTGTTTGGATTGGCTGGAACGGAAGGCAGACGTACTGGACGAGAGCTTGCATGACGCCATAGACCGTGCATTCCAAGGATTTCGTTTACCCTTAGCCTGTGTTGGAGCTTGCGTTGGTTTTCGAAAACCGGCCCTTGGAAATGAATGAATGTCCCCAGAGCCTAAGCAATCATCATCGGAATCTAACTCAGGGTGCGTACGATTTTCTGAAGGCTGAACAGCTTCGATCTTTTCCATGAGGATGGTGTACATATTATCCATCTTCCTCTCTAACGCATCATGCCTGGACATTAAAGGAGACCTCTTTCTACGCTTCTTTCTGGCTCTACTGTTCATTAAGACACTCCTCCGCTTACGACAAGTTCCTTCAGACTGAGAAAGATTGCCCGCCAGTATCCTGTCCGCTTCAACTCGTGTATGTAGAAGTGTTGAATTGCTTCAACAGACTTCTTAACGAGCTCAGTGCGTACTGCTGAGGCCCGGATGCGGTTTGCCACGGCTGCCGGACCTAGAATGAGGGCCTGAGTGAACGCCCAATCTAACAGTTTGCACTCTATATCCCTTCTCCGTTAGGCGATCCGCCTCTGGTATGAAAGCCCAGACTAAGCCAACAGTAGGCAAGGCAAATATGAGCTTGTTTACTCCCTGTTGAGCCATCTGATGCCAAAACAGAGGCCGTAGTGAAATAATCAAGCAGAAAAGAAAAGCTCAAACAACTCGTAAGACTTTTGTTTTGAAGTCCAAAAATTGAACAAAGGCTCAACAAATTGAGGCACGCTGCTCAAGATACGCGCCGCGCCGCCCGCTTTTTGAGCCGCGCCGCCCGATCTTTAAGCCGCGCCGGCCGATTTTATGAGCTGCGCCGGTCAATTTTCGAGCCGCGCCGCCCAATTTTTGAGCCGCGCCACCCGATTTTTGAGCCGCGCCGGCCGATTTTTGAGCCGCGCCGCCCGCTTCTTGAGCCGCGCCGCCCGATTTTTGAGACGCACCGCTTAATCTTTAAGCCGCGCCGGCCGATTTTATGAGCTGCGCCGGTCAATTTTCGAGCCGCGCCGCCCGATTTTTGAGCCGTGCCGCCCGCTTTTTGAGCCGCGCCGGCCGATTTTTGAGCCGCGCCGCCCGCTTCTTGAGCCGCACCGCTTAATTTTTGAGGGGCGCCGTCAAATATTCGAGGCGCCCCGCTCCAAATTTGAGACGCGTGCTGTTAACCTTTCGGGTATCCATCAGTAAGACAGTGGCTGATTGGCCGACATGTCGAAAAATATTGCAGCCGCAGTTTTGTGGGCTGAAATGTAGTATTCAGTACGTATATTGTGGATGGCATGTCCGACAAATACGAAAAATACTTAACACAACGTTTGTGGATGATGTGTCCGACAAACATGACACGTAACACTGGTAAATCTATAAAGCATGGAGCCAAAACTAAGAATCTTCTTTTACAGGCGAATCCGCACCTTAAACAGAAAAATACATACAAACTGAGACAAAATGAAATTGCTTACACTATATCCAATGAGTAACGTTACAGCAACGTTGAAACACTTTAAACAATAATAACTTATATTCAGATTAAGCAATTAAGCAAAAGCAAATAGCATACGTGCGCACGCTAGGAAAACATAAGCGTACTGACGAGAGCGCGGTGACGTAACCGGCGCCTGCCGCCGCCTCTCCCCGTGCACCCTTCGCGGGGGCCTTGAATCCATTCAGAGACAGATCATAGTAAGTAGCTAGCATATGTGTGCGTGTTTAGGAAGGGTAAGTAATCTCCGAAAGGTCAAGCCGAGGCAAACACTGAAATATGGCATTTAATCATGAAAACGTATACAATACAATACGACAATATCGGCCTATTAAGTCTAGTAAGCCAAATTGCGCCAACAATCCTGATCCTTGCCAACCCGCATCCATCCGCTGCCCACCACGTCGTCAGCCCATCGTGCTGCAAGTCATCCCACACTAAGTTTTTCATATGCATATCTTTATTTAACGTTTAATATTTGAAAACCATAACAGTAATATTAAAATTAAAATTGTATTTATTATACGAGTACACAACGTAAGCAGCAGACCTGATTGATCTGACATCATTGAGATAGCAATGCCGATACAGTGTTGGTTGAACAAGGTTTAAAAAAAGGTTAGGGTAGGTAGATTAAATTACGTGTGTAGATGAATGCGCCTACTCAAAAGTAACTTCTAACGATGATGACGATTTTTCTCGAGACAGAGCTTTTATCTATATCTGGTGGACAAATTAAAAAAAAAATATAAATAAGTAATTTATGTTTTCTTTTAAGGCCTGAAAATTAACTATGAGTTGTATTCAAAATCTGGTACATAATATCTACTATACATAATCTGTCATAATGTATAACTCGTAGTTAATATCTACATATGGGATAAAATGTCGCTCAATGGACAAATTATGGACAGGATAATATTATCCTGAAGTAATGGCAATGTTTTTAAAAAAAAAGAAAAAAAGAGAAAAAGAATTAAGCCAAAAGAGTCAGGGGAATAGCTACAGTAACTATTAAAATTAGAAACGGTAGTTTCTTAGAGCTGTGAATACATTTTGAAAACAGAATACTCCCCGAAGCTGTAGATCGATTGAGAAGATAAAAAGAGCGGTCAAATTCCGGCGTGCAGAGAACATAATGGTATTTGTACAGTACAGTTTAAAGTAAGGAACAGAAAAGATGTAGAGTTGTCAGAGTTATTTTTATCTATAGTAATAACATAACTTAATAAATAATACTAACTAATATAAAAATAATTCCTAGTAAATCTCTATTCGTAAAACTTTCATAACATGTTTGCCGCTAAAATGTTGCCGGAAGTCCCATATAAATGTATATTAAATAAAAGCTTTATAGTCGAAGCTACTTCGTAAAACTATTACACTGCGATATTTTAAAGGAAACGTCAGCATTAGCTCGTAATAAAATGGTTAACTTATAACGAAGGCCACTTCAATCTTAGTTTGTATCGTAAAGAAGTAATGATGTGACTGAGTTTTCGAAATAAACCTACTTGTCAACAGGACTTAATCTCAACGGGGCTTCATGGCTTTATATTTTAGCTTAACTTTATTTATTTTATTTATTTATTATATTGTACACCAAAAATAAAAACATAACATAATATATAAAAAGCAAATTACAAATGAATATAAAAGGAAGTACAATAGGCGGTCTTATCGCTCAGAAAGCGATTTCTTCCAGACAACCATTGCGAAAACAATTATTGCTATTGCGACGTAAACAAGAGAGCAGCGGGAGGTGTACATGAATCACTTATAAACATGGGATGAAGGCATTTATACATCAATGAGATAGTCAAAGATTTTCGGGAAAAATAGGAAAGGAAAAAGGGAAAGCATGAGTTCACAGTTCCAAGTAAGGAGCTTTTAATAAGTTTTAAAAAGAAAGAAGTGACTTAGCTTGTCGAATGTCACGGGGCAAAGAATTCCACAAACGCACAGCTATCGATGTAAAAGATTTTTTATCTGTCAATCAATGTTAGAGATTTTTCTTTATAGAAAGGCGTTCACTTCATCTTCGTGGTTTTTTCGTATATATGTATGTACATACATACATGGTATGTACATACATATATATGAAACGGGGGGGGAAGCTAGGGTATGGTCTTGGTAGGAATCGCTGTAAGTGAGAGCAGCATTACCTATAAAGTGCCAAGAAACCATCTGCTATAGTCGTGGCGGAGTACCATAAAGCAGAGCCTTAGCCAGTCCGAGTTATCCACGTCCCCGTCGTCCTCCCTGGGACCTGCTGCAAGCGCGCAGTCGCGCGTACGCCACCCTAAGTTGCAGCTGAGCTAACGGATGCAGGGCGAAGAGCGAATATTCTGCGCCTTAAAACAGAACCGACTCACTAGGGAGGATACCCGAAACGAAACCGAGCATATCCGTAGGCTCTAAAGTGGCAGCCCCGCTATCGGATTAAGGCACAGTGGGCTAATCCCTCGCTTGCCCGACAATGACAGATTCAAGAAACCGAAACAGTAGAAAACCGGACCGATCCATTACTGACGACTTTTGGCATGAAAATACGGACACGAATTGCATTTTGGAATGTACGAACGCTTAGCGATGACAGTCGACTATTACAAGCAGAAGCAGTAGTACTATATACAACCTAGTATACAACCTGCAAATACTCGGCCTAAGCGAAGTGAGAAGAAATGGTTTTGGTGAGCTGAGAACACCTGGCGGATTAACTTTGCCGTATTCGGGTAAGGAAAGTGATGAAGATATGCCTCGCGCACATCTTCCTCACTTAATATGGCGTGGGACTCCTCCTTTCTAATACAGCCAAGAAAAGTCTGCTGGACTGGAGACCAACCTCAGACCGGATCATGTACGCCCGTTTCAACTCAAGAGCTCGGAAAATATCGATTGTACAATGCTACGCCCCAACTAATGCATCGCTAGAGGATACCAAAGACGACTTCTACAATGCCCTTAATGCAACCCTTAGGAGTATAAAGAAACAGGATATCGTCATCGTCATGGGGGACCTAAATGCAAAGGTCGGGAGGTGATAACACTAACCACGAGCGGCACATGGGAACACAGGGCCTTGGTGTATCTAACGAGAACGGGGATCGATTTATCGAGTTCTGTCAGAACCATGACTTAACCATCGGTGGAACTCTGTTTATTCATGGCAACAAGTACACGTGGAATTCACCGGATGGAATCACTAAAAACCAAATTGATCATCTTGCCATCAGTTCCAAATGGCGTTCTTCTTTGCTGGATGTTCGCAACCGTAGGGGGGCCGATATAGATAGCGACCACCATCTGGTGGCCGCTGAAGTTCGACTTAAGGTAGCAGTAGCTCGAGCAGCCAGAGGAACGGGTAGGATAGGAAAGAGGTTTGACGTGAGCAAACTCCAGGACCCGGACATTCGTAAAACATTTCAGCTCGAATTACGCAATCGTTTCTCTATTCTCGAGACTACTAGGGATTCATTAGATGGAAAGTGGGACCGCATCAAGGTGGCTTATACTGAGACCAGCTCCGTCGTGTTAGGGCACAAGACTACTCATTCTCGCGAAGATTGGATGTCACAACATACATGGAATCTAATCGAAGACCGAAGAAATCTCCATCTGAGACTGCTTGACACCCACAATGACGTCGCACGTGCTGGACTTACCATGCAATACCGTCGGAAACGCAAGGAAATCTACTGCAGTACTCGCAAAGATAGAGGACGATGGGCGGATGGTATTGCTGATCGTGCTCTGCATGCCGCGAACACCGGTAATCTGAAGGAGCTGTACAATGCAACCAAAACCTTAGCAGGTAACAGCAAGTTAAAGAAGAAGCCGCTGAAGTCCAAAGATGGTCAGCTCATTGTGACGCCTGAAAAGCAACATCAAGCATCGCATGTGGAAATGCTGGCGCGAACACTTCGAGGAGGTCTTTCGATTATCAGCAACATCGACCCCTGATTTGCTGCATGCCGGTTCCCCACCACCCCAGCTGTTAGACGTCAACACGGAACCACCCTCAGCCTCCGAAGTTGCTGAAGCAGTCCTCTCTCTGAAGTCAGGCAAAGCACCAGGACTCGACCTAATAACCGCGGAAATGCTAAAGGCCGATATATCATCCGCTGTCGATGTACTGACGCCTTTGATTGAGAGGATTTGGACTGAAGAAGAACTGCCGGATGGCTGGAACAAGGGGCTTTTAATCACTGTGCCCAAAAAGGGCGATTTAAGTCAGTGCGATAACTGGAGAGGCATTACATTACTGCCAATCCCCTCAAAGGTCTTCTGCAAAATTATCCTTACCCGGCTATTGAAGGCTGTGGAACCCCTTCTACGCAAAGCACAGGCTGGGTTCCGTTCAAACCGATCGTGTACAGACCAGATCACCACTCTCCGTATCATACTTGAGCAGGCATCAGAATGGCATAGGGAGATTTATCTTACCTTTGTCGATTTCGAAAAGGCCTTTGATACTTTAAAGTGGTCTATCTGGTCCCGCCTTTTGGACATTGGAGTGCCACCGAAAATTGTCCGTATATTAGAAAATATCTATAAAAAATATACTTGTAAGGTGGCTCACGACGGCCTCATCTCTGATGACATCGCAGTACACGAGGGTGTCCGCCAAGGCTGTCTGCTTTCGCCTCTTCTGTTTATCGTTGCTCTTGACGGAATTATGCTTCGCATCTACAATAACGGGCGCCGCGGGATCGAGTGGGAATCATCTAAAGTCTTAGAAGACTTGGATTATGCCGATGACTTATGCCTGCTGAGTCATACACACGCCAACATGCAAGCTAAGTTGAACAACCTTCGACAGGAGGCAGCGAAGGCTGGACTAAAAATTAACATCCGGAAGACCCAGGAGATGCGTATAGGGGTGGAGAATTTTAAACCTATGCTAATAGCCACAGAGGCGGTGGAACGCGTCCACAAATTTACGTACCTCGGGAGCGTTGTGTCGGAAACTGGAGGAACTGAAGAAGACATCACTTCACGGATCGCTAAAGCTCGAGCTACCTTCGCACAACTGAGACCCATTTGGCAGTCACGGAAACTAACCCGAAGGATTAAACTCAAAATCTTCGGGTCGAATGTCAAGTCCGTGCTGCTCTACGGGTGCGAAACGTGGAAGGTAACAAAGAACATCTCACGCCAAATCCAAGTTTTTGTCAACCGATGTCTTCGTCGCATACTCGGAATTTACTGGCCCGAGACCATCTCCAAAATAGAACTGTTGGAAAGATGCCACGAGAGCCCGATTGACCGCCAGATCAAGCGTCGCATGTGAAAATGGATTGGTCACACGCTCCGGAGAGGTTCCGATCACATTCCTAAACAAGCACTGGATTGGAATCCTCAGGGGAAAAAGAAAGCGTGGTCGTCCCCGGCAAACCTGGCGTCGCACCATATTGGCAGAAGCAGCGAGCATCGGACTGACATGGAGCGAGGTGAAGCGTGAAGCGCAAGATCGTTCGCGATGGCGATCTACTGTGGACGCCCTCTGCCCCATCTAGGGGACATAGGATTTTAAGTCAAGTAAGTCAAGTCATGTATGTACAAAATAAAAGATTTTTTGAAGAAGGAAGAGGAATGTACAGGAGCTTGGTGGGAGAGATTGGCAGAAGAACGAAGGGACCTTTTATGGGATAAGGAAAGATACTCGAAGCGATCTTTTAAGTATTTCGGAGTAGAGGGATTAAACAACACGCTGTACAAAGCAGAGAGAATATGGGTATTCCTGCGAAAGCCACTTGAGCTGTGTACGAAAATCGGAAACATGATCATATTTACGAAGCCCAAATATGAATCGAAGACTTAACTTTATTAGATAACACTAATAGTGTTACTACTTTAGTGTTTATATTAAAAGACGGAGTCGGAATCGCGCACAAAGGGTTCCGTATCATTAGCTATAAAAACGACAAAAAAATCATGCCTGGAGCTGCACATAAATATTTTTCTGTTTTTTTTTTAGTATTTGTTGTTATAGCTGCAACAGAAATACATCATCTGTGAAAAATTGAACTATCTAACTATCACGGTTCATGAGATACAGCCTGGTGATAGACGGACCGACAGACAGACAGCGGAGTCTTAATAATAGGGACCCGTTTTACCCTTAGGGTAACCCTAAAAGAGAAACGATCTGATAGCTCGCCCGATGTTAAGTGATTACGTGATCTTATACATGTCCATGTGTGGACAATCTACAAGATATGAAGGTGCCTAAAAAATGGACTGCCAACTACATCTGAAACCCTATCTTAACCCAGAATAAACGGATAAATAAAAAAAACATTTTTTTATTTCTCCACCACCCACTATAACCAACTTAGTACTGTGAAACCTTTTAAGGTTAACATTGTCTCAACTTTTCTTTATCTGTCAATCAATGTAAGAGATTTTTCTTTATAGAAAGGCGTTCAGTTCATCTTCGTGGTTTTTTCGTATATATGTATGTACAAAATAGTTAATTTTATGGGGTAAAAGCATCTTACTCGTTAATCTACCTTGTAGTACCCAATGAATTCTATTTTCAATAAAATCGTAAATATTTTCTTGGATTTATGCGAACATTAGCATAGCTTACGAAATTTATCGAATATTAAAATTAACGATAGCACTGAAAAAGCACCGGGAAAATTGTTAAAAAAATAACTATGGTAATATGGTAAAACCACTCAGACGTCTTCAAAAACCAATGCACCATATGCATTAGTTTTTGCATATGATGCATTAGTTTGTGGTAAACGAGTTATCATGGAGTCGGAAACTAGATAAATAACGATAAAAGACGTTGCGGTTCGAACACAAAAAACACACAATCTTTCGCATTTATAACAAAGATGTACTTTGTGTCCGTGATTTCTGTAGAGATATGATATTTGTAGAACTTCTCATGACACGAAAACCATTCCCTAGACTCGGAATGACGGTCGTTTTGACGAGAGAATAAATTGTGCTATACATGATATGTTCAGATATATTCAGCAAGCTTTTCGTTATATATCATGTCTAGTGTTAACTGAATTCTTTGGAACGCAAGTCACCATAAATAGCGCCTCGCCTGATTGTTTTTGAAGCGTTAAACGTGCGTACAATGCAGCCTTATCTTACGACAGGCGGGTGGTGCGGGTAATTAAATAATCCAGCGGCCCACAGACAGTTTCAGAAAACGCCTGGGGCGGTACCGCCATTGTGAATTCTCTCCAATAGCCTAATGCGACGTTATTATGTATCAGTTCAGCTGTTATTTTGGACTCCCGTTAATAATTTCCGATTGTTTGAATCTTAACTGCTTTATTTCAACGCCCGGCTGTCGATTTAAGATTTATTTTATTTCACCGTTTAAGATATTGCTAAATATGATATACAGGAAATCATTTTTATATTAACTTACTTAGTCTCACTTTTAATTCAATATACTTGACCAGTCATCATCATCATTATCATCATATCAACCGTAGGACGTCCACTGCTGAACATAGGCCTCCCCCATTAACTTCCACTTCGGCCGGTCGTTAGCGCCCTGCATCCAACGCGTCCCTGCGATTTTGGCTAGGTCGTCCGTCCACCTTGTGGGAGGCCTTCCTACGCTGCGCTTGCCGTCACGTGGTCTCCACACGACCAGTGCGAGTGCAGATTCCGACACCAATGAAGTTATTAGTTGTAATTCTAAGTAATGATTTATCACGTGCTCTTAGTCGAAGGAGAGCATGGTGAGGAAACCTGCATATTTTCGAAAGGATATTTCGGAGATATGTGAAAATATACCAATCTGCAGTGGAGTTGCGTAGTCCCTCTGTGCAGAGGATGTCTTTGCCCAGCGGTGAAACATTCTCAGGCTATTACCTTACATTTTAAAAGTTACATTTTTAACTGTGGTAGGGCCACGCAGCAGCCTCGGCTGTTGCATGAATGGGCAGGTTCGTCCAGATAAGTACCACGGCCTCACAGAAGACCGGCGTAAAGTGGAACTATGCCAAATACTTTCGCTTTTCATCTGGTGAGTGAGTTAGCCGGAGCTCAATTTTCAAAAGGTTGTCAACGCATCTGTAACCCTCGGGTGTAGCAGATATCCATGGGCGTCGGTATTCACTTAACATCAGGGTGAACCGTCCGCTCGTTTGACAACTTTTCTCGTAAAAAAAAAGCTTCACCTGTATGTATGTATGAATGTAACGGAATCTTGAAACGTGATTTTGCCCCACTTTGAACGATCAGATTTGAATCAAACTTTGCACACTCATCAAAGACCCATGACAATGAAATAATTTAAATAGCTTTTCCATTATCCTAATCAGGACCTTTAGGATTTGCTATTTTCCAAATCCGATACCCGGTAGTGTCCTTGTGCATAGTACGCATTTAAAAAATGTTTAAAAATATAAAACAGATCTTTATTATCATATATATAACAAGCTGTGATACTATGTTCTTGCTATACGTCAATATTTTTATTAATATTGCTTATCTTTATAACATACGCACATATAAAAACTATAAATATAGTTCCTTCCGATAAATACGCATCGCTACGTATAGTTATGGGTTGATATATTTGAACCGTCAACACTTTTATAGCCAATTTGTTTCTAATTGGGTTATAAAATCAAGGTATGAAAAAAATTCGAAACTTCAATATTTTTTATTTCATTCACGAAACGGTAACATGAAATGTGTGGTGTTGGCGTACGTTTTAATGCATTTGGCGAAATATGTGGGGCTTTCTGAGGGATACTTAGTTGGGGCTGGGTGTAAGTATATCACTATTTAAAAGTTGGGAAAATAATAATATAAATGGTTAACACGAGTGAGCATAGAAGATAGAAAACATTTTTGTCAGTTTTTCATAAATTTTTATCCATTTCTTTGGTCGCACAGTTGCCCCTTAAATGATGTAATAAAATTTATATATTTAGCCAAAGCCTTAGGTGATATATTTAAATTACTTTTATTGTGATTGTTATAATAAACGTACAAAGCCCTAAATCGTATGGTGATGATGGAAATCACATATATTTTCCATCAATTTATCACATCCTTCACTATATCAAGTTAAGTTCTTTCTTCTGCCCTTATCCCATCCAGGTGGGTCGGCACAACATATGAATAATTTTTTTAATGGTATTAGCTGGGTTTTCGACATGAACCCTCCTAGGAACAAACACCCAAATCCGAAATAATTATCTGAGGATCGCACAAAAACTGGTCCCGTATGGCTTAGCGACTGCACCACAAATAAATACAATGTTTTTATCGATTACACAATTTTTTTCACTGGGAATCCGCCGCAGTGAACGTCCGGTTCGCCCAATTGCTCTACACCGACACCAAATACCAAGTTCTTAGAGAGGAGATGATAAAAATGAACACGAGAAACCTGGTGTACCACTGTCGAGCCGACAAGGGTGACTGTGACGCCGCCCTGGCTAAGATGCGGTACAAGGCGAGCAAACACTTCTACGCGCTGTCCAAGGCTGTGGTCGACTACGTTAAGAACAAAAGGCAGGCCCGACCCACAGGATATGTCGGTGAGTGTGTAGTCTACATACATCAGCCGCTGATGGTCGAAGGCGCCTGTTGTAAAGAGTGTATCGGACTATATTTTAGCCAATTTTATGTTTAGCGGTCATCGCGTAGCTTGGATATATTTAATATTGTCATTTCCAACTTCAAATTAGGCTCCAATAAACCATGTACCATGCAAAATGCAAATGAATAAATTCTTCTATTTCTGCTAGTCTTCTGGGAGACTAAAGTACTTACCCAATTAAAACACCCCGATACATAATAGATTTAAACACACCTCTAGCACTTAGAAAAAATATTTTTTTTAAGCATTGCCCTTACTTTAGGATAACATTATCCTGTGTGGTACGTACGTTTTACATACATAAATTTCACCCTCAAACACCCAGATGCGAAACAACTATCTGTGGGTCACACAAATATTTGTCCCGTGTGGGGATCGAACCCACGACCTACGAAGCCGAAGCCGATACATTGACAACTGCGGCACGGAGTCATCAATAAAATTGAAACTCCGATTTGATGTATACAAGCAAATGTATTTAATATTCACAAATTTATAAATAAATTTAATATTTACGCAGGTACAGCGACGTTCTGTCAGGACAATATTTGTGTGCCAGATACCGATCCACCAATCGTTTATGGGGGCTGTTTCACTTTAATATCCTGCGGTGGAAACCAGACCTGGCACCTGGATCCGGTTGTTTACAAAAAGAAGAAGAGTAGATTCTTTTAATGATCGATTCAACAAAGTTACATTTGATACAGTCTTTTATTCAATTTTACAAACCCGCTGATGTAGCTACCTAAAAAGTTGTAAAAACCCTATTTATTTATTTTCTATGTACACCTTTTCCCACTCCGTCTGATTATTTACCTCTAAATAATATGTAATGTAACCTTGACAGATTTCGTTTTTACAATTCTAAAAATTATATTTTAATGTATAAAACCACAAAAAATCACCTTCAAATGAAACTTGGCAACTTGCGACGTGAGACCATAGTATTGATACAAAATTTTTAACTGAAAACTTTCATTATGATAACTCAGATTAGGAATACCTACATGATATACAGTACCGTCTTGTGCTCAGGGCCTATATCGTCACGGGGACCCCGCATAGCCTACGAATTCGTTTAAACGAATTTATAAAAAATGTTCTCTATTTTTAGTAGATATTTTTCGACAGAAGTTTATAGAATAAATAAAAAAATATAAGATAAAAGCAAATAAATTATTTTTGTCATTCACCTTTTCTACTATCTAACCCAAATTTGTGTGCCCGAAGGGCCCGATATGGCCGAAGACGGCATTGATGATATCCTTCATACACTCGTAAACAAAGAAGGGACAAAGACAATTATACCACTAAATATCTTCTCTATCTCTAGATGACCACTAACAAGCTAAAGACTACGAACAATTTCGAGACCAGTTACGAGTCCGGCTCTGAGGCAATTTTTTCAGACAACAATCGGCAGTGCTCGAAACTCGTGACGTCCCACAGGCTGCAATAAAAAGAACACAGACCACCTGTTCCCATTGTGCTAACAACAATGCACGTTTCTGGCATTGTTGCCAATCGCGATAATCGTCGATAACAGCACGGGTGAAGTTTAAAAGATCTGTAAAGAGCCAACGTTTGTCTTATTAAGTGCTGTGGAAACATGCCAGGTGCGTTGTTACAATGAGACTGTTAGTTTGTCTGCTCTGTTGCCTGCACCGCCAATATGCGACAGCTGAAATTAGAGGCAGCGTCTTGGTCAACAAGTGAGTGGAATTTAATCAAACACTACGACATTTCCCAAGCGGGGTAAGAGATTATAACGCACCTAATGCACGCAACTAATTTGTCTGTAGTATGATCACACAACAGTCTTCGCTGTGCTTCGCATGAATGGGCAGGATTGTCCGGGGAAGTACCTCGTCCTTACAGAAGACCGGCGTCAAGTGGAAGTGTTATACTTTTGCATAGCCGGGGTCCACTTAATTAAAAGATGGCAGCACATCTGCAATCCTACAGGTGTTGCAAATGTCCATGGGCGGCGGTTATCACTTAACATCAGGTGAATCGCCAGCTCGTTTCTTACTTTTCTAAATTGAATGGAAATATGTTATTACTTCTATTCTATAAATACATATTTTCTTTTTCATACTATGATTATATAAAAGCTATTTATCTCCAGATTCCAGCATTCACTACATACACTGTACTGGTGGTCAATGAACTATGTTCATTTAATGAATTGGAAGGAGCCTATGAGAAAACAAGCAAGATGATATCAATAAGCTAATTCAGTAAATTTAGTAATGTGAACCCAGTTTTCATATCGTTGATTGATAATCTTCAGTTTGCGTAAACGTTTCACGAAATGCGAAATGTGGTTAGCTAAATTAAACCCATTACACTCACAATAAAGAAGAAGCTTTATATTTCACGTACCAAACCGTAAAAACAACCCCTAAATCAAAAACTAAAACTCAAAACTTTTTAATTTCTCCATAATAAATGACAGTAAACAATGTTTCCCAAACTTTGTCAATATTACACAGAACTGCTGTTTAGACATTTATATAACACTAGCGGACCGGGCAGACGTTGTCCTGTACACGCGACTTAAATCCGACAACACCTCATAATTTAAAAAAAAAACAAATTGTGAATCCAAACCATTCTTCACAAAAAAAAATTCATTAAAACCGGTCCAGCCGTTCTGTGACATACACACGTACAGAAGAATTACATATGTAAAGGTGCGTGTTTCTGCTTGTGTGTTTCATGCGTTCAGGCTCATCAAAGTGCAACCGGTTGGGAAGACTGTGGAGAAGAGCTTCGTACCGCTGACAGAGATCCCGCTGCCGCGTATCAAGGCGCCACATGGCCGCCGGCACATGGAGGATGAATGCACGAAGAAACCCGGCTGGATGGAGGTGCACGATGGACCCCGCATAGACATAGTCGGTGATTACTATGACGAGGATGCGGCGAAGACCGTAGCGACAGTGATCATACCCGATCACATCGATTGTAAGTTGACCGCTATACATTTCAAAGTCAAAATTAGAAATTTCTAGATCTACATCAGGTCGTCAATTTTGTAGATTCTTATCAAAGTCATTGTTCATTTCTCCTTTAAAAAAAGTGATTCAAAAAGAAGTCTAAAGTTGTGAGCAGTTGGGTGACATGCAAGTTGAGTTAGAGTTATTTCCGCTCATCCTCAATGAACAATACAGTAAAATAGAAAAGGATAAAGTTGTTAGTACATCTAGGGCATCATCTCAAACTCAAATCACATGATGAAATGTCGTTTAACTTTACGTAAAATTTATATTTACCAATGCATACAGGTATAGAGGCGTTAAAATGTTTTTGTTTACTACTTGAGGGCTCGTGGGACTGAAAATGGAAAGTGTCTTACTTTGTAGAATAATAATTGTGCCTTTCTAATTGTAGATCCTCAGAACAAAACATCACGCGACAAAGACAGTATGAAAATTGGATCACTCTACAATCAGGTCTTGCGTAGAGCAAAGATGTCTAAAAAACCATTTAACTTTTGTAGACTATTTTTCTCGTATATCATTTAGGATTTAGATGAACTTAGACATTATGTAACGCAAGTTTAGGAGTACATTTTTAGCCTCAAAAATACCTAACCAAATATTTAGGGCCGATTAGATTGCTTGTTACGGCTTCGGCCGTAGATGTGTGAGGTTTCGAAGACAGATCAAAAACTCAGGCGACTTTGATTTCGAATATTATATTTTAAATTTATATTACAAAGGATTCCGCATTTGTATTTTTGTCACAAAGCTTCGAATTGGAATGAACGTTGCACCCTCCCTTCTCTCTGACGTCGGCTCGGATGCGCCACCGTCGCACGCGATTGTCCCGTGTTGTCCCGGTGACGCCATAGATGGCGCTAGTATGCGCTAACATTGCTCTAGAGTTTATTTGCACAGATATATTTGTTTGAGATATGCATTTGCATTAAACAGACGACTTAAGAGCATCTATAATCTTTCCTGGGAATCTATTTACGTATAGGCAAAGCTGTTAGTTTTATGGTTTGTTCTTAGTTTTAGGAGAGTTAGTAGTTATACTAAACTACTTAGTTTCAGAGTTATACTAAAATCTGTAGAAAATGTACTAAAAGTTTTATGAAAAAGGGAATCGAACCCGTATCTTCCAGAATCGCACCCAATCGCTTCAATCACTAAGCTAAAGGGCAGTTTGCCATGCCAACGAAAATCCCAACGTAATTTATCTAAATTTTCTTTTCTTATTTTTAGCAATGCTAGGCGCACCTATTGCTGACCTGTACAGTGCACAAACTATTTAAAATAACGTTTTACAACGATAATACAAAAGAGAGATGTCGCCCTTGCTATTGAAATTAAAATTTTATACTAAATTTTTATATTGATAATCTCCGCACTAAAGATGAGATTAAAACTTATATTACGAAAAAAGGATTAGGTATAACTATCCGTAATAACTAACTATTAATACTAATCCCTTTTTGGTAATGTAGGGCAGGGCTAACAACAACTTTTTGGTTTACATGACTGAAACAGAATGGCTATAAATACTAGTTTTTAAGGCCATTCTGTAAATACTAGTATTTATAGTCATTCCATTAAAGACTGCATCTCTTAAAGTAACAAGAAATGTTCGCCTCGAGATGCTGTGTTATCGAAGTGCAATGTAAATGCCCTTACGCATTTACATTGCACTTAATTATCTTACTGCGTCACATGAAGCTTTAATAGTCTCGGGACTGAAAGCAAAAACATCAGTTAATACAAGACTTATTATCACTTATAGTGAAACGTGAATAGTGAAACGTGAATAGTGTCCCTTGTATTGAGCAGGCACGCAGACTAAAATAAACCTTTGATAGTACGTCATAAAAGCCTTAGCCAATTAAATCGTTCTCCTGTTGTGGTAAATTACGCAAACCCGTAAATAGTTCACGTTATCAAAACGTTGAATCACATTTGATTGTTGATTCTTTACGGGTGAAGTATTAAAAATCTAAAAAAAACCCCGTCAAAATCTCAGCCATTTTGAAATCAATCAAAACTAAACAAGTTTTAATTTTCTGTTTCAGCTAAACACTTCGAAGTGACCACTCAAGTCCCGTACTTGACGGTCGGCCATATCGAAGCGATCGGCTACCATCCGAGCACGGTCAGGAGCGAGCATCCGAGCGAATGCGAGAAGATCTACCAGGATCACTTGGAAGAGCTGTACTCGGATGAATCAGCGGACTACTCCGAGGAGTCGCTGGAGATGGCCAGAATGCCACTCTTCCCGGGTGGTTCACCCCTTGCTGCCGATGATAGAGGACTGGACCACATATATAGCGATTTGGACTGAAAACACTCATATCATTCATATTTATATTTTTCTAATCTAAATATATTGATTTTATACGCATTAAATTTTTCTTCGATCAAAAACTGAACAAGCTCTTGTAGTAACTTCTCATATTTAAAAAGATAAAAAAGACCTTGCTAACGTATTTTAAGACTTCTTTTAGACCAACTATTATCTCATCTCCGAGTAACTATTATGAAGAGGAATTCTTCCAATGATAGACAAGTATCTTATTATGTAATAATTTAATACAATGTATATTGACACAGTTTTCTTAAATTAACAACCATACAAAGTATCATACTCCACTTGACAACGTTTACTCAAAGTGGGCATAGTCCGCCGCGCATCCTTAAAGTGGATTAGTGAACTTGATATATTTTCAAAAACTTATTTGTCACCCGGATTTGAGATCAGCTTGCGCGAGCACAGTGAATTAAAATCGGATGAGATAAAGCTACCGCGGCACTTACGTTCGTTTCTTTATAACAAATTAGCGCTTTTTTTCATCCGACTTCAAAACAGGAGGATGTTCTCAAATCGATTTTATCTCCGAAATCCGTCATTGCATTGAACTCCCATGTAGTCTCATATTAATTTTTACATGAAACTTAGACATACATACATCGAGGGAACTCCTCAAAATCAAACAAAAATTGAGTAGTGAGTGAGATATTTGAAGTCGTTTTTTTTTCTGTTAATAACGTTATTAAATTAAATTGACTGTGAACGTTATGTTACTGGTGAACGGCTTTTTCTACGAAAGGTGTTTATTTTTATCTTAACATCTGACACTTGAATAAACTAAATAATATACATAATAACAATTACAAACTACAACTATCCCCTAAACCGGACCAGCAGCTTGAAGATTGAACTTGTTTGGCAGTTTCACATCCTTATCCTTCTCGTCAAATGCCTCTTCGGTGTCGTCGTCATCGAAGTCATCCATGTCTAGTGGTGTCCTGGAAGCGAAACGATTACATTATATTCCTTCGATGGTGTGAACAGAACTGTATTCACTTCTCACAAATAGCTTGCAGCCACACAAGCTCATGTTGTTAATTCTTGACAGATAGTTTGTTGTTAAACATAATTACAGCTATGCGTTTAATCCAGGCATCAAACTGATGATGGGCGACATGTCAGTGGTACTCACACATGAGAAAATTGGAAAGCGAAAAGTTTTTTACGCCTCAATGATTGATACCTGATCTAAAATCGCAAGATGACGTCCCCAGACGTAGTAGGCGTGCAACCATCGACTTAGGATTTAAACATTTTTTATTTGATTTAAATACATAAATGTTTTAGTGTGATTCCATTATCTTTTGTTATGCTCCTTTTCCTTTACATAATTCATGCACATTTACTCGGATCAACGTAACAGGTTCAGAAACTATCACGCCGCGCTGGTGTAAATAGATACAGTATAGGGAAATGAAGTGAAGGGTGGAATTTGAATACGTTACTCTTTATTCAACATTTGCGTACTCCATAGTGAAGGTAATCGATACTTATTTATTATTACTAAGTAATAAATACACTTACTTGTTCCAGTCAATCTTATGTCGTCTCCTAAAAAAAAAACAAGATGATTATGATCATCGTTGGGTAAATTTTCCGTTTCTTGAAATTAAATTCAAACTATTTTTGAACATTAATTTAAATTAAGTACTCCTCTTCAAAATGTCACCCTTCTAGAAATATCGATTTGGGCTTTCACGCCTCCTACCTATTAGTCGCAATGTAGTCCTGGTCCATATACTCCTCGGATATCTCAACCGAGAGCGGTTGCCCTCGATGATCTTGGAGAATGCCGAAGTATCGTGGTGCCCGAGTCACGGTAAATAAGGGACCTAAATAACAGCACTTTTATCTTTACGTAATAAAATTAAAGATCTAAAGAGTCAACAAAAGTACGAGTAGTTTACATATATTTTATACATTAAGAGACAATGTTTTTGTAAGGTACGTTAGGACATTAGCCCGCCACGCGACTCCGAATGCCATTAAACAAACTTTATTCGTTCATTTTTAGTGTTATAGATATTCTGTGTTATCCTCAAAAAACACGAAGTTTTCTTTCACTGCTGAGACCGTGGTAAATCGGCACAAAAAATGCCATTAGCTTCATTTATACCACTACCGGAATTTTAGCTCTGATTTCCCCAGTGTAATGAATTTAAAAGCAAACACTCGTATACTAACTACCACAGCTATGTATATAACCTTGTTGCTGATGTTGTGGCTTGTTTTACGCTCAATACACGTAAGAAACCTTAACAGTTGCGTGTTAATTGTGTGGAAAACGCGATGCGCTATAAGGTTAGCCTCTTAAGACAAATCACAAGCGCAATTTATGCGCTTTACGCGTGTACAAAATATTCGCGTGTTATCGTAACAAGCGGCCCCGTGCCAGCTCGGGGGCGAACACGTTTAGTTTTCTGAATTATGCGCGTCGCTCAGCAGGTATGGGAATCCGGCCACGCAACAGTCTTGGCTGTTGCACGAATGGGCAGGTCCGTCCGCGGAAGTACCACGACCTCACAGAAGACCAGCGTAAAGTAGAAGTGTTGCACTTCTGCGTTTCGTCAGGTCAGTGAGGTAACACTTGACGGCGCACTTTATAGAAAGCTGGCAACACACCGCAACCCTTCTGAATTTTTCACTACGTTCAAAAACACACAAATTCAAAATTTGTAAAACTCTAAAAGCTTGTATTTGTTTCGGTTTATTAGTAAAACTAGGACTTCATTTACTCTCATTATTTCACAATGGTGGAACATTAAATGTATCTAAATTACTGTCCGTAATTAATAAATTTATTATCTCGACATATGACATTAATAATTCAGTTCAAAAAAGTTTAATATGCTATAATATGTATATTTTATTTTGTTTAGTTATACTCACTATCGTCGACAGCTTGGTGTCCTTTAAAAAATATACATAATACTATTATCACTACTTGAAGCTGCAATCGCTTTTCACACATTTTAATCAATACAGATAAAATAAAAACCTAATATAATATAACCTATATGTGACTGGCAGCAATGAGTTTTTTTTTATTAGGATTATTCAATTCGTATTATGCCATAGTTGTGATCTATCCAAGTGGGAAGAAAACTTTCCAAGTAAAGGCGCCCGTAAAATTTTCGTATATTTTGCGGTACCGACTTCAATTTTGGTTCGAAGTTTGAAAATACGGTTTTGTTTACTAAAACTAAGCCATTGTTCCAAGTTTGCTCTAAGCCTTGATGGGGAGAACAATCTTGTGTAACCCGTAAACACGTGACTTCCAAATCACCATTTCAGAAATCTTCAACAAACGACATGCGTAAATATTTTAGCTGTTCATATTTATTAGAAACTAGCGACCCCTCCTACGGGTGCAAGGCTCGACCAATTTTCGTGAAATTTTGTGTGCATATCGGCCAGGATGGAGAATCGGACAACATCTATTTTTCATCCCCATTAATGTTAAGGGTGGTCCACCCCAAACATGTTTTTCCACAAATAATTTAGATGGCAGAACTACGTTTGCCGGGTCAGTTAGTAATATATATATATATATATATATATATATATATATATATATATATATATATATATATATTACTAAGCATACATGCATTAAAATCTAAGCATACATGGGGACAAACAGACAGCGGGACGACTTTGTTTTATACTATGTAATGATGAAAAACAAAAACGTACGTCATTTTGCATGGAATTACCGTTTTAACGCAAATTTTCATACATATTTATATTGGTATTGATTTATTTTAGAGTTTATTAAAAAATAAAGTGAGAACAGAAAAGAAATATCAATATTTATTATAAATGTTGAATTTTAATTATAAATGTTGGCTTTTAATTTATCCCCCATTCTAACCAGATGTTGCCAGATTTCTTTATATTTAAGTAAGATTGATAACCTCCTCCTTTTTAAGTCGGTTAAACACAGTTCAAGGTTCATGGCCACAGATTAACAATGTTCATCACGGCTTGATCTATGACATGACAAGGTTGAATTTATCAAAACAAACAGGGGGCAGTGTAAAAAAAAGAAATACGTATTTTTGAAATCTGTATTTAAATATTTATGTAATACCCTTTGTCTCCATGTCCAAGAAAGTTATAACGACTGATATTGCTTAAGAATTATACCCCTTGTATTTAAAGTAACGTTTTAAGTTTGTGAGGACTAAGTAGAAGTAGAAAGTCTGAAAGTGTTTAAATGATTCTTGCTCTGCACTTGCATGTCCCATTGCTGCTAATGGTCAGTAATGATACTGATCTGGACAACTCTGTGGGGCAGTTGTCAAGGGTACTGGTGTCAGCGCCGGGTTCGTGGTTTAAATTACCAAACGGCACAAGTATTTGTGTGACCCACTGAGAATTTTTTCAGATCCGGGTGCTTGTCTACGTGAAATTTATGTTTGTATAATGCTATTACAATTAGTGATGTGTCGGATCATAAAATTGTAGATCCGCGGATACGGATCCGGATACGGATTTTAACATAACATCCAGGAAAATCTCAATCTTAGTGTATCCACCGTCCTTGATTTTGTGTCTGATTCGATGGTTAAATTCGATTTTAGTTTTTAGAAATTGATAAAAAAATTGTTTCAAATAGCCCCATTTTTACACCCACGGATCAAAGAAATAAAAAAATCGCTTACAAATTTAGAAACTGAAGTATATCTCACAGTAACTACAAAAAATCCTAAGGACAAACCAATGTTTTTTGCCAGAATCTAGAGGCTAACATGTTATGATGGAATATAATATACATAAACTAATTTGCTCGTACAGTATATGTCAGAAAAAAGATTATCAAGAGAGCCACGATCCACTAAAGTATTGGCAGATTAACAGAAAAAAATTTTTTGGCGTGGGGAGTAGGTAGAGAAGTTGCCTCATGCGCCAGAGGGTGTGGGTTCGATCTCCACTACTGGAAAAATATTGTTTGATGAACATAGTATTTTTCCAGTGTCTGGTTGTCTCTAAATGTATAATATGTTACATTTGTACAAGATTGTCAATCGAAGACAATGTTACATTTACCCAAGAAAAGTATGTTTAAGTATGTTTATCAATTTTCTAGTACCCATAGTACAAGCATTGCTTAGTTTGGGACTAGAGAAAAGTATATCCGAAAATATAAATATTTATATTGCTCGCACATATTCATTTTTTATCATGACTTTTGGGGGAAACAGATGCCAAGTTACTCTTTTTGAAGTACAATTTACCGTTCCTTTAATTGTGTTTTTAATCAAAAGTTTACACTTTGAGTGTCACACTGTATTGATTTACTTAATTAGATTTATCGTTTTATTACGATTATAAGGGTAAAGATCCGTCAAAAATGTAGCGGATACGGTTCTTTTTTTACGGGTTGCATATCCGTTACCACCTTTTTATAAAGTGAGCCCTGTCTACCTCACTCGCCAGACGAAACGCGGAAGTATAACACTTCCACTTCACGCCGGTCCTATGTGAGGCCATGGTACTTACCCGGATGGACCTGCCCATTCGTGCAACAGCCAAAGTGAACGTAACAGAATATAACAGAAAATAATAGTGTATATATACAGCGTGTCGTTACAACCGCGACAATAAATGAACACACGTCTAACGCAACTTGCCAATAATCGTAAAAAAAAAAATAAAACGTTAAAAAAATCCATAGTTAAAAAATACATTTTTCAAACAAACTAATTAAATAAAAGATAAACAAAATTTGTAACACCTATAGAACTACAACTAACTGATTCATACATTCAGAGATTTTTTCACTCGTTGCCACAACGTCCCATTACAAGTCTCTCCTTCTAAGAGTATGTTTTATCTCTTTACAAATGAATTTTACGTTACAGTTTTATACGTAAGGGTGTTCTAAAAATGTTTTTTTGTAAAATTTAATAACTTAAATATTAATTCTTAAAGAATGTAAATGCTTAGTACAATTTTAAAAAGTTATCCTCTATATGTGTGTTCATTTATTGTCGCGGTTGTAACAACACTATATACACACAATACGTATATTTATTCAAACAATTCTTAAAAGTGAATGAGTTTGACTAAGGTGCGAAAAGAATTGGGAAAAAATAAAACTTAACATAACCTTTGATACCTATTTATTATCTTATGCTCATAAAATATCTATCGACAACCATCACTTATAAAATAGGTTCCCTTCGCCACCCCAAAGTCTTCGTCCGCCGTACCCAATGAGCTCTTGTCTCATCGCGTTATATTTCTTGAAGAATAACTTCTTTAAAATCCTTTTCCGTCGTTTATCTTCCTTTAGGCAAGACTCCAGCTTATCCATACAGACTTCCTCTCTGTAAGAAATTGGGTAGAGTAAAATTTCTTTCTTTTTTTTAAAAATCATTGTCATTACTTTAGGATAACATTATCCTGTGTTGTAAGGACGTTTTTACGAACATAAATTTCACGCGGACCAACACCCAGATGCGAAATAACTATCTGTGGGTCACATATATAGTTTTCCCGTGTGGGAATCGAACCCACGACCCCCGCCGCCAAAATTTTAAAGTTTTTTCGCTTTTCATTTTCACGTGTTCGTTTTAAAGCACTTGCACAGCGAAAACCGGCCATTAGCTTGTTATGTATGAAATCGCCTTACTTGTAATTCTGGTCTAACAGCAACTTTATAGGTTCCGTCTTCGTGTACTTGTCGGGCAGGCGCGAGCCTGGGGGCATTTTGCTCAGTTCCTTCATAATGCCCATTATTGTATTCTCCAGTTGGGCCAGCTTCGGCACCATAAGCCTTTTTATCACCTGGTTTAATTATAAAAACTTCATTACAAACTTAATTTGTAATTTTTTAATTTGTAGAGCCGCTGTGGGAATCGATCCCGTGTCTTCGGCATTCGCGGCATGACGCTTTAGACACTAAGCTAAACGGCTGAGTGCCACACCGACGAAAATCTTAACGTCTTTTATCTACATTGTTTTGATGCGTGAAGTATTGCTTCAAATGCTAAAAAAACAATAATTAAATATATCTAAGCATGATCATTATCATCCTCTTGTCCTTACCCCATCTAGGTCGGCACAAGATGTGAATCACGTTGTAAGCGGATTTGGCTATATTTTCTACGGCCTGCCTGACGTCAACCCTCCTTGAGAAACAAACACCCAGAACCGGAACAATTATCTGTGGGTCACACGACCCCCGACGCCGAAGCCACCGAGTCATCTAATCTTAATTATAACTAATCATGATTATGAACATCTTAATTATATCTAAGCAATGTAAATAATGTTCCTACACGCCTCCAAGAGCCCACACTACAAAAAGATTCCATTCATGCTGATAAATGTTGTAACTTATTCTCTCTTATAAATTATTATCTTTTAATTTACCTTTCCGCATTTGTTGCCAGTCTTACAGGGAGTTCTGAATCGCCGTCCCAGTTCCATCGTTGGTAAATTTTGAATCTGTGTTATCACATTAGTGAACGTACCAATAGCTGTTTTATCACCTGCAATTATTTTTTTACAAAGTCTCATCAAATATTTTGAGTGACAGATCAGTTAATAATATGATTTTTCTTCAGCGATTATGATTACGAGTGTTTTCAGATTAGTCAAGTATTCTTATAATATAATATTATATTAAGAAGTTATTTCCAAATTTTGTTCATTTGAGAATGATATTTCACATTGAAATTTACAATTACTCAATTTTGACTATTGAATAAATACTAAATTCATTAATTAAAAGCTATACCGATGTAAATTTATGGTACAATAATTCTGTTAATATTGAAAACATCATTTATAATCAAACTTGTGAATAGTCGAGTTTAAAAGGCGAAATTCTAAGACACGTACCCATTTTCGCCTTTTTTGTTTTGCCAACTCTCCCTATTTCCGGTTTGTATTCGTCGGAACTCTTACTCGCGGCTAAAACGGTGAGAAGGGTCAAAGTAAAAAAAGCACAACCGTACGCTTTGGGTATCATGTTCAGCGAGTATGATTTATAGAAATAATATTACTTCTAGCACGACTAGAAACTGGGGACTAACATTGTTGCGTGCCGCTCTTTGCCAGTTTACAAAACATGCGTATCGGTTGACTAATAATTGTGTAGTGTAATGGGCCGGTCACGTTTTCTCATGTTTATAAATTGTAACGGTTGCGTATTCGCCGTTTTGAATCAGGATAAGCGCAATTATACTTTACCGAAACTATTGATATGGCTCGTAACCGTGATAGTGGATAACCTTATCACTGGGCACCCCACAAATTACACTTACAATAAAAAAAAAATTATCGCACTGTCTTACGGTACACGGAACCATTCGAAAGAATCGAAAGTTCTTAATAAATTAATGCAATGCTGTGATTAACCAGTGACCGTAAATCATAAAACCAATTATCAAATCCTTGATAGTAGCAATAGCCTTTGATAGTAGTTTGTGGGTGGTAGGGCCACGCAGCAGCCTCGGCTGTTGCACGAATGGGCAGGCTCGTCCGGGGAAGTCCCACGACCTCACAGAAGACCGGCGTAAAGTGGAAGTATAATACTCTCGCGTTTCGTCTGGTGAGTGAGGTAGCCGGAGCCCAATTTTCAAAAGGTTGTCAACGCATCTGCAAACCCTCGGGTGTTGCAAATGTCCTTGGGCGGCGATATTCACTTAACATCAGGTGAACCACCTGCTCGCTTGGCAAATTTTCACATATAAAAAAAGGCTTGAATAGTGTGAACATATAGTAATGAGCCGCCTTCTGTATCCAGTTCAAATCCCAGTGCTGGCCCAAATTAAATTGTTAATTTTAAGTGTACAGCGGTGGAGGAAAACGTTGTGAGGAAACCTGCATATTTTTGGAATATTAACAAAAAAAATATTTGGAAGATATGTGAAGTCTGTCAATTCGTAGTGGAATTGCATAGTCGACCTCTCAATAGAGGAGGCCTTTGCCAATCAGTGGGACATATTATATAGGCTGTTCGTTGTTATATAAGCTAGTAATATAAATGTGAGATTTTTCGCTAACTTCAAAATTGATAATCTGGAAACAATTTAAAAAAAGAAACATATTCAGCCGAAGCTCATTTTGGTCACTCGAAACATCTTTATATATATAATTCTTATGTACGCGTGTATGTCACTGAACTCCTTATCAACGGCTGGACCGATTTTAATGAAATTTTTTTTTAATGAATGGTTCAGATTCACAACTCGGGCCACATTTTTTTAATTTTTTTATTTGTAAGTTGTTTTCGGATTTCAGTCGTGTTTACAGGACGTCTGACGAGTTGGCTAGATTAATTACATTTTCTAAATAATCGTTTACAATTATTATATTACTGAAGAACAAGCGTCGCACAAGACAATCAACAATAATTCTCCGTGCACAACTCTCCACTGAGTCCAGTACAGCTTGATTGTATTTTGCAGCACCAGCCCAAATACTGCAGCAGTATTCCATACAAAGAGATAGAAACTGTCCCGGTGTGAAATACCACTGCACTTTAGTAAGACCCCCAATATCTTTGAAATTAGTGATCACAATACCCGTTGGAATATTCTAGCAGTACGTTTCAAATAGTAGGAGCCAAGGCCTTTTTACGGTAAAAAAAACACTTGAGCTTTTCATAATAATAACGTAATGTGATCTAAAAATAAATAAGATAAAGTAATCTCCATCTAGGGCCTTGGCGATAACATCACACACAAGCGCCTAGCAATTAAAATTTGCAAAGATGATAAGCCGATCAATGCTTCTGAGATTATAGGGTAATAAAAGAAATCAAGACTTAGATTTGTATTAAAATAAGCGAATATTTTTATCTAAACAAATATCAAAATAATTGGTAAAAAGTTTCTAAAATAAATTTTGATAAAACGAATAAAACAATGAGAACCTTTTTACCAAAAATATAGTAGGTACATTAAAACTTTAAAAAAATGTTTCTGTAGCTTTCAGATAGGCAGAATAATAATAAAATGTGTTAATAATATAACTTGTAGAATATTAATAAAAACTTTTCTTTAAATCCTCTTTCACACAAAAACAAACATTTACAGACTAATTTAAACAATTTAGAAAATAGTTTTACTCTATTTTAATAATTCATGTTTAACTTTGTTTACACGGAAATAATTTTTTTTGCTTTATGATACTTTAATTTCCTTTATAATTCGTGTAATTTTTAAAATTATTCCTTATATACTTGACGATTGAAAGGAGAGCAAATAATCGCTGGAAGCTAGAGTTAGGACCACGATTTTGCATAAACAAATAGCATTTATAAATGGAGCGACATACCACAAGATGGTCTTTAAGCACGCAATATTATGTCGACACAAATGCATAACGAATGCTTATTGAGTTGGGCAAATAAATAACTGCCAACGCCAATTTGATGTCGTTAAGTGATGTCAAATATACACAATTTGTACTTCAACTACACTCACATGCTTTCATGGTCATACAACTCTTACTTTTAGCAATCACCATCATTATATCACCTAGTTCTAGTCATCTAAGGGCCATCGAGGTCGCGATTCGGACCGAAACCCCCATGGCCGTCGACTGTGCAATTAGCTAATCGGTGGCTGGGAGCGGTGAGAACCGCCCCGGAACGCGGGTGTACCTTGTGTACGCGTTGTGTGGGTCTCGCCGTGCTCGGAGGCGAGGGCGAACTAGTGTGTTTGTTGTTGCACTAACTGTGGGTGTAATATTATCCGGCGGGACACCCCGGTGGGTCCGGCGTATCTAAGTCCCCTTCCTCGAACTGGTCGATTAGGACGTTTCGCGGAAGACGCTTGTTGACGTTCGCGTTTGTGTCGGGTTGGTAATTTGCTGCGCTTACCACCAGAGGTTTGGGATGTTGTTCGGCTCTATCGAACCGTTTGGTCAGGTCTTTAAAATATTCGCGAATCGTCGGGATTCGTGCGTTATTTTGTACTATTTACAACTTGTACAAGCGAATAGGGCGCGTTTGGGCGAAGGTCATGCATGCGTAAGACATAATAGGTCGTACGCAGGTCTTATATCTTATCGTTTAAACGAGCAATTCTTGTATATATATATATATATATAATCGGAATGTCGGAAACGGCTCCAGCGATTTTCATGAAATTTAGTATGTGCGTAGATTCGGGGGCGAAAAATCGATCTAGCTAGGTTTCATTTTTAGAAAATGTCCCTTTATCCCTGTTTTCAGAGAATGAAAAATATCATTCGAATATGATAGTAAATTTCGCCCGAAATAAAAGGTTATAATAGCTCGGTCGGTAATCGGGCGGCCCCAAAACAGACGGCCGCGGTTCGTATCACGATCATTTACACAATTATTTTTTTTTTACTTTTTCTATACCAGATCATTTTCTTTAATTTTTATTTTTTTTATTTCCAAAATACATGATTGACCAAAAAAGATCCTCCAGGTACTAATAATAATTTGTGCCTTAAAGGCATTTTACTGTTAGCGTTAGTTAAATTGTGTAGCCGGCCGGAGACGAACGCGGCTCTATTGCGAACGTTATTAATGTGCGTAGTAAATGACATACGCGAGTCGAAAGTGACTCCTAAGTATTTGACCTTTTTCTCCCAGGGGAGCGGTTGCCCATAAAGGGATAATTGCCCCAACTTTCTGCGTTGACGAGGGCCATTATAAAGATATGACAGGTAAGTACTTCGTGTGAAGTGAATCGCCACACTCTTTTCGGGATTTATTCTATTCTCCATTTGCGGAACCAATCGCCGAGGCGGTCGGCGGCGCTTTGGAGTCGAGTGGTTAGTTGTCTAAGGTTGCGGTCTGAATAAAAGAGCGCCGTGTCATCCGCGAAAAGCGCGAGATTGACGTGGGGGTCTTTAGGTAAATCGCTCGGTGAGAGGCAGGAGCCTTGTGGTACGCCGGCCGTGAGGCGGCGGCTTGTGGAGAGGGTGCTTTCAACTCGATATCGAAAATAGTGGTTCGACAGGAAGGCCCGGATGGTGTGTACGAGCCTATCTGGCACTTTGAGCCAGATAGGCTCGTACACACCATCCGGGCCTTCCTGTGTACAGGTGTGTACAGCTTGTAAAGCAAGCCGTTGTGCCAGACCTTGTCGAATGCTTTTGCGACATCGAAGAAAAGAGCCCCTGTACTAATATGTTTAGGGTGATTTAGACCTTTTAGGATATGTTCCATTAGACGGAATAGTTGATCGGGACAGGAACGTCTCGCGATAGCTCGATGTCCTCTAGGAGACTGTCCCACGTTGTATATCGGTGTTTCGATACACGATCTTTGACTTCTAGCTGAAGGCGTCGAAGTAGGGTTCGGTTCGATTCCAATCAGAGTCGGTCGAAAGCGCGTTTGGCTGCATTTTTCTGCCTAATTAGCAGTCGCAGGTCGGGTGGAAAGTTAAACCGTCGGTCGCCCGACAGCTTAACCGTCCGTTCCGAGTCTGCGACTGTGGAAGTGATTGTTTCTCGGAGACTTGCTATCGCTCGATTTGCGTCATCGAACCTAGCTATCGTCTAGGGTAGGTCGACTAAGTCCTGGGGGTCCAAGGCTTTGAGTTTGACCTCAAGACGATGCCAGTCCACTACGGATTTGGTCGGAGGGACCGCGCCGGTGTTCTTGCCCAGTTTACACAGGACGGGCCTGTGATCTGAATATAGCTACACTATTAGAAGAATATAGCTGCACTACTGCTGCACTATTAGAAGCAAAAGGTCAGTTTTTGTGTATGGACTTCTTTCTTGGATAAGAAAAACATCGATTATATATGTGTTCCGTGCAGGTATGTCGTTTTGATTTATAATCAACAACAAATTTATAATTAACTAGCGACCCTCCCCGGTTTCGCACGGGTGCAAAGTATTATACTTATGAACCTTCCTCTTGAATCACATCTAGTAAAAAAAAACCGCATCAAGATCCGTTTTGTAGTTTTAAAGATGTAAGCATACATAGGGACAGACAGGCAGCGGAACGACTTTTCTTATACTATGTAGTGATGCACAGCAAAGAGACGTTTACATTTCAAGTGAAATTTTACCACAGTCACTCACTTGTTTTGCCTTCCCGGAACCCCTCCACTAACACTTAAACTTTATGGTATGGTATTAAAGTTCAAATTGACTTTTAAGTATTATTACGAATGTTTTGTATAGGAATTATATATAGGAATTATAATAGTAATAGTATTGTCTTTAGACTTTTTCAGGCAATTTTTTATTTTTTTTTCTTTCATAAGAACCTTTTCCTGATAATAACAAACACAACAAAAAAAAAGTAAAATCGGTCCAGCCGTTCACGCGAGATGGCGTGACCAAGGGAAATAGGGATTCATTTATATATATTACTATAGTAATCAGTTTATAACACATACATCATAAAACATAAAACAGTATAAATGTATATAAATTTTGATTAATTATCATAAAGAAAAGAACATTAACATGTCACACCCTCTTCAAAGGCCACTTATCGTATAAATTAGTAAGTTTTTTAGTGAATACCCTCTGTTGTTGTATTGTAATATATTATTAAGATAAATTAAATCCAGGATGGTTTCTCACGCCAGCTGCGAATATTCTTGGTAGATTTTATTGAAAATTAATGTTACAATTATTTCAAGATTTCTTTTTATTATAGTATCTGCACTCAATATGAAACTTTAAATTATAATTTTTTGTAGATAAATGTACAAAAACATTCGGCGCTGCCGGATTCGAACCTGCATCTTCCAGTATCGCTCCCTAAAATAGCTACTGAACTTAAAGGCATATTTTCATATCAATGAAAATCTCAACGTACTGTCCAATTTTTGAGACCTCGTCTTAATTGCCACCCTGCCTAGCGTGAACTAGAGATTTCTCAATTAGGATATTTACGTAGCTTCACTTTGGCAGCGTTAACAACATTAGAGATGTTGTTAACTACGAGTACAGTACTTAGTCTACAGTATAAAATAGTATTGTTTACATTATCGATAGAAGAGATACTTGATATCGAATGGACTCGTATCGCTTCATCCCTTCTTACGGAGTTACCTAGTACTTACGCTTATAATGAACTTATTAGTCTATTGGGAAATTTCTATTTCTATTTATTTTTATTCTGGATCTACGAGTTCTGCGATTCTTCTCATCACACTGCTTGAGTAACCATCACCTTAATTGCCATCATCATCCTCACTAGTCTTTTCCCCTATAACGTCATTAAAATGTTTCATTGATTAACCAAACGAAAATTATAATTTTTTTGTTTCAAAAATTATCATTCATTATTTTGTTCACTAAAAAAGTATTTGTAATTTTCTTGTGATAGTGGCCTAAAGGTCCTCGATACCGGGCCTTAAAGTTAAAATCCAAAAAAAAAATCATTGACAGATCGAGCTCATTTACGCGCTGATCATATTTATATTAGTTTCATATTTTAAACGCACGCATAACTTTATAGTAATTTACACATTTTACAGTTTAGTTAACATAATTTCATGCATTCTATAATGTCAGTTTTTTATTCTTACTCATCTTTCAATAGATTTTATATACTATAATGTGTTGCGCAGTTCTTTTGACTAACTTAACAGTGATATATATATAAAATTCAATGGAGGGTATTGAGGAGAAGCAGATAAAAAAATTTAACGGCCTAAACATTGGTGTATTAAAGGATAACATAACTAAACTTGATTTGAGTCACAGAAATGTTCGTAATATTGAGCATGTCGAATTACTACCTAATTTGATAGAACTAAATATGTCGCATAATAAGCTAGATACTAATTTGGAAATAATAAAAAATCTGAAGAATCTGAGAGTATTAGATATTTCATATAATAATATTAAATATTTTGATGACACTCCTAGCTTTTGTCATGTTATTGAAAACTTAAATGTTTCCAATAACAATCTTTGTGGGCCACCAGCATGGATATGGTTTGACCATCCTAAAAATTTAACAAAGTTAGATATCAGTTGTAATACATTTTTAAACAACAGTTTCCAAAATGGCTACTTTGAAGAATTAATTCAAAATAAAACTTATATTACAGATATTAAAATATATAATTGTGGGCTGAAAGATTATAAACAATTTTTTGGGACCTTCCCAAAGGCAAAGATAATTGTAGCTGGAGGAGAGGACTTTAGTTACTTAGGTGCTAACTCATTTACTGACTTTCCATGTGAAGGTCTGATCAAATGCTGTGATATAGAAAGACTTAACTTAAGTTATACCCAAATATTTCATATTAAACCTAATATAGATATATATAAGCACTTAATAGAAATAAATCTGTCACATAACGAAATTAGTGATTTACCCGATGAGTTTTGCAACTTAAATTGTTTGGAAGTGTGTATTTTATCATTCAACCGTATTTTATATTTACCAGAGGAATTTTCAAAATTAAAACAACTTGTAACTCTTGCTATTGACTCCAACGAACTGTGCATGCTGCCAGAAAATGTATGTCACCTTCAAAATCTTAGGAAACTAGATTTGTATGACAATTACTTATGTGAGTTGCCTGAAGGCCTGACCAGAATATTGGAGGTTGATATAGCACAAAATTATGTAGAAGAGCCTTTAGATGAAGAATATGTTAATAAGAGAGATAAGTTAAGGCTAAATATAGTTGGAAGATGTAATGGAAGGTTATTTTATATTATATTAATTCCATTGAACAAAACTAGGTTTGAGAAGCAATAATACCAATCAATAGTAATTTTTAAATATTCTCTTATAAAATAAGTATCAACCTGATAAGCAATAGATATCCGATCATTATTACATAACTTCCGACTTATGAATAAATATTGTTCAGTGAAATGTTTAGGATTACTTCTGTTTAAACTTTAACTAAAACTGTACCCATATTTATAACTTTGCAGGAAATTTGAAGTTGTCCGGCCTGAAAGCACTCGTACTTCTTACACATCAGATGATGAGGGATGTGAATTGCCATCTGCTAACCTAAAAGAAGGTAACATTGATTTAATAATCTTTATAATACATTGAGGACCCTTAAGGGAATATATTAAGATGACTTCACAAGCTTGAACTTTCCACTGCCTAATTTTTAATAAAATTCAATGTTATCATTTTATCATTAATGCATTAATATTTTAATTCCACTGTCCTTTTCACCAAATGTGCTACCATTTACAGCTTTGTGAAAAAATATATCTTTCCCAAGTAGTTACATGACCTATAATGCTAACAAACACCCTTAGGTGCCATTCATAAATATAGATAAAAAACATTACAATGCCATATCTATATTTTAAAAAAGAGTATTTTTGGCAACCAAGATAAAGCTCTCTTGCACAGTACGGTCTTTAAAGTGTTTCCTTTGCCTTCCAAAAAAATGTTAATAGTACTGTTATTTCTACTTCAAGTTCAAATGGTGGTAAGACTACTCCACTGCTCTCTTATATAATTTCAGATATTCCTGCAAATTCAGAGAATCGGCCAAGTTCTCCAGAAGACTGGGACTCTGACGACTACTGGGTACCACATTATTTTCATAATGCCACTACACCTCAATCTCATTGGCAGTGTTTCATAAAGCAAAAGATAGAGGAAGGTAATTTCTGTCCCATAGATGCCCACACAGTATCAGTAGCCGAAAAAGTCAAGTATGAAAAGATGTGTAACCCACAAGTTGAATATGAATCTGATGGACAGTTTGATGATTATTCCGGAGATGATAGCTGATGGTTAAGGTGCACTTTTGAATGTTTCTTTGGTACCCTTATTATGTCACATTAGCTTAACAGTTCATGAAAATTAGCTATATCAATCACTAACAGTAAAAAAAATAATATAAATATTGAATATTCATTTTCTCAGATTTATTTAAAACACCAATTATGGTGCTGAAAATTCGTCATTCCAAAAAGTCCATACACACTGGGATTTTTGGTACTACAGATGTGAAACAAATTCCAAGTTTTTGCATTATTATTATATGTGCATTATGTAGCATAATTATATGTTATTATATATTATATGTGCCTTATGTAGCCTAATTAAAAGGTATACAATAGAATTGTTTAATATAAACTTAATTGCTGTTAAAATTTAGTAAATGATGATCTGCGATAGTGCAAATTTTTAGTAGTAATATTCAATTGTTATATAGTTTTTATAATTTTTTTAACAATTACCATTGAATTAAAAATTAAATTAAATTACGAATTAAAAGCTAAAAATAAAGCATAATATTAGCAAATACAATGTATTGGACTATCTTAAAAAAACTATTCACTTGAATTCTCATAATCATTACCTTATTGTTGGATCTATAATGAATAAATTTAGTTCTCAATATGCTCGTTATAGCTCTTAATATTGCTATATTTGGATTACTTTCTCAAGCTGTTAAATTAGTAAACATTTTACAATCAAAGACTTTGTTTTTTGGTTTATTCTTCCTCACATTATGAAAGACATAAATATTTATGTAATCTATGCAATTAACTTATTGGCTATTTTGTTCTTTATGCTGGTAGAGAAACATTTGATGTACTAAGAAACAAAACCTTGTAATTTATATGTAAGTAAATTTGTATTGGCATGTTCAACTAGTTTACACTTTATATTTTAATGGCTTGTTTAGGATAGTTTTTAATTGAATAAAAATTAAACAACAATATTTCTTTTATTTATATAAAATTTATTAAAACTTTAAAACACTCTGCATTTCCCTCAAAATGTTCTCATGAATTGTACTTCTATTCTCCCTTGTTACCTAAAATAAAAAAATTTAAATTAAGCATGTGACACACAAAAAGTTTATTCTCTAATCTAACAGCCATATCTTAGATTTATTGTTATCACTTATTGACTCTATTAAGTTGTCACTTTTTCTTATTGGTATTGTAGGTAACAAAATGTTTATATATTCTCTAACTCACCAGCCATATCTTAGATTTATTGTTATTTCTTATTGACTCTATCAAGTCATCACTTTTTCTTATTGGTATCGTAGCTAGCACTATGTTGTTTGAGCATGGATTGAAAATTTCTTTTATCTTGGACTTGAAACTGCTGCTAAATAGTTCCATTTTTCCAATTTCATCAATTACAATGCACCCCTGACCCTCTGTTGGCTAAAATAAAAATGTACATAAAAATAACATGATTTTTTTTTTTGTTGTACACCATCTCATTTAATAAGATAATATTTGAAACCTGTGCCTAATGTATTGCTATTTGTTTTGGTAATAAGATATAATTATCGTACTTATTACTACAGCATATCTAATGAGTTTAAAGATGTGAGAGTTAGTATTCATCATTCAATGTTAATTTTGAATAAGGGAATGGTAGATAACTAAAATGGCATTAAACCTTTATATCTCCTCATAATTACAATTTTGTAAATAAACCAAACCCTTAGCACATAAACCTAAAGCAGCAAATAAACTCGAAAGGGCGAACAAACAAACATACCTTTGTTAGTGTTGGTAATGCAACATCTTCAAATTCCTGTAAAATCTCTAGCAAGTCTTCCTCTAGTTCCTTCTAAAGTAACTACATCAAACCCTAGTCTAACTCGGTTGTTTCTAACTTCTTCTGTATAAAAACCAAATGTTTTAACACCCTTGTTGCCGAGTGTTGCACATAATTTTTTTGTTAATGTCGTTTTACCGACCCCTGAAATCACAGATATGTGAAAAAAGTTTTGATTTTGTAATCTATGAGCTCAGACCAATAAAATAGGGTTTAATGGTCTGAGTCTACGAGTCATTTCCATATTTTCAAGAAATACCTAACCAGGTTCCCCAGTAAGGATGAAAAATGTTACATGCAGTTGAGCCATAATAATCTTAACCAATTATACTTTCTATTTCAAACGATGATTATTTGTTAAAATTAAAATATATCAAACAAACTCTAAATGTCATGTTTTGATAATATGAAATGACAGTAACACTGACGCCAGACGAACAGTAGGCTATAGGGATGCCGAAAAATATCGATATATTTTGATGCGACATATCGATATAAAAAATTAACAACCGAAATCGTATCAAAAATGATGTTTTTGTTCAAACTGATTGAAAGCCGTAAAAGATAAAAATAAAAAACTGTTGTCTATGACTAGTATTGTCACAGATGCATTGTTGCATTTTGTATTATAATTATGGTATTTATACTACAATTTCATGCCTCGTACTTTATACTATCTATATCTAAGGTATAAAGGTGTTACAAATCATTAATATTGAACTACATGTTAAGCTCATTTATAAATAACGTGTGCACTATTGTATCGATTGGATCAAAATATATCGGCTGAAAATAATATAGAATTAAATATATTGATACTTTTTCAAAATGCCTAATTACGGAATGAAGTCTTGGGTGGAATCATGCTGGATTTTGTACTATAATAGTATTTGTACTACAAGTTCATGTTTCGTACTATACTATCAATATCTAAGGATAGTACGAAAAATACTATAATTCCATTACTTGACATAAATAACCAATAAAATTACCATTCAATGCCAATCCAAAAAATCGATATTACCACATATCAATATCATTGCCAAATATTACCGCGGATTATAAATAAGTTTTTTTATCTATTTTAACACCTTACATCTAGCATTACAGTAAATATCTAATAAATATATATTTCCTTTATACTAAATACACCTACTACCGTAACAGATAGTTCACATTTACACATCACTCTAGTGAATTCACTCAGAGCACAAAAAAACAGATCAGTTATAGTATTTGTACTATAATTTCATGCTTCGTACTATATAATATCCATATCTAAGAATAGTATGGAAATGTACTATAATTTCGTTAATTCACATAAACGTTCAATATAAATCCAACAATAAAAAGATTTATTGGGTTGTATTACGTTGTAATGTTTTTAACAATACAAATTATTATCACGGAATGCAAATAATCTTTAACAATGAACTATTTACAGGGACTTACCGTTAAATATTTTTTTTCTATACTTAGTTGAAGAGTAACTTTGCATATGGCACTATGAAATGGTTAGAGTTCATTAATGTCTTAAGGGGCCCATTCACTATCCTGCCTGGCAGTCCGCCGTGCAGTACTGCAAAGCAGGATGTAGCCCACACACTATCCTGCAAGCCGTCCATCATAGTGTCAGTGTTATTGTTGTAATAATTATGGATTTACGTGAAGTATCGAAAAAAAAAGAAAATAGCGATTCTGCTATGTTTTTTGTTGTTAGATAAAAGTTTTTATTAATAAATAACCTTTCCTCACATTATCATACTAATATACATAAAATTTAAGTAATAATGTAAGCTTTTCTCAAGTTGAACTATTTCAATATAAAAAATCTTAGTTTTAGTTATCACATCAGTCGGGCTTCCCGGGATGCACACGTTTTTTTTTGTTTAAAATAAAGTACTGGGTACTCCTGTGTAGATTTTTTTCTAACATGTGAATAAAATTTAATTCCTAAAAATAATTCTAAAAAATTCCCTGTTACTTAATTTCTGTTGTAAATCGGTACTGTGTAAATTTACGAAGAAAAATCCTAATTTAGCATCTGTATTTTCATATAATATAGCGCAATTTTGCTAAGGGCTTAGTGCATTTTTTTTGTCTTCATATGGCAGCACTGCCGCTATGCAGGACGGCCATACCACTGACGCTCCTGCGCGGCGGACTGCAAGCGGTGGGCGCCGCTTGCAGGTCCCTTGCAGGATGCAAGGCGCGTCCTACTCGGTGTTGCCAGAAACTGTGCAGGCCTGCAACACCATTCACGATCCTGCATAGAGCGGTGGACTGCACGGCGGACTGCCAGGCAGGATAGTGAATGGGCCCCTTTATAGTACAATTAATTTATTATTTCTTAAACTAAGATAAGAAATAAACATAATCCATAGACGACATTGCAAAATTAATAAACTTGGAAGAGGAGTAAATTAATGCCTGTTTAAATCAAAGTTATAAAGTGAAATATATTTTTTTACAAATACTATCCTTTTCAATTTTTGTATTATGTTTTTCAACATACCTAAATTCAACTCTGGCTATGACGTTAACGCCCGGTTTCTGAAAGACTGATCATCGTCGATGTCAACTAATCAGCTATCAAATGGCTTTTCAAATGTCATTTGAGTTGCCAAAAAGATGGTTAAACTCTTTGAATTGATCATTCTAATCATTAGAAGATCTTTTTGGTCAATTCAAAGAGTTTAAGAGTTTTCCTTTTCCCATTAAAAAAAAAGTCTAACAATCCTTTTGGCAACTAAAATGAAATTTGACAGTTGACATCTACGATGATCAGTGTTTCAGAAACCGGGCGTCAGTGTACAAAGCGCGCGTGTCAGTGGCGCCTTGCTGTGCAGGTTGGTGCGGCCCACCAGCATCGCCAGAAGCAGTATTATACCCCATTCAGCTTCAGGTAGAGAAACCTAGCAAATTTGTTCTGCACACGCTCCAACATAAGTCTATACTTAGTCTCATGTGGAGACTAAGTAAGGCGGCACAACATGTGAATCATGTTGTAAGCGGTTTTGGTTATGTTTTTTACGACTGCCGTCTGCCTGACGTCATCCTCCTCGGGCAACAAACACCCAGATCCAGGACAATTATTTTTGGGTTGCATAAATACTAGTCACGTATGGGAATCAAACCCACGACCCTCGACGCCGAAGCCAATAGCTTAGCAACGGCCCCATCGAGTCATCACACCACCGACTCGATTGTCATTGAAATGTACATCTTTATTTATATAATTTTTCTGTACGTGTAAAATTATAAGAAGTTTCATAAGAACGCGCAAGCGTCTTTGTGAATAAAGATATTTTATTATTATTGGGGGGATATTCATTTGTTTTCTCGTCGGGTTGGGTTTATAAATAAAAATAAAAATATAGATACATATTGCATATATAAAATAAATATTATGGATAAAAATAAACATATACATATAATGTCGTATATAAAACATATATAAATAGGACCCAACCAGACGGAAGCCCTCGGCAGGGGAGACCAAACTGCCGAGGGTTAGGGCGATAGGGAGAGAAACCGGCGGACGATGCGGGCGGTATCGAGGAGCACCGCCTTCTGCATTTGAGCTTGTAGCGATCCGTCCCGGAGTCCCAGTCGCCTCAGATGTTTGGAGAGGCTGACTGGGATTAACCCATTCGCAGACACGACTATCGGGATAATTTTTATTATTATTATTATAGCTTAAGTCTTATTTTGATGTATAAGCAATATTATTGTAAAGTTTAATTCAAATCCATTCAGTAGTATTTGCGTGAAAGAGTAACAAACATCCATCCATACATACAAACTTTCGCCTTTATAATATTAGTAAGGATTAGTTTATCATTAGAATGTTATTTAAGTTTTCTTATAGCCTTTTACTGGATATAATTTTTAAGATGTTAATATAATATAATATAATACAAAAAAAAATTGTGAATCTAAACCATTCTCGAATCGAACTGCAGGTTTAGGACGAGTTCAGTGACATATACGCGTACAGAAGAATTATATATATAAAGAGACGATATCGCAGAACACTAATACTCTCGATATATCGATATTTATAAAAATTTCAATATTTTTATAAATATCGATATATTGAAGAGAAATTATCAGCGAGGCGTTCTTGGCACCATACCACGTGGATTAGATTTATTAGATAATATGTAATTTTAGATAGATTCAATGTTGTAATATTGGAAAAATAAAAAAATTGATAATGGTTTAAAAAAATGATATGATTCGATTTTGAATATTTTATATCGATTTATCGGATCTAAGTATATCGGCTTAAAATGTTAATATTTAAAATCAAAAATATCGATATTTTGTAATATATTTTTTCGACATCCCTAATGTCACCGTCAGTATAGCTTACAGATAGCACCTTATCTTTATTTATTTCGTTTTTGATTGCCGTATCAAAGTTCACTTGCAACGTCTCTCTTTAATTTTTAGTATTTTTAATTCAGTTTATTACCCCTTTTAAATAACTACAAGTAAACAATAATGGCATCTGTAGGTGTTATAACTCGGATTTTATTAAGTAAAAATTTAGTGAACACCGGTTGGTTGGCTTCATTCTCAAATACCGGTTTCATTAAATTCTACAGCACAGGTATGTATTATAATTTAAATTATATAATGACATACTTTCCAATTATTTTCATAAACATTGTATAGACTTATATATATAACAAATAACTATATGTTGTCGATACATTAAACTAGGACGTTGTAATTTTTATGTTCTTACTGATGTAAGTACACGATTTGCCGTATTGCAATCATCGGAAATGAATAGTTTCGGAGATATTAATTGTAGAATTATTGATAGCATTGTATTGAATAAGATGATACTTCACACCGCAGACTATTTTGGCATACAGTATAACATACGTGTGGAATGTACAGTGAGCAAAGCACACTTCAAAGTATTAAAAAATAAATAATTTCCATTCAGATTTGTTAACTTAACTACACTTTAGAATTGGTTCAAATGTGTGTGTAATTTAAAATTAAATGTGGCCTTACAACAAACTTGAATTCTGTAACAACATTGTCAATCTCGACACACCATGGTATTGGTGTAGTGTCTTTAGAGCCTATAGGAGCATAGGGAGGGCAGCCCCCGCCAGCCCTGACAAAGGCACAGGCATCGCGCAACGTGTAGCGACTGGGGCTGGTTGCCTCAGCCAAATAGTGAAATGTTGAAATTGTTGAATGCACTGAAGCCATTGAAATGTGAGGACTTTACACCCATATTTCTAGTAGCATCAAGCGGGAATATTTTTCAAATTTTCAAGAACCTCTGTATAATGCAGAGGGCTGGAACAAAAGTAATTGCTTCCAGAAATCATGTAAAAAATACTAACATTTGAAAATAGACTTCAAAAACTGACACTTCTTAGAGCCTTTTTTGTAACTTTTAACATAAAGGAAATAATACTTAGTTAAAAAAAAACAAATTTAAGTTTTTTTTTTATATATATTTAATAAGTTAATCATGTGGTGACCCCACCTAGTGTGCGATAAGGGCTGGAGAAGGAACATTTAAAAAGTTAGTCACTAATTCTTTACACCCGATCTTGTATCCAGTAAAAGCATTAACACCTTATAGTATTGTTTAATCCCTAGTGCTAGTCAAAAACCAACCCAAAAATATTTGCAGTAAAAAATTGAAATCAATTTTTATTACAATTTTGATTCAACATTTTATTAATTGTCTTTAATGATATACCTTAAGAAATAAAGACATGTTTGCGGTATTGTAAACCTTGACATGTTTACAGCCCGGCAACTTCTTATCTTTTATCTTATGCAATGCTCACAAATACTTAGTCATTTAAAATATCATTGTTTTAAGTACTGCTGAATCATTATATGCTCATTTCGTTTATTCATCTATGTAATGTTCTTAAATGAATAATACATGGAGTTTAAGGGTTTTTTCCATAAACTATTTTTTTATGCTTTTTCTTCATTTAAAAAAAAAGTTTTATCTCTTTGCTTACTGTCATTATTCTACAACTAAATTGGTTTTTACGCTTTCTCTATAACTGTTAAAAGATAATACAGATTTTTACTTTTAATTTATACATTAAATAAGAACTCCAAAACATACTACAGCAATTATTAATCGACTCAAAGAGACCTATATTTTCTTAAAAAATATTATATTATGATAGGCATATGTTATTTACCTTCCTTATCAAATCTCAAATGAGATAAGTGGTGGTCTCAATAAAAACAACACACAAACCTAGTTTCAAAAATGTAACAAGAATTTTCATAAAAACAATTTTTTTTCATTGAAAATCTCAGTACAATTATTTTGTACCTGAGTGATTTGTAAATGATTTTGCATTCTTTAATCACAAGTGAACATATTATTTGGCATATACGAGTATGATACAAAGTGTCACATAGGGCAGATCAATCCCAGTTCAGTTTAGATCAAAACACTCTCCTTGTAGGTAGTGAATTTTTAACTGTATGCTTAATGAATTTCCATAAATTCATCATCATCAAACATTAAACTAACACATAATTTTTTTCTGTACCATCCCAAGGTTGACTGGGAGATATTGCCTTTGGCAATAAGTCGGCCTTTAGACTATGTCCAAATTAAATAGATAAATTAAATATTTGATATAATGCATGTTTTAAATTCAATGTATAATTTTTAGCACCCCAATATGAGAACATTAAGATTGAAGTGGTTGGATCTAAGAAGAATGTAGGGCTTATACAATTGAACCGTCCCAAAGCATTGAATGCTCTGTGCAAATCACTTATTGCGGAGCTTGGCCAGGCTGTTAATGACTTTGATGCTGACCAGAATATTGCTGCAATTATTCTAACTGGTATGTACTACTAAATAAGAGATAGGTATATTTAAGTTATACATTTCAAAAGATTAATTTGGATAAACAATAGCTGCTATAGTTACAATGTTACAATTTTTTATATCTTCTAAAGGTAGTGAAAAAGCTTTTGCTGCTGGAGCTGACATCAAAGAGATGCAGAACAATACCTATAGCTCAAACACAAAAGGAGGTTTCTTACAGAGTTGGGAGGACATCTCAAGCTGTGGGAAACCGATAATTGCAGCTGTAAATGGGTTTGCTGTATGTTGTCTATTTTTTTATCATGATTATCTCATGCAAAATCATTCATTTATAAAATTGATATTGTTTATAGCTTTTAAGATCAATTAAAACAATTTTTTTTTTAAAGATAAAACATAATATTATTAAAAACCGCTAGCCAGGGTCTAAATATAATAATCATGTGTTATTCAATCATCATTTTAGCCTGATGTAGTCCACTGCTGGACATAGGCCTCCTAACCACTATAATGAGTCGCCTACATTCATTGATTCCCGTGCATTCGCGCAGGTCATCGTTTTCCTACACTGGAATAACCAATACAAGCCTGCCATTGGCTATCGGTTCTACGTGCTGTATGGCTGACGTTGTGAACTCTATTACACTGAGAAATAACTAACATGGCCGCAAAAAAAAATGATAATTATGTAATTATACCTGTAATTCATTATCAAAACAAATTATCTTCATATTTATAAAAATTTTTAAACCTGCATGATGACATTAAGTGTATAAAATTGAAAGTCATGAGCGCTACAACCAGTTTTTATCAATAATGTTTTAATTAAGATGATGCATGTCCACACTGCGTGGCGTTTAAAAATTGTTCGGCTATAAATTATATGACATATATATTTGAATGTGACAGATGACATAGAACGTTTGATGTGGAAAGAGATAGCAGTCTATAGAATTGTAATCTGATTACACCAATTGGCGTAATTTGAGTGCCTCAGTTTTGATGCGCTGGTGTCTAGTAAATAATAAAAATCATGTACTAACACGACAATATCCGGTGATATTTGCTCAATACCAATTATAGTATTTTCAAGTAACTATAGGCAGATATTTATTTGCGACACACGACTAAAACTGCTACATTTGCCATGGAAAAAGCTTTTTTGTCATTTTTCTTTTATTTTTAAATCCTCTGTCTCTACTGCCAGTCAACACATAAAAGTGGCAAGGCAAGATGTTATCAGAATGCTGTCATAATCTTTTTCGATAAAACATTCGGTTCTTCGCACATTTAAAGGTTTTGCTGTTCATTGTTCTGGCGATCGCTTTTAATTCAATATACTCGAACAACTTGAGTTCGATCCCCGGTGCCAATGAAATTGTTAATTTTAAGTGCTGAATTATCACGTACTCAGCGGTGAAAGGAAAACATCTTGAGGAAACCTGCATAGTTTCGAAATAATCACAAAAACCAATATTTCGAAGATGTGTGAAGTCCGCCAATTGGCAGTGGTGTTGCGTGGTGGACTACGCCCTAATACCCTCTGTACAGAGGAGGACTTTGCCCAGCCGTGGGACATATATGTATAGTATGTTAGGTACTTTACTTTTTTGATGTTCGTTCTGCATGAGTTTGACTGAAATTTGCTTCTCAAATGTCTATGTAATATAAATGGAAGGTAAAATTCGGCCTGGTTGAAATGCAACACCTGCCGCCTCTTAAAGGCAGCGGAGAAGGGATTCGCCATATTTAAGAAATGTTTGTGCATTAAATCGCTCTTAATCAAGAACCTGATCGACAATGTAACCACAGTACGGTATGTCAATACTAATCAATGCTCAAGGGCAATAAACTTTAAAGGGAGGGGGGGAAACCCCCGATTTGTGTTAATTAAGCCGGTGCATATTACTATTGACAGAGGGTATAGCGGCCGCCATAGATATTTCACCACCAACCGGATCCTAATGCCGATCTGCAGACTTGACATACCTTTAATTTTTCTTTCTAATTGTTACTAGATATTTAAAGTTTTCCCCACGATACTTTCGTAAAATGTATAGCTTCATTTAAAATATCAATGAACAATTTCATCAGCGCCGGATATGGGATTAGAACTTGGGTTGCTACTAGGTCTAACCACAGCGCCGCCGAAATCCAGTGACAGGTGTAGTTTGAGAAAACCGGCCAAGTGCGAGTCGGACTCGCACACGAAGGGTAAATATACAATGTAAGGTAAATGTTGCATGGGAGCCCCTCTTAAATATTTTTTAGTCTGCTTTTTAATATTGTTATAGCGGCTACAGAAATACATCATCTGTGAAAATATCAACTGGCTACCACAGTACTTGAGATACAGACTGTAACCCTTTGGGTACTACAGACTGGTAACAGACGGACAGACAGCGTAGTCTTAGTAATAGGGTTACCCTTTGGGTACGTACGGAGCCCTAAAAGTCATCAATATTGCAGCTGGGCGGGGGCTGCGAGCTGGCGATGCTCTGCGACATAATCTACGCCGGCGAGAAGGCCAAGTTCGGGCAGCCCGAGATCAACATAGGCACGATCCCCGGGGCCGGCGGCACCCAGCGGCTGCCCCGCTACGTCGGCAAGTCCAAGGCAATGGAGATAGTCCTCACGGGGAACTTCATTGACGCCCATGAAGCGGAGAAAATGGGTAAGGGCGACACTCGAAGTTCTGTACAAAAGCTGGTAGGGCCTCGCAATAACTGTGGTAGGGCCTCGCAATAGTGTTTTCTGTTGGACGAATGGGCAGGTCAGTCCGGGTAAGTACCACGACCTCACAGAAGACCAGCGTAATGTAGAAGTGTAACACTTCTGCGTTTCGTCTGGTGAGTGAGGTAGCCGGGGTCATTAGCACATTATTAAAATGTGGCAACGCATTTGCAAACCTACGTGTGTTGCAACTGTATATGAGCGGAGGTTATCACTTTAACATCAGGTGAGCCGTCAGCTCATTTGCCACTTTCTCACATAAAAAAATATAAAAAAGGCCAGCGGAGGTACTGCTCCTTTTTTCCTTTTACTATTTTAAAGCAAAGCGCAAAAAAATACGTGTGCCCGACTGTTACAAGTACAGGAGTTCTCACCGTTCTCGAATGAAACAATTGTTACAGTCGTTATAAAGCAAAGCTGTTTGCAATTGTATACAAAAAGGAAGTGAGAGCGAGACAGATAGCGATTAGTGTGCTTTCGAATGAAACATTGCTACAAAGTCATTATAAAGTGCTTGAAAAGATCTATCGCAACCATAACAAAGTGTAGTGTGAGCGAGACAGATATAGGTTTGGTACACGACGCATACGAGAAGACTGCACTTTCATTTGCACTACTCATATATCCTTTTAAATTTAAAGTCCATTTTCTAAACTGATCTAAATTATATTGACAATTTTAACTATTTTTTTCCTTAGGGATATTCTTCCTTTCAAGTAAATTAAACAGTGTTTAGAGAAAACATGCCTTACTCGATAATTTTGTATTGCAGGTTTGGTCAGCAAAGTTTTTCCCGTGGACAAACTTCTAGAGGAAACTATTAAGCTAGCGGAGAGGATTGGAACCCACTCCCCATTGATTGTCAAGATGGCGAAGCAATCTGTCAACCAAGCGTACGAGACGACGCTCAAATCTGGCCTGCTTTACGAGAAGTCCGTATTCTATGGCACTTTTGCCACGGTGAGTTCAGACTCGTGTTTACTTAGTGTTTAGACACCGTATTATTAGAAATACTGACGATAATGACACGAAACAAATAACGAATCAAGTCATACAAAAACAACATAAATCAGTAATTATTTTATCCTTGGACAGGGTAAAGGACTCACTCCTTTTCTGCTACTATGCCAGTGCTAATATGTACCATAGTGTCACGTTTGTTTTCTTATGAAACTTGTTTAACACTTGATATTGGTTACTTACGCCCAGTTTCTGAAACACTGATCATAGTAGATGTCAACTAATCAGCTGTCAAATGGCTTTTCAAATTTTATTTTAGTTGTATACAATAATTTTATTCCTAACAAAGACAACATAACTTTAACAGTAAACAGTTTGAAAATTATTACTATTAGACAGTCTTTATTGCAATTGTCTAGTATTATTCACTAAAATAAAACATGACTGTGTTTTAAGATCATTTATGTATCTGCGAATTCTAATTTTAGTATAATGGCTTATAATGTCACATCACATACATATATAATTCTTAATTAAATTATTAATTTTCGTTCAATTATAAATTGGCTATTGCTTCACAATCATTCCACATGATGTTTCTTAAGGATGCTGCAATCTTAGTTTTAAAAATTCATTATAATTTGTATTTCCATCTAATATATAAAATTCTCGTATCACGGTGTTTGTAATTGAACTCCTCCGAAACGGCTCGACCGAATTTCGTGAATCTTAGCGTGCATATCGACCAGGGTGGAGCATCGGACATCTATTTTTCATCCCCCTAAATGTTAGTTTTTTCTACCCTAAAAATTCCCTAGACATAATTTAAATGGCAGAAAAACGTTTACCGGGACAGCTAGTTTTCATATATTATTCCCCATTTCTGATGTGTTCATCAAATAGCAAATGTATAGTTCTATTTAAATTAAATCTTTATTTTACTTTACAGGAGGATCGTAAGGAAGGAATGACTGCATTTATCGAGAAGAGGTCACCCAATTTCAAAAATGAATAATAATGTTTTTAAATATATTTTTACAATTTTTACATTACTCAGTAAGAGAAAGTGAAATTTGTTATACAATTTTGAAACCACATGTTATGATGTCAAACAGCCAATATACATTCTATTTTTAATAAACCAAATTTTTTAATAAAACAAAATTATTTTTACTATTTTATTTATGGCTACTTCAGCAACAACAGTATTTATGTAATTTATAATAAGAGAATAATTATGAACAAGATCTGCTTGAATCTTTCTTTCGTTACCTAGTACCTAGTAATTTTTGATCGAAAAAAGTACCGATACGATACTTTGCAACTGAGTATCAAATAGGAGCCAGTCAAACATACTTTTATCTAATCGGCATCTACGTTTTAATTTAAAAAACGCTTGTGGCACCGGTCAATACGCGCGCAATTTTCGTATACACTGAATCCGTTAGAGGAATGGCAATATTTAACATCCGCATTTCCAGCAGCAACAAGCGCGAATATTTTATATCTTTTAAGGATCATCATATTCTACAACATCGATATTTTTCCATTCAGTTATCGATATACATACAGTAACCGCTATCGTGTCAATTTCGATATGTTACGAAACCTGGTTTCGTATTCAATGTTACTAAATACTCCTTTCATGCTCCTCCCGCATCGTTAACTTCAAAAATGTTTCAACTTCATTTCAACTATTTTCTTCATATCTATTCTTTTTTTTTTTTTTACGAATTTTAAATCGTTTGTAAACATGTATGAATAATCATGCGAAAACTGACGATATATCGATATTTTATACTCCATAATTATCGATAGTTTTTCAAAATATCGATATATTTTTTTTACTTGCCCATTCTTAGATCTGGCCACTGTACCTTGTGAAAGTTGAAAGACTGTTTTCAGAATCCTGTACAATCCATGTTTACTACAGAGTTGTTAACGCCCCCGACATAAAGCAACAAAAACGTCCCAATTGGGATGTCTCATCTTTCGTAAGGATATCGGTCAGTGAAGAAATATATTATATCAAAGTACCAATGTTTATAAAAATATCAATATCGACCTCGATATATCGAAGAGAAAATATCGATATGGTTTTCAAATTTGCAGCATATGACCATAACAAGTAGAATAAAATTTAAAAAACTAAAAAACCTCGTCTGCGTTTTTGTGTAATTTCTTAATTTTGATACCGTATACCCAGTGTTACTCTCATAGTAAATACGAATCTAACGACACCTCTCAAGGTAAAATCCAATCAAGCCGTTCAGGCTGCAATGCGTGCCAAACAATTATACATACATACTCTCAAAAAACATAACCCTCCCTCTGGCGCAGTTGGTTAAAAGAAAGAAACTAAGTAGCAATCTTTTAACATTTTACTACCAGTATTTATCCAAAAGCCGTGGATGTGAATTATTTAATACAACTTCTGGAGAAACACTCTGTGGCGGATTCGAATTTGAAAGAAATATCGTTATATACGTTTTATCGATGTATGGATAATATTTCAACATCCGTCATTAGTTCACGGGCATGTCGATTCAATTTAAAAAAATATTTCATTATATACTTCTAGAAATAGAATGCTATGACATTCTATTTATTACCCATATGGAGAGTAAGTATAAAAGATAGGTCCTTTTAAACGGGAAATTCGGCTTACGCCTTAGGTTTCCGATAAGCAAGTCTGCCGTGTTTGATAGATTGGACTCAGGTAGAATGTTTGTTCGTCTCACTATCGATTGCGATCCAAGCCCTAGGTTTTTACTATCCGAGGAGCCCTTAGACCCAAGCCGAGGTTCGAACCTCTATCCGAGGGCCTCTTAGATCGTATCGTGCCCTTTCCCTATTAGTCGATTGTCAATCTCTGGTTAGCAGGATGTTACGGAATTGCTCCGTTGCAATTCTTTATTTGTTGCTTTTGATAGGTTCCAATCCATTATCGATCTCGGTCTAAGCCGAGGTTCGAACCACTTGATGTTCTGAGGGGTCCCTTGGATCGTGTCGTCACAAATTGTCCATCCGTCGTTAACAGGGGTCGCGGAGATGCAGCAAGTCATCTTGTTGTCTTTGTGCACCAGCTACGTGTTTCTCCTGAGTTCGGCGAATCTCAAATCTGTAAAAGCCGCGGGGCACAGCAAAATACACTTACTAAAAAAAATTAAAACAACGAATTTACGATTGTAACAATCTGTGCCACAAATACGATTTCTTGTTTTTGCTGTCAGTAGTTCAATAAAATTGATTTATGATTAATGAGCTGTAAGAGTAAACAAGATATTATTTTATGCGAATATAAAATAGTGCTATTTATTTTTTTTATTTTCGTTATGATTTTCATAAAAGTTACATAAATAATTAAGTATAACATACTTATTATAATGAATTTTTTTGTCATTAATTTTAGCGGCAGTCCAACGTATTTTTTCTCTTAACTGAGGACGACTCTTCTGTTTGTGAATTACCTCTGCTACTAAGAGACAAGTATGTGTTATATACAAATAGTGTTGAGGAAGAAATAAGAAAAAGTGCTAATTTATGTTTTCAAAGGGCGTAATATCTTTGCCCATGTTTTGGGATCATGTATACCGGAACAGACACATTATGCAGGAGTTTGAAGACATAGAAGTGCATAAAACAAGTGTGTCAGTTTTCGTAGCACTCTTCTATCTCGAAATGTTGTACATTTTGATCATGACATTATCAATCTTAAACCGCCTTAATCAAAACCTGTCTGTTTAAATTTTTACAAGTACTGTAAGTATTCATCAATTTTTTCACACTTGTTATATGGTCCAACTATTGAAATCTTATATGTTGTGTCACATGGGCTCAGTATCACATCTAGCCTCTCAAGATTTAATTAAAATGATATAAACTAGTCAATTTCAATAAAACAAATTCATGTGAGTCATTGATGCTAATATTAATTTTTTTATGTGAAAAGTTGCCAAGCGAGCAGGCAGTTCACCTGATCTTAAGTGAATGCCGCTGCCCATAGACATCTGCTGTACCCGAAGGTTGCAGAGGCATTAACAACCTTTTTGAAAATTGGGCTCCGGCCACTTCACTCGCCAGACGAAACGCGAAAGTATTATACTTCCACTTTACGCCATTCTTCTGCGAGGTTGTGGTACTTACCCAGATGAGCCTGCCTATTTGTGCAACAACCGAGGCTGCTGCCTGGCCCTACCACCGAAATTTGTCTATCATTGATTTTAGTCATCAATGAATAAAATATTTACAGGATTTTGACTTCAAAATGATTGGCACAAACAGATTAAACACTCAAAGGTTGTACCTTGATAAAAAAGAAAAGGAGGAGATTTACATAGACACCTGGCCCCTTCCTCAACACCAAATTGATGGTATAAGGTTCCTATTTAAGCAATTTAAAAAGGTATTAATTTGACTATTTAAAACATTGCTTACTTGGGCTTTACACTAAGCCTCAATATCATAATATATAGATACTGTGTTGCAGCGTGCCTAACTGGTGAGAGAAAACAATAGTTACCACCATACTAAATTAAGATCCTACAAATTTATACAGCCAACTATTACGTCTCATGAAAGGATTTTCTAATTTATTGAAAGTTAAATTTTTATAAATTATCAACTTTTATTGTAATAAAATTTTAAACCTTAAAAGTTTCAAACCATAACTTAACACTAATAAATGGACTAAAACTTATGAAATATATGTAAATTCTGTGTCTGGTATAAATTGCAAACAAGGGGCTGCTAGCGAACGGGTTGGTACATAATACATGATACAAATGAATTTACATCTTATATATTATACAGCAATGAATGTATATAATTATGTACCAAGTTTAACCATATTAATAGGAGGCAATAAAATGGCATGTAGTTGAACAATGAAAAATAAATTGTGTTGTATAAATAGCTCTAATGCAATAGTAGTATGCAATGCACCAATTGAGTTATTATTTTTTTTATAATCTACTATAAAAACTATATCGTATGAATGATAATGTGGCAAACTCTTTTTATGATTATGTCGTAATTAAAATGAAAAAGATGAACCGATGTAACAATTATTTGCAGAAAAAGCCAGGTGTGATACTAAATAATCCAGAAGGTTATGGGAAAACCGTGCAAGTGGCATTGTTCCTGAATGCTGTTAGTAAGCTACTCAAACACCCTGTGCTTATTCTTTGCAAGGACGATAATGAGATTGACAGCTGGATTCAAACTCTTAAAATTTGGACTAAATTCACACTAGGTATGTTGGGTAATATATAGAAAAACGATATCCTAAAATATTTTGGATCTGTGGATGTTATTTGTTTGTAACAAAATAACTTGCTTTAAATATAATAATGGCCATTGCTAAGGCAATGTAAACCAATATTCCATATACTAGATAGGTATAGTATATGGAATATTGGTTTACAATGCAATATGTTTGTGAATAAGTAATATAAATTTTTTGTGAATATTTATGCACTAAGTTAAGGTACATATTTCTAATCCGGAAGGAGTAGCTTCGAATTTTGGCTGTGGCGAAATTTTTTCGATAATTTATAAATTTACACATTTTATGTTTCGTATTAAGTGCAGACTAGCATAAAAAATAATTAAAAGTCATAGCATTCTATTAATCGAAAAAATAAATATAAAAATATATTCTATTTTACATGTATGTATTGGTATTTTTTATTTTAACTTTTAGGAGGCAGTCTAGGGGTTTTAGTTTAAAAATCCTCTCGAAATTCGCGCGCATTACCATCGAGTATTGAAAACTCTATTTAAGATATTTTAGCCACTTGTACTTTAAATTTTCTAAAAATAACAAAACTGATATTCGAGGCTTTCCACGGTTTCAACCGTGGAAAATAATTTTTACAAAACAAGTTCTCTCTCGTATAAATTCTGCTTTGCGTATTTGTAAGTCTGGGAATGCTATTTGCCTTGAATTTAATCGTTTCCTGTTCATAAGCGCCACGACTGAGTTTTCTCTTTCCCCCCATTTTTGCCGGTAGCATAAATAATTTTTGGCCGCCATATTGGAATTTTGCCTGCAATATTACAATTTAGCTAAATAAAGATTTTGATGATTGCGATTGAATGAGCGTATGCGTGTCTCTACTTTGCGTATGCAATTTCATGTTTGTCCAACGCTCGGGAATTATTTCATACTGCTGGACTAATTATAAAATAAAAAAAAGTGTGTGTACTTTTTACGCACGTAAAAAGCATACAGGGAGGCTTTTCTAAGCGTATCCATTTTTTAAAATTAAATTCTAGACATAAATAATCAATTATTAAAAATGATAAATATTTAAAATCACTCTTAAGTAATTAATTACATTCATTTGAACTTATCTCAAAAAGTGCGTGATTTATACGCAACTCGTTTATTTTACGCGCGATCATTCATAACTAACACGCATACAAGTTCGTTTCATACGCATTTCGTTACGCATAATTTTCCAAATAAAATGAAATTAAAATTAAATTTTCAGTCGAGTTTTCCAATAAATAATTTATTGTGAAACCAAGTATAGATTTATGATTTAACGAAGATGTAAATATAATCGGAAACAAGAATTATATCTAAAATTAAATTTTAGCGTTAAAGAACGGACCTTGTTTACTAACTTATCAGCATCTGAATTTTTTTTTTCCTAAGTCTATTGTAGAGGGCTCCGCATTGTAGCCCCGGTCGCCCTCTCCTAAATCCGGCCCTGCAGGGCGCTGTAGACTACTCCGCGTGTGCCCCTTCCAGACGACATCGCGTTCGAGACCGTGAACGTTTACGAGAGGAAGCGGATATTCCTCAAAAAGGCGACGGACCTCGCGCTGTACGGCCGCCGCGACTGGGCCGTGGTGGTGGTGAAGAATGACTTCGCGCCGAGGGAGCTGATGCGGATGAGCTTCAGCGCTGGCTTCAGGGTGTGGCTGACCACGATCGACATGCGGGTGAGCACGCTTACGTTGCGTAGTGAAGCGGCGGCATACACGTGTCCCACTGCTGGGCAAAGGCCCCCTCCGTATAGAGGGCATTAGGGCATGGTTTTCGACGAACACTCCCGGCACTGCGGGTTATGGGGCTTCACATATCTTCGAAACTTATTTTTTGTTCGTATTTCGAACAAACTTAAAATTGACAATTTCATCTGTGCTGGCACCGGGATTTGAACTAGGTTTGCTCGTGTATATTGAATTGAAAGCGAGCGCCCTGACACTGAGCTATCACTTACGTGCCTCACAGTATTTCTCGAAGCGAGCAGGCAACACTACAGGCGATAGTATCGTACCCACGACCCGACGCCGTAGCCAATGCATTGGCAAGTGCACCACGGAGTCGTCGAATGCTTGTCTTTTTGCAGAAAGATTTGCAAATGCTGAATGCGATATACGGCTGGATGTACTCGGAGAAGAGATTTCACGTTCAGAGCCTCCTCGATTCGGAAACGCAGTGCCGGGGCCCCTTGGACAGGTTGAAGCTTCTCGACGCGTTCCTAGAAGACGTCGTCATTATGAGGAACGATTTCACAACACCATACAAGGTAAACATCCTTACTAATATTATAAAGGCGAAAGTTTGTATGTATGGATGGACGTTTGTTACTCTTTCACGCAAATACCACTGAATGGATTTTAATGAAACTTTACAATAATATAGCTTATAAATCAGAATAAGACATGGCTATAATTTATATATATATATATATATATATATATATATATTTTATATATATCCGTCTGTCTGTCTGAATATTACGCCTGCGTAGTCGTGGGCAGCAGCTAGTAGTACATATTAACACGTCATTATTATTGAACGCACTATTTATACTTGGTTGCAGCGCGCTGTGTTGTATAAACAGATGGTCCAATTATGCGCGTTTTGATGTCACGTCAAAATGGTTGGCTAAAATTTAGCTTTGTCGAAAGTGAAGAAATATATCGATGTTTTTAAAAATATCAGTATCATAACGGGTCCTAAAAAGAAAAAAGACATTTAAAGTGTTTATTATTACAATATGAAATATTCGTATCCGAATTTAAAAACAAATATCGTATTTGATATGATTTCAATATTGTATATCGATATATCGGCTAAAAATATCGATGTTTAAAAACAAAGGTTTCGATATGTTGATCTTTTTAGACATCGCTACTAAAATTGCATCGATTTCATTGCAAGTTATCGCAATTCGCAGCAAGCAAAGAGATTCTGAGATTTGTAAAATTAAATGTCATTGTCTTCTTCCCGCCCTTATTCCACTTAATTGGGGTGGGCACATGTGAATCAAATGGGTTTGGCAGTTTTTTACAACCGACAAATCAGATGGGGTCAAACAAGACGCGGCACAATTATCCGTGTGTCACACAAATACTCGTCCCGTGTTAGGAATCGAACCCACAACTCACGGCGCCGAAGTTAATAGCAATTTTGCCACCATTTTAAATATTAAATGTGAATCTGTTTTTTTTTGTTGACTTCTTGATTTTACCCTTTCCAGCGTTCACGTCAGTCCGTCCCATGGTCAAAACGTTGGGAATTTCAAATCAAAATAAAAAGCTATAAAATCTGGAAATTAGTTACCTTTTTTTTTAAACATTGCCCTTACTTTGGGATAACATTATCCTGTGTTGTAAGGACGTTTTTACAAACATAAATTTCACGCGGACAAACACCCAGATGCGGAACAACTATCTGTGGGTCACACAAATAGTTGTCCCGTGTGGGAATCGAACCCACGACCCCGAAGCCGATACCTTGGCGACTGCGCCACGGAGTCAACAGATGACATTTAATATGTTTTATTTGTATTGGGATACCCAATCGTAGAAGGAATGTATTTTATTTATACTTACATACTTATTTATATTTCATCTCTGATACGTTTTCTTATTTCACCGTTTAGTGTCTCGTTTTAGCAATTCTAAACAGATTTCCCGATTAGCTAACACAAAACCTGGGCACGTCGTGGTAAATAACGTTTTCTTTCTATTTATACATTTTCTCCGATCTTTCAGGCGATACAAATTGATATGTTGCACACCATATCGAAGGTAACGCGCAAGAACAAAGACGCGACCGGCACAAAGATTAAACGCTCAAAGAAGAGGACCGAGGACGCCGAACAACCCCCAAACAAACATAAGGACGACAATAGCACAGTCAACTTTAGTTCCACATCGGACGCCATTCCCGCAGCGAAGAGTTCCGCCAACGAATCCAGAACAGTCGACCAGATCGCCGAGGGCACGTTTAGAAACGAAGCGATACGCGAAATGGACATTGAATCCTTCATACGCAATAAAGAACCAGTGACACGCATGGTATACGAGTTAACCAAAGCAGAAAACACCGATGTCAACATTCGCTTCGCCGACGCCGCGCGAGATATAGTCAACATCGAAAACGAAACGCCCAAAGACAACGCAGAGACCGACTCGGAGAGCGTTCTGACCAACTTCAACGCGACTGACGAATTCAGAGCGGCAGGCGAAGGCAAAGAGCCTGAAGAGAAAATCGATAAAGTAACCGCCAGCGATATCGAAGAGCCTGAAATCGATAAAGAAATTGCCAGCGATATAAATTTGAACATCATCAGTAAAGGCGGAGAAAAGAACGGCGACAAAGAGACTACATTAGCACCTTTGTCAAATCCGAATGTCACAGAGGCGGATATAATTGCTGTAGGTATTCCGGATATAAGCGGTTTGGAGACGGTAAAAGATGAATTGGCTGTAGAGAAACCTGTGATAGAGGAGAAAACCATAAACAAGAGGGACATAGATTATAAAATCAACGAAATGGAAGAGCAGGCCCTCAAGAAATTCAAAGGCACCCTGTTGGACACACTATTCTGAGCGTAACTTTGGCTTTGATTAGATTAGATCAACTTTAAATTTATTCAACCAAATCCAACGCAGCTAAAATACCATTCAAGATGTTTCAATGATGAAATGACACACACAAACGTTTGCCAAATGAAGTTACTCCTTGAGTTACTATTAATAACTATATTGCTAGTACCTTTGACTTAAATATGAAAATAATTATGCATTAATTTTCAGAAAGTATATTAGGTTGCTTGGTGTTGTCATTAAATTCTATTTGTCGGCTGTCCGTTTAAGTAAATTTTATCGTAATGTAATCCCATGATATCCGTAAAAATATTGTGTATGATGAACTTTTAAGCAAATGAATATCGAATATGCCACGAATCAATTGTCTATTTTTAATTATAAATATGTCTTGATACTGATTATTAGTTTGGGCCAATTTTTTAATGATATTGGGCTCTTATTTACCGATCTTAAGTATATAGTGGATGTAAGTTGAAAAGAAATTGTATTACTGGTCACAATACTTGTGTATAAAAATGTGTTTTATTAAGTGTTCATTAGATGAACTCTCGCGTCCTAAACGTAGCAAACGGTGGTAGTCATTCGAGAGCAAGCTGAAATAATATCTTTTAGGAACCTTAAATGTTATTGAAAAAGGACGAGAGCTTCAGGTATACATACCTGTATATTTATACGTGTCGCCAACAAAACGGCCAAGTTTATTAAGGTAAATTAATGCGTGTGACCCATTTCTTGGGCCAGCCCGAGTCGATTGTCTTGTACCAAGAACGGTCTTTTTTTTCCCAATGGGTTAACTTTAAAATGAAAGTCGCTTTTATATTTATTTGAAGGTTGTTGCGAAGGCGTAACTTTATACCTCTTTTTTTATTACACATAGGTTTTTCTATCGCCAAGGCATTCGACTTCTAAAAGACTATGTTTACATTAAGTACTTTATATTGTAACACGTGTTTTTAAATATATTGTAAAATTAAACGACTCTTTTTACTAGTCTTCAAGGGCTTTTTTGAATAATTTATATTTTATATCCCTTTATCATATCCAGAAGAATACCGTTTATCAATTATTCACAATTTTATTATAACTTTCATATTCAAGGTCGTTAAAAAACGAGAGGTACTGGCAACCATTTTTGTAGTGGAGCCCATTTCTGAAATATATGAAAGTAGGCAGAACTTTAGTTTTATAAATAAACAATATACAGCGTGTCGTTACCACCGCGACAATAAATGAACACACATATAGAGGATAACATTCTTTAAACATCAATATTTACCGAGTTATTAAATTTTCCAAAACAAACAATTTTAGAACACCCTTACGTATAAAACTATAACGTAAAGTTCATTTGTAAAGGTCACAAAGCATATGAATGGGTTGAATGAATTTAAAAGAGACAAAACCAGAAGGAGAGGCTTGTAATGCGACGCTGTGGCGCGAGTTATATAGGATGTTACAAATTTTGTTTCTTTTTTAAGTAATTAGTTTGTTTGAAAAATATTTTTTTTCTATTATGGATTTTGTTTAACGTTAATATTTTTTTATAATTATTGGCAAGTAGCGTTAGACGTGTGTTCATGTGTTTATTGTCGCGATGGTAACGACACGCTGTATAATTGTGAGGTATGACACGGTATGGAGACATAAGTATTAATTTAGGCCTCGTAGTTTTACAAATAAGAGCATATTTTTATATTTTTTTCTATATATTAATAATTTCTTTATCATCACTATTATCATTACATATTTATCATCACTAATCTCAAAACTTATTAGTAATTTAGTAATCTATATGAGAACAACTTTAACGTACATACCAACATATTGTATATAATACAAAGATAAAGCGATGTTTGACTGCGAATTTCTGATAATTTTTTTCTTATATACAACTTCACACAAATTTCAATTCTCCAGGCATTAAGTTAACGGCCCTGCTCTATGCGTTAAAAATCTTAAAAGTATTGGCTTTGCAATAGCATGACAACACATAATTTAAAATATAACCGACGAACGAAATTCGCATTGCAAGAATAACCCTGGGTTAGTTTTTACAAAATTTTTAAAATATCTGTACACATAATATCAACCGAAGACAATGCGATCATTCTGTAATCTAAAGTGCTCGATATGGATGTAATAAAAGATACTTCTACTCGAATTGTATACTTCAACATAATAAATATGTTTATACGAAAAAGTAAGTTTGTTATTTTGATAATGAAAGGATAAACTAAACACGTGTATGTATGAAAAGATTTTTAACTATAGTACACGTAATGTATATACATAACCAGCATTAAAATCCCATAACATCAATATATTTCATTAAATTCTAAATTTCCCAACAACATTCACACAACCGTAGCAGGAACATTTACGTTTATTATATTCATATTATTAAAACAATATTTAAAATGCACAAAAATAAGCTTAGGCTTCAGAGTTTTACAAAGGCCATGAATTTATATACATGAATAAAATTTTAAATTTCTTACCATTATCGCTAATCTCATTATGCTTCATGTTATGTGTCAAAAATTAAACCCATAATCATGTCAACACACAACCGGAATTAGTCTAAACACAAATAAAAATTTACCTCTAAAAGGTAATAATTTAAATACACTATAGGTACTCATAAACAGGATTCATAACAAATCTTGGCGAAGTTTTGCTTACTTTGAGACAAAGAAATATTAGTATATATCAAATAAGACAATATATAAAAACAAATAAATATGAAAATAAATAATTTTAAATGAATTCATTTGTATTATAATGGATATATTTCGTATAAAATAATGAAACAATAATGAATCTATCTTTTACTAGAATCATTTGGAAGTACATATTCCTTAAGTACAATCTCTAGTAAGTACATTGACAAGAACCAGGAAATTGTCATAACTTTTAAAATAAGACACAATATATTATATAATAATAGTATCAATCAAAATACTAATAAATTGTTTGAGCCTTGTACACAGAAATCTTTTACACAAAAGTTTACGAAGCAGCTTTATTTATTGACGTAAATTTATTCCATATTGAATAGTTATTTATCGATAAAATGGAAAAAAAACATTAAATTTTTTTACCCTATGTAGTCTTACCACGAATATTAGATTAAATTACACTATTTAGTAAAAATAAAGTATGTGTAGTTATATCATATTTTTAAAGAGTATAAAATTAAATAGCTTATCTTTTACAGAATACAGTTGGTAGTTTTGTAAAAATTAGGCTATCGATAAATAATATTAAATAATTATCAAATTTAACAAGAAACGGAACGGAATGTTAAAGAAATCTCACGAATATTTGAATATTCCATAAACATCTTTTTAAACACACATTTTACTTAATTCCAGTAATGATTTTTATTGTTTTATATCAATAATATTTTTATTAAACCAATTCTCCAAAGTGGGTATGGGTAAATAAAAAAAAATATATCGATATTTATCGTATCGACATTTTTAAAAGTTTCGATAGTTATCGAAGAAGGGAAAAATATCGATATATCTTCAGTTTTAGCATGATTGTTCATACATATTTCCAAACTATTAAAAATTGGTAAGAGAAGAATAGACATGAATAAAACAGTTAAAAATATTTGTTTTAAAGTTCAGGATGCGCGTGCATGCAAAGAGATCTAATAACTTTAAAACACCGACACCAGAGTTGCGTTAAAAATATATCGGAATTGACACGAATTTGATAGTCAAAAATAAATATCGAGTCGATACTTGATATTTATTTTTAACTATTTTTTAAAAGAATATCGACGATATATATCGATAACTGTATGGAAAAATATCGATACTTAAATATATCGAAATTTTTTGGCTATGCCTACTCCAAAAATAACCTTGCGACCCGCGATGACAACCATCATTGAATACACAGCCAAAAATATATTATCACTTGATTTATATACAACATTCACTGCTATTTATTACATATTATTATACACGATTACTAGGCTGTGACCAAACTCAACTAAAATACAACACTACTTATGAAATATACAAATAATAACAGGATTAAAGCACCTCACGTCCTTTGCGTTGTGGCAAGCGCTTTAAAAAGTCTCGTCCGTGATATAGCGCGACCGTCTGCAGCCGCCATCTTGTTTCAGGCGCCGTGTCGAAGCGCTAAGGGTGCAGATGTAAGTACTCTGCGACGAACACGCGGATGATTTTGTTCAGGTTGTCGATCGTGTTGAAGTCGAGCGCGGACATGTCGTCGTCGGCCGTGTGCCACACGTGGGGGAACGGGTTCGGTATCACGTGGACCACGTCGACGTCTGGAAGGTACGGAGGAATTTGATGACCTTGATGGCTTCGGCGTCGGAGGCCGTGGGCTCGGTTCGCACACGCGACAACTGTTTGTGCGATCCACATATAGATGTTTCGCATCTGGGCGTTTGTCCTCGTGCAATTTATGTTTGCAAAACGTCCATTCAACACGGGATAATGTTATCCTAAAATGAGGGCGATGTTTTTTTCGTCGATAACGGAAGTTGCGTACAATCACCTATGAAAGCGGCAAAAAAAAAATCATGTCCGATGTATGGGAGCCCCGCTTTAATTATTTCTTTATTCTGTTTTTAAGTGTTTTTTATTACAGCGGCAACAGTAATACATCATCTGTGAAATTTTCAAATGTCTAACTATGAAAGAAAAGAAAAGAAAGAAAGAAAATATATTTATTTACCAAACTATCACGGTTCATGAGATACAGCCCGGTGACAGACGGACAGACAGGGGTCTTAGTAATAGGGTCCCATTTTACCCTTGGATACGGAACCCTTAAAACAATTGATGACTAACGAAGAAGATTTACCGAGTCCGCGGTAGCTTTTGTATACAAAAAAAGAGATGCTGAACTACAAAATATTGCACTGACTGGGTCTGATTTTGGCGTTACTAAATTGTTTTTTCAATTTAGAACGTATCTACAGCATATAATTATCTTATTGTGGACGTCATCTATTGTTATAGGCAAAATCGAATGCATCCTTAACGCGTTAACCTTGTAATGTCACGGTAAAACAAAATAATTCCACGCTACACGCATAAATTGCACAGTTCAACCGTTTGACTGACGTAAAATCGCGTTTAGTATTCGTCTTTGCAAAAAAAAAAACTAGATTCAATAAATATTCCCCAGCGTGCGTCTTTACTTATGTTTCCTCAGATATTATACAATTATTCAATGAAGGTCACCGACCCGATCCATTTTTGGTGTGCTCGTGTTTGCATTTACTGGGCGAACTAGTTCAAAAGATGTGCTGTTGCAAGTGTTATAATTCTTGGTTGTACCGTCGAGTGAGGTAACCGGAACCGGGGCCAATTTTTCCAAAATGCAACGCACGTGCCGCCTCTCGGGTTTTGCAGATTGCCAAGGGCGGCGTTTATCACTTAACATCAGGTGAACAACCAGCCCTTTTGCCACCTTCTCGAAAATCTGAATCAGAACCTATTTGAATGATTCTTCTTTCACTATTTGAAAGTAAATTATAAATGGACATATACTATTAAAATATGTAGAAAAAGTGCGAAAAGATTGTCGCCGCTGTGGGAATCGAACCCACGTCTTCGGCATTCGCGGCCTGACGCTCTAGCCACTGAGCTAAACGGCTGATTGCCACACCGACGAAAATCTTAACGTATTCTTCTACATTGTTTTCTTAGCATTTGAAGCATGCTTGGCGCCATCTATTGTTATATCCTTTCCAGCATACAAACAATTTCGAATATCGTTTTACAACGATAATTAGAACGGACACCGAATTTGGACATTTATACTATTTTTAAACGATATGGTTATCGAGTAATCGAGAAAATATATATTATGTGGCAGTCGATGCAACTGAATGGTTTGAGACAACTGTATTTAACTTAGGAGAACTCGGGGCGATTCGCTAGTTAATAGCCTCCAAGACCGAAAAATTAGTAAACCAATTTAGACCTAATTAAGTTATTGACGTCACCGTTTCGATTCGTTGTGTCGCTTTTTTGCTTTTAAAATTTGAATGCTAGATGTGACGCTGGCCCATAATTAATGGTAGCAGAACTAATGATACAGTAACTGTTTTCGTTAATACAGTTTTCAATTAACTGTTTTTATATGACGTTTGTATAAATAAACGAAACTCAATAAAAAACATAAAAAAACCACACGGAGAGGAAATAAACTTATAACGCCATTTCCCCTGAGCGTTAGTACGCTGTGTACTTTTAATATTGCTTTATAGATAATATTGGCTCAACAAAGGCTAATTTTCGTTTTCCCCTATACCTAGGGGATATTTTACCGATATCCCCGGCTCCAGATTATTAAAGAATATATGAATTGTGCAATACCACTACCCCATTGCAAGAACATTTGTATCGTGAGAAATTTATAGATATGCTGTTTTATCAGGAATTTCAAGTGTCAATTGATAAACAAATCGGATCTGAAAAGTCGTATCACGCTTATCTGTTACGTGTAGCGACAAAAGAAAAACAAAATTCTGTTCAACAAAAACCGAAACAGACTTCACATATCTCACTCTACGCAAATTTCCTGTTCGATATTGTGGAGTTCCCTGTTGTATCATCGTAACGCATGAAACTTTCTTCATAAAAAAGAATTTCCCAAATTGGTTCACAAATGACGGAGTCAGGTTACGCACAGAAAAAGAAACAAGTTGGCTGAAAATGAATTTGGGCAATTTAAAAGAAGAAGATTAAGAGCCGTGATAGCACAGTGTCCGGGCGCTCGCCTTTAATTCAATAGCATAGTTTCGAACAACCAAACAACGAGTTCGATCCCCGGTGCCGGCACCAATGAAGTTTTCAACTTTAAGTGCTGACTCTCCGCGGTGAAGGAAAACATCGTGAGGAAACCTGCATATTTTCGAAATAATAACAAAAAAAGATATATTTCGAAGATATGTGAAGTCCGCCAATCCGCAGTGGGGCCGCGTGGTGGACTATGCCTTGATACCCTCTGTATAGAGGAGGCCTTTGCCCAGCAGTGGGACATATATAGGCAGGTACTTTACAATATAAAAGAAGTTAATGGAACTTTCTTCGTTAAATGATATTAATTTATGCAGGTTCAAATCTTCGAAGCGGCGAAAAACTTTTCGATCATTTTTCTTCAAATTTTTAATTTCATCTTGAGTGCAGAGAATAGCAACAACATAAAAATTAATAACATTTAAATTTTAATGAACAGAGGCGACTTCAAATATTTCCTAGTAATATTTCATACGAAAAAGTGGTTGTTTGCTGTAAAGGAAACACACTAAATGGCTCATAGCGTTGCTTAAAATGCGATAAAAACAAAACAAAACAGATACTTTGAGATCTCCGTCGGTGCGAAGATGAATGCTAGCTTGGTGGCTAGAGCGTCGAGCGCGCGTTAGGGATGTCGAAAGTGAAGAAATATATCGATATTTATAAAAAAAATTCAATATTCGCCTCGATATATCGATATTTTCTTTTTTGTCAGTATGCCAAGTATTTAAACATTGGAATGTATGGACTCCGTCCCGGATTCGAATTTGAAAAAAATATCTTTTTTGAAACGATTGAAAAAAATATCTTTTTGAACTTTTTTGATTTCGATATTGAATATTTTACATCCATATATCGGATTAAAATAGATCGCCTAAAATATCGATTCATTTAATAAATCTTTATAACGTCGATATATCGAAATTTTTTTTGGCATCCCCAGCGCGCTCCTGAGTACGCACGTTCAAATGGCCGCGATCCACTCCATCGATTTGTCTACAAACTTCACACTCACTCCTTCTCAAGAACGGTATGTGGTCGTCCTCGATGAGGGCGCCCGAGCTCTTCAGCCTGAAGTACGTCTGCTCATCTCTGCCGACGGAGTACGCGCTGAGCTGGCCGAGCTCGGCCAGCCGCTGCTCGGCGCTCGCCAGCCGCACGTACCACTTCTCCGTGGCCTTGAAGTAGCTGTAGAATACCGGGTCCGGGCAGCCGAGCAGGTCGAGCAGCACCAGCACGTCCTGGAACGGCAACGTCTCGCTGTACGCCTGTGACCTTCAATTGTAATCGTCGTCATCGGACGCCATTTTTTACTCTAAAACCGGCCAGTGCTTAATTATTTGATATTGATATTATTATTAGATACTGATATTGTGTCATTTTATAGTGAGCAAATAAATAAATGTTCGCATGACTTTATTTTTACGTAACTTTATCTAATACCAAGGTAAGTAAAGTTTGTACTGTGGGTACTAAGTAATGGAGATTTACCGAGACCTGTAAACAACTAACTTCAATCAAAAAGGTCCTGTTGAATAGATATGATAGGTCATGATTATTCTTTTCGAACTTTAAAATTTTCATTGGAAATTGACCATTTTTCATCAATAACAGCAAATTAACCCTTAATAACAATCTGGAATCAATTAGAGATTGGTCGCACAGATTTGGAATTACCGTTAATCCTTCTAAATGCAAAGCTATTATAATTGTTGGTCCAAGGATGCTTGCCAGGATTGATTATGGCAGCCTTGTCCCTGTCATTTACAATGGAACGTTAATTCCGTTCTCTGAATCTGTTAAAAATCTTGGCTTGTATTTGGAACAGACGTTTAGTTGGGAAACACATGTTGCCGAAGTCAGCCGGAAAGTTGTTGCCAACTTACGTTCTCTCAATCGCCTTAAAAATTTTCTGCCCCATAAAACTACTCTTGCTTGTCCAGTCTTTAATTTTACCCATTATTGACTATGCAGATGTGTGTTACCCGGACCTATCCCAATCTCGTCTTAACAAATTGGAGCGCCTTCTCAATAACTGCATTAGATTCATTTTCGGTTTACGTAAATATGACCACGTATCTTCCTATCGTACGTCATTTTGTTGTGGGGTAGTGCATCAGATATAAATTCTATATTTATTCATCAAAAAAGGGCTGTCCGAGCAATCTACAATATCGGAGCCCGGGATTCACTCAGAGATCTTTTCAAAGAGGTTAATATACTCACTGTTGCTTCTCAATACATTTATTGTAATATTTTGTATATACGTCATAACCTTAATTATTACCTAAATAATAGTGACAGACATAAAATAAACACTAGAAATAAGGACAAACTTACTATGCCATTGTTTCGTCTACAAAAAGTAAATAGGTCGTTCATGGGGCAAAGTGTGCGCATGTATAATAAAATCCCACAGTCGATATTAAGTCTGCCGCTTGACCAATTTAAATGTAAAATCGACTTATGTTTAAAGCATATTATACCATTTCGAAATATCTCTACGACGCCAATGTGTGGAGTTAATACTGTTGATACTCACGTAGGATAAAATAAGACTATTATACCTGTATATTATATTGTACCCTGATATTTTTGAAAAAGAGCAACTGTTGAGTTTCTTGCCGGTCTCTTCTCAACAGAAACTGCTGTCCGAACCGGTGGTACCTTACGAACCTATATACATAATCTTTGATGTAAAATTTGACGATTCATAAGAGCGCGCAAGCGTCTATTTGAATAAGCTTTCTATTCGTCAAAGGCGTTGCTCCAGAATTCTGTTGTTATTGTATTCTGTATTATTTAATCATCGAAATAATCGCAAAAGTAAAGGTTCGCAACTTTGGGAATTTGAAATCAAATTAAAGCGCGATACAATACGTAAAATAGTTTCATGTAAACATTGAAATAAGTTTAGTTCAAATAGTTTTTCGTAAATCTCAGTGGACAAAAATTAGGTACTTTTACTATTTTTTTTTTTCATAACTGGCCAGCGCTTTTTTGTTCTTGCATCATTGTTCATTAACCTTTTTTTTTTGACAGTCGACGCTGGCAGTGACCGCCGCCATTTTTTTATTCGCGCGACGTCACGCACGGCTAGCTCTACTTTTAATAAAAAAATCACGTAACGCGGCGCTCTGGGCTCTTTTACGTTTCGCGAATTATACGTTGTTACGTGAATTATAACATACGCAACAGACGTCAGTCATTTGTACGCGCATAGTTTGAATGTAACATCGTGTTTATGTATTGGTATACAATACCTTACGGAATTTACCTAGTTGTGTTCCTCGTTATTTATTAGTTAAAAACTATATTTGATCATTTAACTAATTAAATAAACTCTTTATCCTTAGTTTTATTAAAATATTTAGAAAAAAGGATGAAAAGTTTTTCTCCGCTCCGGGAATCGAACCCACGCCTCCCAGATTCGCTACCAGACGCATTAACGACCAACCAAAGCAATGATGCGACAGAACATGATCTTTTCAAAATGCTGCTGAATGTGGGGATAAAATTCAAAGCCATCTTCATTCAAAAATCATTCATTCAATCAATGCTGTTGAGTGAAAGACAGTACGCACGCATACAATGGTGCTATCTTATTACTTTTTAATATCCGTGTTGAGAGTACGGAGATTTATTTAGACTGGGTCATAGGTCCGTTGGCCACTGTCGTACGTAAAGATAACAACTAGAAATATGTGTGTAATTTTAACAAAAAGAGAGTTTATTTATTTTACCTACTGGCTTATTCTTGAATACTTGTATACTATAACACCTGCGATAAACAGTGACCCTGTCTTCGTGTATATCCATTAAAGCTCTGGTTATTTACAGGTACAGTCCGGCCAAAAAATCGTTCTGCGCCAAGACAAGCTTCAGCCCGTTCAAGTACAGTCGCGTGGAGGCTTCACATCCTTCGACAATCTGGCACGGTGGCCTGTATACATTTGTCTACGTACAGGTACAGTCGTTTACAGCCAGTCTGTATTTGCATGTACAGTCGGGTATAAATGCTGCTATAAATGTTATACTCTAATAGGGTCATATACTCAAATTTGTTGTAATAACGAAACTACCGATAATAGTATTATAACACACTAGCTTGAAGAAGCCTATTCAATTTTGAAGCCTTGAAGACACCGAAATTGTGATCGGACGGAATGAGTGACGAAAGATATTGTCCCACTAATGGTGATGTACGCATTATGAACAAGGAAAATCTATTCACAAAAATGCGCAGCATGTCGACAACAAAAGGTTCATCCTTGTCGAGCGTTCAGTACATTTTGTTCATGCATATCAGCCGTACGGAAAGTGCGGGCACGCGACGGTATTGACGATGAGATTTTTTTCTTATTTTTATTGAATATTCCTGCTTAACAAATAATTTCAAATCTGACAACGCAAATAGATTGACAAATTCATAACTAAGGAACACTCCCAATCAAATCCAAAATAGTTCATTCAATTAAGGTTAATCCAACACCTTATATAGTAAAACATATGTTAATTATATGTCCAATTTAGAATTTTTATGCCCGCTTTCACCATCGATCCGTAACTAGCACTTAATTTTTTTTAGGTGTCTCTTAAAGTTAGGGATCAATGGTGAAAACGGTTTTAAGGCCTCCCTTTGACTATTTCTAAATCACAGACAAAGACTACAGTTTAATTATTGGTTCAAATAGATATATATAGGGTTACAAAGGCGTTGGTTCAAATTATGAGTTTCTTTTTGAATTCGTACATATAATTGTAGCCTCGAGATTATTTCGAAGAAAAGAGCTCCCATTTCACGAGAACGAACATTATATTTCTACCGATCCAATGACAAATCGTAAAACCCTTTGGTTATCCGATCAACTTTCAAAGCGGAACAAATCACGTTGAGTCGGAGTTGAAGGTGAGATTAATATTGCCCGATTAAAGCTGTCTTAGAAGTTGAACTATAGGAAAATTCCTAAGAAAGTCATGTTTATGGCCACATAAAAAGTTGAATTTAGCTCTTCAATTCAATGGAACTTATATGAAAACCAAATATTAAAGTATGTCTTTGCGACTTCGCTCGAAATATATGTGAATGTAATATTACTCACTTGGACAGAGTCCATGGTCAAGAGACAGTGTCAAACTGTCCATAGGTGGGGTGACCATGAACTCTGATCATAAGGTAGGTTCGAAACGTTTGCAATTAAAATCTAAATTAAACACGATAAGGTTACCGCAAAACAGTTTAAATTAACAATACTTTCGTAATAATCTAAGAAATTTTGGACGTTAGCAAGACTTGCCACTTTTTATTCACTTCACGGAGCTTATATATTCATCTATGTTCCCCTTTAGAATCTTTCTTAATTAAGTAACGTAAGGGTAACTTACACTTAGGTATTTCTAATAACATTAATAACAACAAACAACTCTAAATGCATAAAAACAATAAAGAAAAAATACGTTGAGATTTTCTTCGGTGTGGGAAACATCAAGTTTAGTGGTTAAAGCGCCTGGGAGCGAATCCCGAAAACGTGGGCTCGATTCTCGCAGCGGCGAAAAGCTCGTCGTGCATTATTTTTACAATTTTTAAGTAAATACAGATTAAAAATCACTTCTAAAGAGCTTCGCTGTTGCACTTGGAACAAACTAATGTCAGTTTTCAAATCATCGGGGGAATTGGGGGTCGAGAAAGTGTAATTGTTACAAACGTCGTCAATTTAGAAACAGAATTTAGTGCGATAATTCGTAAATAGCTACACTAAACAGTGCGTTGTACGCGCCTTAACAAAAGCTGCTATCGAGAAATAACTATTTTTAAAAAAACACGCTCCCAACATATATTTATGAGGCAACACAACTGCTGTCTTCAACGACACTACAACGGTAGCAACATCTCAACAAAAGCTATAACTGTAGAGAAAGCCACCGTTAGCTATAACCGTCGAAAAACATATTTGGCAAACAAAACAGTTCCTTTTCTTCGTCGGTTACAAAGTTAGTGAAGCCATCGAAGGTCAAAAAGCTGTACAATGTGCAACTGTGATTTTCTTATTTTTATCCGCGGACAAATCTGACAGGAAAGTAATTAAAAGATACCATTGACCGTGAAAAACATGGTCTTGTGTATGTACATTAAATACACACAACCATAAATACATACCCACACTCTTGGCGAAATTTACGATCGGTCGTTTGATTATGAAAATTTAAATGCCAATAAAAGTTTCAGTATTAATTTATTTGCAATTGAGCGAGTTAATGAAATGGATTTCGACTATGGAATCTTGATACTCGACGTGTAATATTTTAAAGCATTTATTCCCAATCCAAGGATCCAATTTGTTTAATAAATACTGCTTTACTTTACAATACATACATAAATAAATAGTGATACTAATTATTTATCGACCGTAAAAAAATCCGTAGCTCAAATGCATAATTTTAGGTTATGACATAATAAAAGAAAAGTACAAAAAGGGAAGAAAAGCGCAAAGGAAGTTGATATAATTCAAATGAGCAAGTGATTTTTGTTATGGGGAAGAAAACAAAATTTAAAAGAAAAACAATCTGAATATTTTTCATTAACTCTTCTAATGGTCAAGAATTGCCGACAGCGCGCGTTCTTGTTTTATGCGAGTGTGCGTGCGCTTGTGTGAATGGTTATAAGTTACACGCATACAAAGCTAACGGCGAAGCCGGTGAAAGGCACTCACCATCCTCTGCAGGTGGTTGGCGCCATCCTTGTAGGGCGTGCCCTGCCATTTCTTCGCCAGGTGGCGCGCCCCGTATATGGAGTCGCGCGGGCCCCACTGCCTGAACGCCTCCTCCCCGTCGAAGAATATGAACATGAGGCTCAGCCGGTTGTCCTTCAGCGCTTCCAGCTGCCCCGACATCACCTTCGCGAGGTTGATCATCATCGCGCACGGCACCGCCGAGTCGGTGGCGCCTGGACAACGTAACCGTTTAAATCTGGTGACTCCGCGCAGTCAAGGTATTGGCTTCTACGTCGGGGGTCGTGGGTTCGATGCCCGCACGGGAGAACTGTTCGTGTGACCCACAGATCTCCCCACGGATCTCGGTGTTTGCCCATGGGATATTTATGTTTGTCACATCCTTGCAACACGGGATCATGTTATCCCACAATAATAGTTTAAGAGAAACCGCCCGTGGAAGTATCACGGAGTGGGTCTGGCTCGCACTAGTGTCTTTTATTGTTTTTATCAAAGACTGTTTTTTTATCTCAACAGATTATGTGACTAATACGGTAAACGCACGAACTCTGTTAAAGCTTATTCTTGCTTTGAAGACGAATATTATGTCATATTCGGACTGAGATACAGACTTGGAGAACTAGATATATTTCAATTTTATTTATCTTTGCTCCTTAAATGTTTTAGGAGATTAAACAAAAGATATTGGATATAGGCCAGATAACATAACTAATAGTTTCAGCAAATTCATTGATTGCTAAAAAATAAGTTCCTCACCAAATTTACTTTATTTATGACTGTTATTGGTTTTGCTTCTTCCACAATGACAAATTTTAGTAACAAGATATGGATTTATGACTCACCTACAAAGACATGCTCCCTTGTATATTTGCTATCATAGTGACATGCAAGCACCAAATATCTATCTGCATCAGGGTTTAGCTTGGCAATAATATTTTTGAAGTTTAACGTCCCAAACACTGGTGTGTTATCCGAAAACACATTCTCAGTGACGTCCCAACCCAAGTCCCTCATCTGTTTAGCAATATAGTTGCCCACTTTCTCATGATTAGGGGTGCCCACTACCCTCGGGATGAGTATTTCATTTAATACTTTCTTAAAGTGTTTCCGGTCTGACATTTTTGCTATGTTCTTAACATCATCGTCTGTCAAATCGTTGGCTTCATGAAAATCCTAAAACAAAGGGCAATACTGCTATTTGAGAAAAATCTAGCAATTATACAATTTAGAGAGTTTGACAATGAAATTATATTTATAAATACTAGAATCTCATTTGCTTAAATAATTAATTTATGCACTGGTGGTCTAATATGACTATTCACAATGAATAATCAATTTTTATAGCGCAATAAGCAATATTCTAATAATAAAAAAGAATTAATTAATTAAAAAAAATAATAATTTTAATTTCACATGTTCCCTGGAAATAGACCTTTTTAAAAATTAAATAACATCCTACATGAAACAACTATATTTATGAATATGAAACACCAAAAGTTTTTTTATTCAACCTAAAAGGCATATAAAAGTTTGAAGACTTGACTTGTTAACCTTCACTAATTACAATCTAATAGCTAAACATTTAAAATTTGATCCAGCAAAACATTAAGAACAATAAAAGATACTAAAATAAGATAACTTAGATATAATATATACATAAATAACTTTTTACATAACTTTTTGTAGATGTTATACAGGCAAAATGTTAAACACATTTAAGTGCTTACCTTCTCTTCGTAAAATTTTAAAGTTGGTGTGTCTGCTTTTACATATGTAAAACTTAAAGTAGCAAGCACGATACACGTAAGTAATTTGGCCATTTTTAAAAACAACTAGTAAATATAAAGTTTTTGTAAGGCAACATATGTTAGCAAAGTTACTATTACACTTTCACGTATTTAGTCAACGCCAGATAAGGACAGACTTCAGTGACGGACTCATTCATTTCTAGTTTTCTGCCTTTACTTTACTACTTTGGCGGCGCCCCTCACTCACATCCCTTCCCTCCCATCCACTCACCGAGCAAAAGTACAATTTGACAAATCGGTTTAATGTTGCCACATCCACATAACTAATATCCCTATAAATCTATAAAGCTAATTTTTAGAGTAATATCATTTAATACGTTTAAATGATTAAACCCACACACACAACTTGCGTGTTAAATAAACTTAAGTGTAAAAAAGAAAATAGAAATAAGGCTGGCATTTTAATGTTTTTTATTTTACATTCATCGGTAATGACATAATGGTTCATATGACGTTAATAAAACAAACTTAATATTAACTGTAGCTGTTGCTTTTGAGTTTTCATTTAATTATTTTTTTTTCCATGATTTCCTTAATTTTGCCCTAAACTATGGAAATTTTTGTGAAACACAAATAAAATCTTTCAAAGATTAAGGTTCCAAGGAAAAATGAAAAATGATCTACTGAGGAAACAAATTAAAGTACAAATACAAATCACCGGTCGAACTATTTGAAAGTACAACTCTTGTTTGTAGGATAAAAGTAGGTAAACTTGTAATTATTAATTGGAGATTTCAACAATACTGCAACAATTCTTTTGATTGATTAAAATTTTCAACGGTATATATATACACAACTTTACGTACGTTTGTTAAAAACATTTTTTTGTTTCTAGTATTTTATTAAGATTGCAATTAAGTACAAAAAAAATTAGGTTTTGTAAGTACCAATTAATGTTATATAGTATCATAACTTATTCTTTTACTTTCATGAGTTTTTAATTTTTTGCAGTCGCTTTTGCAGATCGTTAAACACTTAAGTACACAGTGAGTAAAATTCAGTAAAATTGTGGTGTTATTGTATGTTCAAGTGAGTATTTGTTACTATCACATGCAAAAAACTTTTGCAAGGAAACTAAAAAAAAAAATTGTTAGTACCAACACGTCTGTTAAACTGATCTTTGATTTTCCGACTTTCCGTGACGTCAAGCAGTGACGTATTACAGATAAACCCCGTGTACAAAAGTTTTTATGAAATTGAAGCAAACCGTGTTCCGATATAAGATTCAAATTTGTTTGGGGCCGGTTTGAAAGACAGTGGTAACGGTCAGTCTTTGGGTTTATTAATATTCTTTGCCTCTTTTCATGCTTACGTACACAAAATCTACGTGGGCGACCGTATCCAATTACTTTCCTTTTGGATGTCCCAAGACATTTACATTTTTCAAGAATATACGCAGCTAACGTGTTTAGCTTCATCTTAGTAAATTGCGTTTCTTCTAAGTAATTATAATTTGGCACCCCTCTATGGATCTTTGTAGTTAACCTATTGTAATATTTTGTATGTCCGACTTTAAGCCAAGTTTATTTATTTTATAATGAATTAATGATACATATTCATTCTGGCGTGAAATGGACGTATTACACTTCAGCGTTTTGGTTGGGTAGTGAGGTAACCGGGGCCCACTTTATTAAAAGGTGGCAACGCATCTCTAACCCTACTCGTGTTGTCCATGGGCGGCAGCAATCACTTAACATCAGGTGAACCGCCAGCTCGTTTGCCACCCTCTCACGTAAAAAAGCACGTTTGCAAAGGTCGTCATTCAACCTAGTGGGGGGTCGTGCTACACTGCGAAGGCCAGTACGAGGCAATTACAATACGTGAGATTTTTTCGGTTACGTCACCCACCCTCTAAAACGAGAAAGTACTTCAACTACACACCGGTCTTCTGTGAGGCCGTGTTTCCTTCCCGCACGGTCCTTTCGTTACTGTAAGGATTTTTTTGGTTTTGTGCCTTTTATAAAAATTACGAACTCACACACTCCCTCACACACAAACACTTGATTTTGTTATCAAATTAAGGTGTTAAAGTTTTGTTTGTTTTCTATTAAGAATCCTGTATTTATGAGTTATTGAATATACTGGCGATCCGCAACCCTTAAGCCATCACAACATGTGAATCATGTTGTAAGAGTTTTTGGTTTTGTTTCCTAGGGTTCCGTACCCGAAGGCTAAAACGGGACAGTATTACTAAGATTCCGCTGTATGTCTGTCTCTCTGTCTGGCCGTATCTCATGAACCGTGATAGATAGACAGTTGAAATTTTCACAGATGATGTATTTCTGTTGCCGCCATGACAACAAATACTAAAAAAACAGAATAACAAAATATTGAAGTGGGGCTCCCATACAACAGACATGTAATCCTACATGACGGCAATCGTAGCGTAGGAACGCCTCCCACAAGGTGGACGGACGACCTAGCCAAGATCGCAGGGACGCGTTGAATGCAGGCCGCTAACGACTGGTCGAAGTGGAAGTCAATGGGGGAGGCCTATGTTCAGCAGTGGACGTCCTACGGCTGATATGATGATGATGATGCGAGATAATCGAACCGTTCGGAACCCTTCTTAAGCGGGTCAGACTCGCACTTGGCCGGTTTTCACAACCAGCCGCCTGCTTGATGTCAAACCTCCTTGGGAAACAAATACCTAAATCCAGAACAATTATCTGTGGGTCACACAATCACTTGTTCCGTGTGGGAATCGAATTCAAGACCCCCACGCCTGATTGCAACGGCGCTACCGCCCGCAAGTAATAAGCGTAAAACCCTTCTTGTAAAGTAGAAAATAAATATCTTTAATATTTACGCCCGGTTTTTCAAACCTTGATCATCGTAGAAATTAACTAACTAGCTGCTGAATGGCTTTGAATTGATCATTTTGTTCAATTCGCTATAAAGTCTCTAGAATTAATTTCCCTCCTTAACTTTTTGAATGCCTCTCAAGTGGTATTATTAATAAGACTTTATTCCGCATTAGAAAATCCCTCTCCAATAATATATCCTCCTACATCACTTAACGATTCATTGGAACTAATCAAGCACACGGGTTCCTGCGTATTTTCCAAGATGCGGTGAGAGATTGCTGGGAATCCCAGGATGTATTTTCTGTCGAGTCACGCATTCAGAATTCCTCTTTTCATTGTGGTAGTTTTTTCACGTTCAACAAGAGCCTAAATTAAGCCTAAATTGAATAAAGAAATTCTGACTTTGACTATATTGGTAGCACTTCTTAGAGCTATCTAGTTTGCTTCTTGTTAACTATAACCGAAAATGGAATTTATGTTTTTAATTTTTATCAACACTCATTGAGGAACGATCTCTTAAACTTATGATTAATAATTATTTAGTATTCCCTGCACTTAGTTGAAACAGAAAATGTGATTTTTTGTAAAATAAGTGAAAAATATCCGGCACTAATTCGAGTCTGCTTCTACCGGTTTACGCGTCCTGACGCTCTTGCCACTGAGCCACAGCACTGAGCTAAGCGGCCGATATCATCATTTCACGAAAATAACTACGTCTATTTACTTTCTTTATTGTATTTTAGCAACGCTTGGCACCATCTAATTCGCATAGTTTACAGCATGCCTAATGTTTTCAAATACCATTTTAACAATGAATAATTGAACATTTTTCTTAAACGACTTACCTATCTAAAAAATTCACAATATTAAAAAAAAATCATGATACGTATATTTTACGTTTAAAGTATTTCTCATCGTTTGATTTATCTCGTTCGCTAATGGAAACAGACAGTATTGTCGCCTGACAATATCCTCTATAGTAATCAGAGGCGGATTTTCGCCCGTTTGAAATTCGAGAAACGGAAATATCTCCAGTACAAGCGTTGGGATTCCATCCCCGAACCTTAATAGATTATCTAACATCTCAGCAGCCAATACCAGTGGTAGAATATCGACGGCCGTCTTCTGCTATACGAGTAGGCGAATCGGCAGTCTCACTACCACAGTACAGGATAAGCGTAAAGATGAAAGTATTTTTACTTTTGCGTTTCGTACTCTATGTGAGATAAGAGGGGCTCACTCGGCTTATCGGTTGGCAGCACGTTTGCAACGTTTCAGGTAGCATGTGTTCCCGAACAGCATCATTATGAAATGGAAAAATAAACAAGTCAGTCACAGTAAATCGACATTTATTATATAGCTAAGTTACAGAAGTAATCATTAAATTTAACCGTTAATAATCGATATTTAGTAGTCTTTTATTTAATTCCTCGACATCAGTTTAACGACAAAATTGTCTACACTTTATAAGCAGTAAAGCTGAATAGCCGGACTACCTATCGAGAAGGGTTGCATTTATTATAAAGATTTATTCTACTAGGCAATTACCATACATACTAATGTTAGTAAACATAATGTGTAAGTATTAGTTATACAATGAGTTGTTTTCGTTACACACTTATCTAACAAATTCTTGAAAAGTTGATAGGAACAATTTTGTTTACAATTCCCCTTCGGAATTTTAATAATGCAATTTATTAAACGCCTATCAATCATAGTCCGCTATTTTCCTGTATAAAGTTTATCTTATTTAGTATCGTCATAATAATATATAAAATATTTACGAGCAATATTTCTTATCAATGTTAACCAAGATGGAGATTGGTTTGAGATTGTGTTTTTGTCTAACGTAATCTTCTGATGAATTTCGTACCGACTTAATAAAAAACTTGTCTTTCAAATACATATTGGTAGGTACTAAATTATATTGTAATAAAGGGTAGAATTTCGGTATTATGTGGTGTAGGTACAATATACAAGTTTATCGTAATTGTTAAAAATAAAATAAAAATAAAGATAACCTACGGCGTTATTCCACCATTTCCTTGCTGTCTTCGAGATAAAAAAATTCTAAGTTAGTAGTTTCTAGTATTGTTTATCAGCCGGCCGTATGCTTCAGGTTTCATAGTGACGCTCAATCTGCTCAAACAGATTAGACGTAAAAATACTTCATTTAAAAAGGTAACTGAAAACTAAACTATATTTTTATAGGTATTTTAAAATTTTATTATTTACTAAATTACAATGACGAGCTTGTGTTTACTATGTATAATTTTTCATTTTATCTACGGTGAAAACTAAAAACTAATTACACATAAGTAGAGTAAATAATTAAATAATAAATCTACAAATCGATAATCACATTACAAAACTTAAATGGTATACCTGTTACTCACATTCACCATATATACATCTTTATGCTATGTACTTAGTAACTTAAATAATAATGTAAATGTAGTTAAAACAATTATGCATGAGAAATATGAAAGAGCAATGGCAAAGGAATATAAATACAAGACAAAGAAAAAGAAATATTGCCACGCTCTAAGTGGATATATGCATTTGCAACTTTACATAATATTTTTTTTACTGTTACAGAGCCAAATGTTTACATCACAACTTCTACGGCACAAAAAGAGCAGTTTAAAAGGGGATAGTACCCACCACAAAAAAATGGTTTAAAAGTACATGTATACTTTAAAGTTTCGTCGGATAAGTGAGTTAACCGGAGGCATCCGGTAAAAAGTAGGCATACTTTCTCAGTAGTTGACAAAAACCCTGCAACTTATTGGATTTAATCTTTCCATCCTTTTTAATTAAGAAAGTTAGAAAGGCTTTTAAGGGATGCATATTTTTTACTCAGGTTCTAATATATGAGAAATGGGACGCTAATATGAGTAACAATGAAATCGTTTAAGCAGTAAAACCAAGGGTTTCAAACATATGGAAAATTTACCCTAGAGAATACTATTTTATAAGTATATTACATGAGAACCAAAATAATTCAAAGCATGAGTAATAAAAGAAACGCATAAAATTACATAAATCTAAGTACATAAAAAAAGTCCCGTAAATCTCAAATTTCCGAACGCACCCATACTATTTCACAAAACTTAACGCTGTCCTAATTTTTTTCAATATCGCTCGGCAATGATAAAATGTACAAACTGTGTGTCACCATCCGGAATTATATGGCGGTGTCGGAGTCAACCTTGAACCTCTTCAGCTGTTTCGTCTTTTTCTTGGTGTGCTTGTTTGGCTTTTTGTTCTTGTGGCCGATGCTGCGGCGGAGCCTGTACTGGGTGACGTGCAGTTGCGTGTCGCCGGATACCCTCACTCGTATGTCCTTCTTGGGGTAGATGCGGCTGGTGAAGACCACCTCGCCCTCGCCGCAGTAGACCTCTATGGAGCTGCCGTCCACGAATATGCGCCAGTGGATGTAGCCCACCGGGACCCACTCGGCGATCCTCACACCGTCCGTGCCGCCGCGGTCGACGCTCACGTGGCCGTGGTCCGCGTGGTAGCCTATCGAGTATCTGTTCTCCGTGCCCCACTCGAGTGCGAGGCCGACGAACGATACTATCGTGCTCGAGTTCACTATCAACTCGAAGGACTTGGTGCCCGCGTAGAACATTTCGCCGGGACTGTACCACGCGTCCTCCAAGATCTCCGCGCGCAGGTCCACTATCTCCCGCACGGGGGTCATGATCAAACGGCTCGATTCGGAGAGGCGCAGCTCCCTTACCATGGTCAACATGCTCGCCCAGCCGTCTTTCGACTCTATGAAGTCGCTCTGCCACATGCCCAGCCACGCGACGAGCAGCCGCCGCCCGTCGCTCGCCAACATGGTCTTCGCCGCGTAGAAGTCGTGACCGTAGTCCAGCTCGGTGAACGTGGCCGTGGATATTTCTATGTCCTCGAACTGGCCGAGCACGTAATCGAAATTGCCAACTACGTACCCGGTCTGATAAAGGTTCCTGAACCTGTACCCCTCGGTTTTGACGCCCTGCGCGGAGAAAATCAGCACGTGCTGGCCGTCCATCTCAAACATGTCCGGATTCTCCCACATGTTGCCCATGTCGCCCATCGACTCGGCTATGGTGCCGTCCAGTTTCCAGTTGAACATGTCGCCGGACGTGTAAAGTATAAGCTTGCCGTTCCTCTCGCGGGACGTTGTGCCGATCATCATGTACCAGGTGTTGCGAAACTTCCATACCCTCGGGTTGCGGAACTCGCTGACTCCGTGCGGCGCCTCCCTTATCAAGGGGTTGTATATGTACTTCTGGAACACGATTCCGTCGGCGCTCAACGCTAGGTTCTGCGTCTGGAACGTTTCGTTGTCCGCCACAACGGTGCCGGTGTAGAAGAGCGTGAGGTAGTTGTTGTGCACTAAGGCGGTGCCCGATTGGCAGCCGTGCATCTCGTAGTACTCCTTAGGGACGATCGCCGGGGGGAAGTGGGTCCAGTCGATGAGGTTCATGCTGACTGCGTGCCCCCAATGGATGTTGCCCCAGGTGCCGTCGTGCGGGTGGTACTGGAAGAACATGTGGTACTGCCGCTTGAAGTACGTGAAGCCCGTGGGGTCGCTGATCCATCCCCTCGGCGACGATATGTGATAGATGGGCCTGTACTTCTTCTTGATCGATTGCTTGCCATTTTTCGGTACTGCCTCCACATGAGTTACCCCGCCCGTGAGCTCTAAAACCGCAACGCACAACCACGGCAGCAGCACGTACAGCTCCATCATTACCGGAGAACAAAATGCTACTAACTATCATACTTGTGACGAAATGTTTTGCCTAAGCAAAGTAAATCACAAAGACAATAGCCTGTTTACAGATCGAAAGAGGGTTCAAAGAATGTTAGCTAATCACTGATGCCGGTAGCAGATGTCGGGAAAAAAAACAATTACGCAATATGTAAAGCGTTTGTATCAATGTATAATATAACAAGGAAGTGTCATGTGAAACAATCGTTCATATAACTCACAGCATATTCCTATTTATATTTGCACTAAATTTATCATATCTTGAATTCAGTTGACATTTTTCGTGGTTTAAGTTATTAATAGTAGCATAACATTGATAGTCAATGACGCGCAAAGCGGTCGAATTTGACTGCATTTGGCGAGCCTGCTCCCTTTGGAGGCTAGCTCAAGTCCTGGTGCCGGCACCAATGAAACTGTTAATTTTAAGTACTAACTTATCGCATGCTCAAAGGAGAAGTGAAAAATCGATCCTGTGTATTTTCCAAATAATAACAAAATAAAAATATTGCGAAGATATGATTGTGAAGTGTGGCAATCCGCAGTGGGATTGCGTGATGGACTATGCCCTAATGACCTGTACAGACAGAAGACCTTTGCTTAGCAGTTGGATATGTACATAATATCCTTATACTATATCTAATGCCTTTACTTTTATCATATGATAAAAAATAATGTAAATGGTAAAAAATATAAGTAAATGGTTTTCTAATTAGGTTATGCCTATGCTCTTGCCATTTTCTTCAAAGCGGTACATCCTGCGATCGAATTAGTTGTTGTAGGTCATCAACTTGGTCAAACCGTTTAACCAAAGCTCTTCCTTCGTCGTTTAGGGCTGTTCCAAGTTCTCTGAGCCAAAAAGAAAGTAATTGAAGTACCACGTTCTTGTATTAAACTGTGTGACCCATTACTGACCAAATAATTTTTTTTATATTTGATTATAATTATTTCCGATCTGGGTGTTTGTCCACATGAATTTTATGTATTTAAAAAGTAAAACACAGGATGTTATCCTGCGGTGAGGGGCAATGTTTTTATACAAAAAAATATAGTCGAATTGAGAACCTCCTCCTTTTTTTGAAGTCGGTTAAATAGTAGAAAAATATTATATCTTTTCAAAGGTTTTAATGCTGGACAATCTCGTGATTACTTACAACAAATTTGTAAGTAATCACGAGATGGCGCTGCAGTATTTCAACTTCTACCCTTCTAACCGTTTAACAAAACGCCATAAAAATTATGCGTATGACTCGAAACGTTGGAGCACGGTATTTATTTGAACATAGGCACAAATTTTATTTTTAATATTCTTTTCATACATATGAAGCAATCAAGTTAAATTTACATGGCGAATTTTTAAATTTAAACATTCATGAACAATGAGATAAAATGATCCTATCTGCCGATCCGAAAAGTTGTTTTTATTATTTGAAGAAGAATTGGATAATATATAAAATAAGAATTGAATATGGATCCCCTACCACTGGATCGGGGGTGTGGCAGGAGTATGTGGGAGTCCCGGTGAGAAACGGGTACCCAAAAAAACCCACGTTGCACCTGTCTCTGTCGCATCGGCCGGGGACACGGGAACACGTGGACGCAATCTTCCGCGACCCCGGCGCGACTATGGCCCTGTTTAGGCCTCCTCTACTGCATCGTGCTGTGCCGGTGCAATTGGCACAGCACACGTCTCGAGCCCCATATTGAGCGACAGACACCCCCATGTCTGCCGCTCAGGGTCTCGCTATCAGGGGGGAAGGTTGCGAGCGTAGGCCAGCCTCCTGCACCCTGGTCTTGCGGGTACCAAACCTGTGTCTTCCCGATTCGCACCTAGACGTTCTAACCACTAAGCTTAAAATTTATTTCAAATTTGTTTCACCACGACCTGCCCCATGTACCGTACCATAAAATCGTATTGAGGGGTGTGAATTAAAATCGAGACTGGTTTTATTACTCATTTTATTTCAACAGAACGTAAACATCTTTGTCATACAAAAGTTAAATACGGTGTATAACTATACAATATTGCTTCTTGTGAGCTGAGTGTATAACTACCGAGTAAATGATATTCTCATATATCACAGTTCGTTAGATTATTCCGAGGATTTTTATTTATTCGCTGCAGATTGAAATAAATTCTTTTAAACCTACTAGAACTATTAAAAAAACACATGTTAATTCGAATAAAAATAAAACATCACACTCTTGCAATAAACTTTAACAAACTGAAATATATTATAAACTGATTACACTGATTATAAACGATATTAATTATTTACTATTATTAGTCATTAAAATCATTATTATTACAATTTTATTCAGGATTTTATCCGGCTAGAAGGACCATGTTAATATTATGCTGATGTCCATATGGTAAAATATCCTGTGTTAATTAAGGCACAATCAATTAATGACAATTTAAAATAATAGCCATAGAAGCTCTTAGTCCGTAAAAGAATTGTATAATAGCTATAAACAAAACTTAATATTAAACAGAAATTCTATGAGTGTTATTTTCCATAGCCATTAACTTAAACAATATAATATACGCAATATACATATTAAACGAATATTTGGAATGTTTTATTTGACAATGAAGTTGTTTCTAAATCTAAGCAGCCATAAAAAGCGGCCATGTATAGAATTATACTTTTTAAAAACACCTGTAATAATTATATACTTTACTTTTGTATTACCTCACGGCTAAGTTAAAAACTTCCCACTTAGACATGTTGTTCTTTTTTAATGAACCAATAATTTCTTTTTTTACTCCACCATAAACACGAAATTCACCGTTTGATTTTATAGCTTATATGATAATTTAAAAAGGATATTTAAGATAATATTCAACTGTGTCTTGATAACAATTACTTTAAATTGTTTTTTATGTAGGTACGCTTTAACTCTACTAACCTGCTTATAAATTTATAGGCAGGCTGACCAAACATATGTTTAGAATTTGTATCCTTTTTATTGTAACATATATTTATTATTACTTTAACCATTTACTATTGGCATGATTAATTTTGAAGGTCATCAACAAATGTGGTTGGAAACAGTTGGAGTTAAAGGTCATCATATTCTTGTATCATTTTTAGCTCAGTACTCTAATCGCTTTATAGTCCATTGAAAAGTTACATTTGGGGTTGCATTTCTAAAAAGATGCAATTTTATTTTTTACATAACAAGGCCCCTCCTTGGGGGGGTAATTTAAAGTTGAATTCAAGTTTGTGGGATTGCAACCCGTGTCCCACGGCCGGCACGATTACGAGCAAATTACTTTCGGTTTCCGAACAAATCCCGTAGAAATTTGAACGCTTGTTTTTGAAGCAATGGAAATTAAATGTTTAGAACTATGAGAGAAAGCAACCTGCACACCCGAATTACAAATAACGCTACACACTCAGTCAGTGCATCAACAAACACCATATTTGGTCCTCGCCTCCGAGCACAGCGAAACCAACAACGCGTACACTAGGTACACACTCGTTCCAGGGCGGTTCTCACCGCCCCCAGCCGCCGACTAGCCAGGCTCAGTCAACGGCTATCGGGGTCACGGTCCGCACAAAACCTCGATAGCCCGTAGGCGACATGCCATAAGTAACGCACGCATGAGCACATGCGCGGCCCTACCCACTGGTTAAGCGTTCGATGTAGCTTTAAGTCTAAGGACTGAAAGGGAAAACACGGAATTTTGCAAATTCGACTATATATGACAGAGTTATGCACGAACATACATTAAAAATGGTCTGATGTCATTTTTTTTGTAAAAAGACTAATAAATAAAAGTTTTATCGACCAATAGATTTTTTTCACAGTTTTCATGGATAAAATCCAATCTTCAAGCCTTCCAGATTTCAATAACTGTATTCAATTTCAATGACAAAAGTTGTAGATAATCTTATTTACAACAAAAAATCTCAACTATCTAATTTCGGACCTTTCCTTTGATTTCCTTAGATAGACCATATGGCGGCTGTGGGACAAGGGTTGCAAACCCATAAACCTGGACTTAACTTTAAACTGAGTCCTGCTTGATATCCAAAAAATATAATTGTGTCCTTTGACAAATGCACGCTAACCCCAAAAAAATGTAACATTACAATGGACTATTATTAAAGCAAGGATAATTCTGTAAGAGAAATGTAGTCCGTAGACACACAACGATAGCGTCGTGCGCCCGTAGACGGCGTAGATCTGAGTGGACGTGCCCTACGTAGAACGTAGCGCTTCGTGTAGCTCCACCCAAACGTTTGCGGTGTGTGCGTGCGCTACGCTGTGCGTGTGCAGAACCTCGTGTAGCGACTGCAGCGCCGCCAGCGCATAAGCACGCGCTACGCGGCTCTCCTGAACAGATTTTTATTTATTTGGTTACAAAATACAAATAACTTATAAAGAAATTTTATATAAAATTTACTTATAAGAAGAAGCAGACCAATATTTTCAGAGGACTAGTTTATAAAAATCATGATTGAGGAACCATACGCGTTTCGCGTCTTTAGTTTCTTTTCATTTCGAATTTAATATCGAAATTTTGATGATTAGACTTTATTACGACTTATACAACAGTGTTTTTAGTTTACAGTAATTTCTCTTCGTTACCCTTTTGTATGTGTATTAAACATGAGTATAAGAGTAGAAAATAGTAATAAGCACGCTATGTTTCGAGTCGAACTCCCTTTGATAAGGTTTTCTTTGCACCTAGAGGGCACGCATGTATAAGTGTGTATGTAGGGACGCGCGTGCGTGCGTGTGCGAGTTGTAGGGGCAGGGTGGGAGGAGCATACACCTCGAGAGCGTACACAAGTTATAGGGGCGGGTTGGAGGAGAATGCACCTCGAGAGCGCGTATGCGTGTACAAGTTAAAGAAGCGGGGAAGGGGAACATGCACCTCGAGAGCGTATATGCGTGAACAAATTATAGGGGCGGAGTGGGAGGAGCATAGAACTCGAGAGCGTGTATGCGTGTACAAATTAAAGAAGCGGGGAGGGGGGAACGTGCACCTCTAGAGCGTATACACGTGAACAAGTTATACGGGCGGAGTGGGAGGAGCATAGAACTCGAGAGCGTGTATGTGTGTACAAGTTAAAGAGGCAGGGTGGGTTGAGCCTGCACCTCGAGAGCGTGTATGCGTGTACATGTTATAGGGGCGAGGTGGAAGAAGCATGCAACTCGAGAGCGTGTATGCGTGTACATGTTATAGGGGCGAGGTGGAAGAAGCATGCAACTCGAAAGCGTGTGTGTGTGCGTGTGCTAGTTACGGGGCCAGGGGGTAGCAGCACCTCGAGAGCGCAGGCCAGCGCGTAGCGGTGCCGCCGCCGCAGTAGGCCCGCGGCCGCCGTGAGGGGCGCGCCGTCGCCCGCCGCCGCCGCAGCGCGCTCCCCGTGCAGGCCCCGCGTCAGCCGCCCGCACAGATCCCTGCGGTGAAATCAAAACGCTTGTACGACAACTTCAACTTACACTAATGAGCAAATCGTAAAATAACAATCGATCAGTCAACGTTCCTTCACACCATTGGTTGCCTGGAAGAGATCGCTGTGAAGCGATAAGGCCGCCAAATTGTGCATTCCATTAATTTGTTTGTCTATTGTTAATTTTGTGTATAATTTTATATGTGGTGGACAATAAAGTATTCATTCATTCATTCAATGATGAGGAACGAAGGCTTCGAGCTTCGGTTGAAGCGATATGTTTTCGTTTTTCGTGTATGACATTTATAGTTTTTTTTTTAAAATATTTTTTTATAATAGTAGATACTTTGCTTTGAGTAGACACTCAAAAATAATTAAAATGGGATTATTCTATAACGACTGCACCTGCTCGCTGCATCACTACTGCCGCCCATCGACATCTGCAACACCCATAGGGTTGCAGATGCGTTGCCACCTTTTAATAAAACGGGTTCCGGCTACCTCAAACACCAGACGAAGCGCAGAAATAAAACAGTTCCACTTCACGCCACCTTCTGTGAGATGGACCTGCCCATTCGTGCAACAGCGAAGACTGCTACGTTGTCCCACCACAGCCTGTACCTGTACGCTCCGAGAACGTCCAACGCCAAAAGCACCTTAGCTCCAGCGCCGTCCTCATAGTCCACCTCCTCTATTGCAGACTCTCCCATTGTTACTGCCAACCTAAGGCCCAATGCAATTCGGGATTGTTAGATAAGACCTTACTCATTTCGGGCACCTGTTACTTCCGTGAAATTTTAGGGGTAGGGGGCCGCGCCGGACCTCACCCAATCTCAGGTGGGGGAAGGAGTGCATTGCGACAGTGTAAATTTACGAAAATACTAGGACACACAAGTCCTCGAGGACAATGAGAATAAATATTCTGTTACGAATTTTAGTGGTTCCTACTATTCAAGTATTTTATTGTTCTACTTTCACGTTGAGACCACGTTCTTATTTGTTTTAAATGCTAGACTTAACTTCACCTAAATACAAATAAATTTACTTTAAATAGAAAGGGAGCGAGCCAAATGTCACATCTTACCAAGGAGCAATTACGTAATATTTTAAATATTAGAACATCTATACAGCATTACTATTTGTTTCAAAACTAAATTAAATACAAAATTTTTAACTTTTGATTTGGGTTCGTGGTTAAAAACTGTGACGGAATAGGTAAAATAAAAATAACAAGCGATCGATGAATAACCATAAAGTACTATAGCGAATTGCGTTCCATAAACCTAATGGCGAACTACACAAGACCATTAACGCCAAATACTCGCATTTATTATAATTGCACATAGAGCATACATTACCGAACATGGGTCACTATATCACTTTTATTGATTACGGAAATATATTCCAATTAACTTATCCTAAATATAAAATAAATATGTTATACCTTTTGGCTGAAGGCGCTATACCTATTCAATAGTTATAAAACTTAATTTTATTAAAATAGAATATTTGTTTTCATTGAACCACAAACTGCAGATTGTGTATACATAATTTTATTGATATTTTTAGGCGGATATGGTCAAAGCCGTTTTTATATTCTAGAACGTTTACGAACACAATTCAATCAATTACAAAAACCTTGGCGTTGTGATTGTGCTGGCAACATTTTAGAGTGTACGCAGAGTCAGAATCGAAGAGTATACTTATTTTTTATTCTCGAAGAGTACAAATATTTTTTGTCGTATCCTGGCCGTAGTTCTTTACCGGGCATGCCTACAAATTCGTGTATGTGAAAAAGTTATGGCTCCGAGTTGTGCTTAAAGTTTCCAGTCTATAAGACCAAATTCGTGTATGTGAAAAAGTTACGGCTCTAATAAAAGCACTCTATATGACAGGCACACAACAAAGGTTACAATAAAAAAAAAATATTGGCACACAAGAAAGTTGAAAGAGGTTATAATAAAAAAAAAATTGTCTATGGTACGCACTGCGCCGCCCGCTGCACCGCGGCCCTCACCGTGTTCCAGCGCGGCGGGTCGGGTGCTGGGCGCGACCCCAGCGCCCCCAACGCTGCCCCCAACTCTCGAACATCCGCGAGCCCAGCCGCGCTCCGACTCCCCACTGGTACCGATATCAGGGGCAAATCGCCGCGTTATAGGTAAAACTACTTAATACAATTGTAACACGTTTTTTTAAGGTGTTCACTTACGTATAAATACAATAAAAAAACTACCCAACTGTGGTAAGAAGATATATTTCAAACATAGCAACGAAATAGTTCGCAAACATACATTTTAGCCATTTTAATCAATATCAGCATTTCAGCCTGTTTGAGTCCACTTTTGAACGTAGGACTCCCCCACAGAATGCCACGAAGCATGATCCTAAGCCACCTACATACATCGACTTTACACCGTATTGATTTATAATAATTTTATTATACATATAAAGAAGAATCTGAGCACATGTCGTTTATCGAAATCGGTTCAGCATTTTGGTATTTATAAGGAAACATGGGCACGGACATGCATACATAAAGGTTAAACACGTAACGTCGGGTGATTATATGAGTTGGAGGATTGTACACGGGCACCATCATGCCTATCTAATATATAAAATTCATGTCACGGTGTTTGTAATTGAACTGCTCCGAAACGGCTCCACCGATTTTCATGAAATTTTGTGTGCATATCGGCCAGGGCGCAGAATCGGACAACATCTATTTTTCATCCTCCTAAACGTTAAGGGTGGTCCACCCTACAAATAATTTATATGGCAAAACAACGTTTGCCGGGTCAGCTAGTTGACTATAAAAAGTTCGGAGAAGCGTTACAAATTAGTTATGGAGATGGACAAGGCTAATATGAGATACATCAAAATGTAAGGCCCACCTCTTTCGAGAATTTTGTATAATCTGCTCAGTCCCAGCTGCACTAGGCGAAGCTGCTCATGCTCTGATACGAATTCCGCTTGCATCTCGTCAATGGAAAACGGACCCTGAAAACAAAAGACTTACTGCACAAATTCCGTTGGCCACGTCAATAAAGGACTACAATTAAAGATAAATCACATTGTGCTAAGTGCAATATATAAAGATGAAGACCATATTTTGGACGCTTATGGATGTAGATGGAAAGATAAAGACGGTCTTATGAAAAATATCTTAATAACAAGTGATGATTGTCTGTATTATTTAAAGTGTATAGATTCTATAGAAAAAATGTTTAAAGTAATATTAAATGTATATTTTCATAATATTCATTAGTAGTTATTTGTAAAATAAACTATACGAGTTATTATGTATATTTCAAAACCATATAAAGGTTTTCTTGTTACCAGGCCATAAAATCTATCTTAAAAAAAAGGTAACCGTTTAAATTAACCGCTATTCGTTAACCGTTATACGATATAAGCTAAAGAGCTTTTTTTAAGGTATGAAAAAAACTCACGGCGTTCTCGTCCTGTGTGCCGGCCAGTACGAATTCGTCGTGCCTCGGCTTCTCCAGCCGCGAGGTGGTCTCGCATAGGAACGTGCGCAGGTCGGCGTCGTGCGCCAAAACCGGGTGGCGGGCGACGAGGGTCAGCCAGCGCTGTAGCGCTGCACGCCGCCGCTGAAGGAACAACGGACTGCCGCCCCCCACGACCACGCGTTTTGGCGGCAAACGGCACACCGCTCTATGATTTATGGTGCACGTTGAAATGACAGAATTCTTTCAGAATTTTTTCCTTGCTAGTGTTTAAGAGACGAGTAGTTTTTGCGGCTCATTGAGTTATTATGTACTAGGGAAGACCTCTCGACTAACTTGTTTGTAAAGACGTGTTGGAGCCAGCTTGCTCTAACTAGTTTAGTAGAGATGGGTCGAATCGCTTTTTCTGAGAACCGCATCTGAATCAGATTTCGATTTCAAATATCAGATTTCGAAACTATGTATTTTAATATCTAGATATTTCACGTTCGCGTATCCACCTTAAATTCATTAAAAAAAATGAGTGACAATATTTTTGTGTAAGAAATATTACATTCAAAATAATACAGGGCGGAAGAATTTAAAACATACACACAAGACACATAAGCATTGGCCTGACGTTCACCAATGCAGCACGGAATTATTAAATTCTTTTTCGATTTATGTATTTTTATTTTTTTCAAAAATGTGAAAAATTTAACTCCTAAAAATTTTTCTTCCTTAATTTAGGAAGAAAATTCCAAAGTTGGCATCCCTTGCTACATACGTGCTTAAGTATCAATGCACTCCAGGTCAAGGCTAAACACAATTTAAAGACATCGTTAATACCATGATTCGTATTTAAATGAAACAGAGTTTTATTCCATGCTTTTAAAATTCAAAATTGCTTAACTTATTCATAAAATCTGTTTGAAAATCTGATATTGTGCATTGTTTGCCGTACCCCTCTAACTAGTGTAATATTTGTATCTCACGCGCTTGGTCGTTCGCTACGGCTCAAAGCTTATGCAAAATACAAGAATTAAAAGATATCGTAATCGTTGATACCATGCTTAGTACTTAAATGAAACGGATCTTATTTGCATGCCGTTAAGATTCAAAATTACTTAACTTATTCATAAAATCTGTTTAAAAATCTGATATTGTTGCCGTACCGCTCCAACTAGTGAATATTTGTATCTCACGCGCTTTGTCTAAAAATCTGATATTGTGGCAAACGCGTATAATATCGCGATTCGTGTTGGTATAGCGAGTGAGCGAGTATTCGGTACATCAGATTTCGGAAATATCAGATATTGTAAAATACATAGATTTTGAACGAGCCAGTAAGCGATTTTCAGATATTGTACCAATATATAGTTTTCATATCCGATACGATTTGTATCGCCCACTTCTATAGTTTAGTATGTGCCAGGCGCAAGACGCAACGACACGAGTGTCCTACCTAATAGGGGTGGGTTATACTTGCTAACTCGCATACCCGGTCTTAAAAGTACTTCCACATTCTCATACCAGGTATCAAAATACTTTTAAAGTATTTTCTGTTCCTTGCAAATTTAAACCTTGTTGCTATACACATAAGATTCAAAATACTCCAATCAAGACGTAAAATACTTTGAAAGTATTTTACTTCACGTATAAGGACAATCTGAACCTTATATATACAGCGTGTCGTTACCATCGCAACAATAAATGAACACACGTCTTTACGCTACTTGCCAATAATCATAAAAAAATATTAACGTTAAACAAAATCCATAATTAAAAGAAAATATTTTTCAAACAAACTAATTAAGTAAAAAAGAAACAAAATTTGTAACATCCTATACAACTCGCACCACAACGTCGTATTACAAGCCTCTCCTTCTAACAGTATGTTTTCTCTCTTTTAAATTCATTCAACCCATTCATATGCTTTGTGACCTTTACAAATGAACTTTACGTTACGCTTTTATAGGTAAGGGTGTTCTAAACTTCTTTGTTTTGGATAATTTTATAACTCTGTAAATATGAATGTCTAAAGAATTTAAATGTTTAATACAACTTTAAAAAGTTATCCCCTATATGTGTGTTCATTTATTGTCGCGATGGTAACGACACGCTGTATATATTATATATGAACATAAGTTTTTTAACCAAGTGAGAGAGACCGATACACATTGCTTCGCCATCGCACGGCGCTTGCCCAGGGATGTCAACTTAGGAATTTTCTTCCTAAATTTAGGAATAAAAATGTGGAATGGAAGTTTTTTGGAAGGTGAATTTTTAGAGGAATATTTTTTTAGGAGTTAAATTTTATCACATTTTCGAATCAAACTACTTATTTAAAAAATAAAATAACATTTTACAGCGCTGTGCTGCTTTGGACGACGTAAGGCCAAATCCTATGTGTCTGATATGAATATTTTATGTATTCAAATCATAATTTTTTTAATAATGTTTTGATTTTATTTTTAACATATTCATTTCAAATGAATTATATTATATTTAGTCCTTGACCATTTTGAATGAAATTGTTTATTTTATCAGATTTTTAATTATTTTGCCTTTACCTATAATATAAAAAATTGTTATTTTAATTTTAGAAATTTTTGTTTGAATTTAATGAATTTTAGTGGGTTTTCGAATTGTTTTAGGAGTCTTATTTTTGAACAGTTGGTAAAACTGCATTCGTTAATTCGAAGTTATTAAACTAAACCCTTATTAATTGCATTTAATGTCTTTCATTTTTCACAAGAGTACTGGGGTAAAATTTTTGATTCTTTTTCTTTTGTTATACTTAAGAAGTGCAGCAGCCTTGGCTGTTGTATGAATGGGCGGACTCATCTATAGAAGTACCACAGCCTCACAGAAAACTATTATGTAGTGGTAGTATTTTAATTCTGTGCTTCATCTGGTGAGTAAAGTAATGGGAGTTGTTGCAGATATCAATAAGAAGCAGTTATCACTTAACATCTGGTGAACCTCCATTTTGCTTTCTACCTTTTCAAGTATAAAAAAACTTACAAATGAACAGTTGCAACATTAGACTACAGATTATTTAATACACCAATATCATGTAATCTGACAACCTTTCAATTAAAATTGTTAACTGTATAAGGTCATTATTTAAGTAGAAAGCAGATGATATGTAAGATACACAATTAATGAAAAATGTTGTTGATAAACTCCACAAAAAAATCCAATTTATTTTATACTTTAATAATTATTTCATTGTATGGGAACAACTGAGTTCCATCTCTTCACTTCACTTGACTGCTGTATTGTTTGTTATTACACTGACATTTATCAATGTTGCCCTACTGCTTAAAACAATCAGAATGGAAAATTTTACATATTAGTTTGACTCATATTTTCATTTGATAATCAATTTAAGGTGTGTAATCAAATTTTACAATTACATATAATGTTTTAATAGAAAACAGATATTGCTTTACAAACTACTTATATTATTCCTACCCACTTCTAATACAATACTAATAATAATTCCTATGATGCCAATATAATTTTGGGGATAAAAATAATTTTCTTGCACTTATTAGAACATAAATCATTTTATGTATATGTACATATCATATGATCAAATCATTTCACAGCATCAATAATATGGAAGCAAGAATAGAAACATTATACTTATAATGGAATACAACATTTGATTCAGTTCAAAACTTAAAATTTATTATATTTCATTGTTTTGTTTAAGTTCCATGTTAAGAGTTACACAAGAAGACATATACATTTTTAAAATTTTTTATAAGCCTGTCTTCATAAGTGTTAATAAGATATAATAGATTCTCCCACAATCAATGTACTATTAATTCAACAATGAACATACATAGAACATATAAAATACTTGGATAAATTATATGGGTAGTATTACTCACCTGTATGGATATTTAGCACAAAACACATCACAAAGTGTGGCAAAATCATTGTATCTTCTGGTAACTGTAGTCCCATGCCTCCTTGAGCTCACAAAATATTCACAATGTTTTAATATTAGCCCCTTGCGTTCCGGAACAATATCTACGCTAATCACATCAGTCGCTTCCAAATCCTCAAATGTCACTTCTTCTGAACTATTTAGCATCCTGTTTATTACAAGCCCAGAGACAGGGAAAGTTATGTTATTTATATGTCAGACTGATTAATCATTCTTTAATATTTTCTCATTCTGTAAAAATTGAATTATTGCAATACATTAATAAAAGCAACCATTTATTAAAACATTTATGTACATAAACATTTATCATACTTACTTTAATTATATGTATAATAAATATGCGTGAATTAAAGAAATGTTTATTCATTGAACACTAAGTTAAAACTAAGTAATGCATTCGCAACTTGCAAATCATAGTACGAATCCACTTCTAAACTGTCTTCAGCACACACCTCCAAAACAGTACAGCTAAAAATAATTAGGTATTTGTAAGTCAAGAAAAGCTATAAAATACAATTATTTGTAAATTCACAAACAAAAATCCGCCAGCACGGAAAAGTTCTTTACCGTTCGGAAATACCTTAAAGTTTAAAGTGACGTTTTGTTTTCTTTATCAAATCAAAACCGAAATAAAAATATTTATTAATATTTCTAATAAAATCGCCAAGCAATGTAAGTAAATAAAACAATATTACTTCCTGTTTTGCAAAAGTCCTTGTTTTATTAGTTCGACTCTGGATACGTAGAATGCTCCAGTTTCTATTAGGTCCCCTTCCCAGTCTTGTCTTCGAGGTCTTCTTTTATAATTAAAATTTATTGGAATAAGACTTCCATTTACAATTTTCCATCGTAATTTATAACTTCTGAAATAAAGTATAAGAGCAATTTTTAATAAAATATGATAAAAACATATATTCCATTGGAATACTTATGTTTACTATACTTTTATCGCACCTTGTAGCAGAAAATACACAATCGTATGGTTTTGGATAGTTTAATTTTCTTAATGCGCCTTGTAAATCTTTGTATCGAATAAAGGGAGATGTAGCTTGCAACAATATTAAAATTTTAGCGTGTGGCTTAGAAGCAAGAAATTCCGCAATACCCCAGATTGATGGGGCAAAATTGGTAGCTGTTACAGAACTACGTCGAAATGCAGAAGCACCATCTGTAAAATGAAACTTTAAAATAAACTGTTAACTTTTATGACATAACAAGTGAATATATGATATACTAACATTTTACAGCTTCTAATGCTATTAAAGGATGATCAGTAGAGACAGTAACATTTATTAATCCCGCCTTTTTTGCCGTTACAATGGACCTAGCAAGTAAACTCAAACCACCAACTGTTTTTAAATTTTTTAATGGTATGCCTTTAGATCCACCTCTAGCTAGTATTAGCACTGCTATATCATCACTACAAAAAACTATCGAACTAAAAAAGAAAAAAATATTTTTAATTATATTACTAAGTATTAGAAAAAGTCATCGTATATCTTTAGTTAGTAATATAAAACAAATTACTACATACAAAATCGCTCCTAAGATCACTACTCGCATTTTATTTTGATCCACTGTAGCTTGTTTTACTGCACTCACAAGTCTGTTGGTTGGTCTCAGTTAATATGCCTAATAGGTCACTTCCGTCCTCCATGTGTTTTTGTCATTCGTAATAATATGTTCAATGTTCAATTATTACATGAAAGACATTTGAATATATTCTTTATAAAGAAAAGCTTAATTCTTGAATTTCAATAAAACAACTATAAAGTAATATCCATGTATATAAACATCCTTAGATTATAATACAATATCTTCATTTATACGCACATTATAATACAGGAACGAAAACTTCTGTTTAAATCTACACAATCTTTATAGAAAAATATTTTCCTTTTGGAGTTACACCGTAGATTTGAAATTTTAGGCTCTACATTATGTACGTATGAGCTATAGTTTAAAACAAACGAGTGATGAAAAATGATTTTTCACATGAAGCGAGGACTAACAGTCCATAAATAAAAATTAATATCACAGTTTATTGGGAAACGCAGCCAAACATCCTTTATAGACGAAGATGTTGCTCAAATAAGGGCGCGAAGGTTAGAAATATGCATATGATCAAAACATCACAAAACAATATAACTGTACTGTTTTGTGATGTTTTGATGATATGCATTTGTGTTAAATAGGTTTAATTAGCAAAAATATCTTATCCTTTAAACGAGCAATTCTTGTGTGTATATATATATAATCGGAATCTCGGAATCGGCTCCAGCGATTGAATTATAGATTGATAGAAAATGTCGTTTTATTCCTGCTTTCAGGAATGAAAAATATCATTCGAATATGACGGGAAATTTCGGCGAAAAAAAAAATGGCGGCCCCGAAACAGAAGGCCGCGGTTCATGTTTTGATCATTTACACACTTATTTTTTTTACTTTTTTATAAAAAGATACGGAGCAAAGCTCGGTCACCAAGGTAATTTTAATTAATCTGATAAACATTTAAACAAGCTGTTGTGGGTATGTTTACACTATGTAAACATACCCACAGAATAAAGAAAATAAGTTGTGAAACTGTTTCTCTATTACTGTGTCTCTATTTCATTAGCAGTACCTTTTTTGTTAACGTGGGGGAAATGCCTACACATCGCGAGGGCAAGAACGAGGGCAAGCCTTTGGCACTCTTCCGCGACATTGCCAGCGCTGATCGCCTCAGCAGCCCCTTTTCAGGGGAGCAATTCCCCTCTCCTCCAGGTAAGAAGGCGGGCTGAATGTTTCAGCTCGCTCGGCCCCTTTTTTTAACGTCCAACGAATTCCCCCGAGTTCGCTGACCATTGGAGCCAGGAGAGCCAGTGCTAATACGCATCACGCCCCCCCAGCGGTGGACCTGCTCTGTGTTTCCACCGCTAATCTCGTTTCGCCCACGGAGGGTAGGGAGAACGGTGTATCGCAATATCGACACTCCTCTCCCCCCGCAGCCCCACCAGGGAGCGGAGCACGTGGAGGGTAGGGAAAGCGGCAAAATGCATTACCGACACTCCTCTTCCCCTGCGACTGCGTCCTCCGTTGCAGAAGACAGGGAGAGTGCCTCCACCTCTACCACCCTCGACCTGTCCCCTGCATCCTCCAGTCCGCATCCAGAGTGGACTCAATGAGTCTACTCGGAAAGGCACTCTCGGGCCAACCTTACACTACAGGCTGGCCCAGTGTGGGAACCAAGCCACGGCTACGAAGCCCCTCAAGTCAAGGCGGAAACCTGTTCGGAGGGGTCCGTGAGCCATAACTACCCAACTTTTACTAATCGAATGAAATCGAAATTAAAATGAATCGATATTGATATTTGACATTATGAGATAGGGCTAGTTATGGCTAGCTATTACAGTTGAGCTTTTAGTATATGTCTTATCTATGCAGTTGACACTTGACAATGACATCGTTGACAACTGGACACTCGGAACTACAAGTGTCAGGTAGTACTTCTACATAAACCTCACTGAAAACCGTTTCAGTAGGCATGAGATATACCTGCAACATTCTATACCCGGCCTCAAAGGTACGGGTATCGCCGTATACCCGGTGCTAAAACCCAGTATCAAAATACCTATAGGTATTAGTTATGTTCAGGCCTCCTTTTGGAGACGCGGTCGAATCAAACGAATTGAACCTTTGGTTGGACTTGGAACATTTAAATGTTTTTTTTAGCAATCAGTTTTTTTAAATTGAGATTTAATCAGTCTAAAATAAGCTCCATCTTTACTAACCTAAAGAACCCTATTATAAAAAAAAGTAATTATTTTTTTTATTAAATAATTTAATAATCAATTTAATAATCAATTTAATAAATTAAATTATTTATTTAACTTATGGTCATAGAAACAAAGAATAAATTTATCTCAAGGAATTATTTGGTATAAAATGCCTAAATCATACGTTTCAATTCGGGCATGATCGGGAAGAGCCGCCGTATGCGTTCGGGGAACTTCGTACCTATTCGGCCGGCGGGTTGTCGCGAGCGTATATACCGCCACCGTCGGACGAGGCGGCCATACCTATCGGGTATGGAACGGGCCTCTGCCGTACATACCCGGTGTGCGTACTGGTATGTTCATACTGGGTATTTATACCTGTTCCAGTATATACGCCTCATCCCTACGTTTCAGTATATATGTCTTATCTATGCTGAAAACTAAGATGTTAAATAAGTTTAGAGCACAAAACAAAACGTAGTGGTTATATTCTCTTTGGTAAAGTATGTCCTACAATTGTTACGATTTGACTGTCTTAATGGTGTGGACTGTGGATCTAATGTTAATAAATTGTATTTCTTATATTTATATTTCATAAATACATGTAAACAAAGAGTAAAATAATCTATCATGTCAATACCTACGGCATGTACCTAATAATAACACATTCTATATATTTTTAATTTATGCGAACAGCGAGATTTAGACTCCATAAGAAAAAGTCAAATATTCTTTAGTATATTCAATAATTAGTGACGAAAGATGTTGTTCGTTGCTCTGTAAACTCTATATTATCTCTCGGAGAAAAATGAAAGACATAGAAAATGTCGAGAAAGAAATAAAAAAGATTGATCACGAACTACGTAAAGTTGATATCGAGATTGCTAAATGGAAAAATCGGCAACGTGAGTTGCAAGAACAGAAGATAATATTAAAAAAAACCATTAACAAAATTAAGTCAGAATCATTAGCCAGTGTTGACTGGGCTGGCACGACCTACGAGTGGTCTGACGATGTGAAAAAAGTTCTACATGATGTCTTTAAAATTAATTCATTTAGACCAAAGCAGCTGAGTGCCATTAACTCAACTTTATCAGGGCAACATGCCTTAGTAGTGATGCCTACAGGAGCTGGTAAAAGTTTGTGTTACCAGTTACCAGCTCTTGTTAAACCGGGTATCACAATTGTTATTTCCCCACTCATATCTCTAATGGAAGATCAGGTTAGATCATTAACAATGAAAAATATTCCAGCAAAACTTATGACAAGTACTAGTCCAAAGGAAGAGACAACAGCTGTATTAAACCTTTTGAAGGATAAAAATACACCTGTCAAATTATTATATGTCACACCAGAGCGACTGGCAAAAAGCAAGAGGTTCATGGCCAATTTACAAAAATGTTTTGCTGAAGGTAGACTTCAAAGAATTGCCATAGATGAAGTGCATTGTTGTTCTCAATGGGGACATGACTTTAGGCCTGATTATAAATTTCTTGGAATATTATCAAATATGTTTCCTAACATACCAATATTAGGTTTAACTGCAACTGCCACAGCACATGTTCTTAATGATGTTCAGAAAATCCTTAACATACAAGGTTGTCTAGTTATTAAATCTACTTTCACATAGACCTAATTTGTTCTATAAAATATTAGAGAAACCAACATCACAGGAGGAATGTACATCAATAGTTGAAAAACTTTTGAAATACAGGTATAAAGGTGAAAGTGGTATAATATACACAAATAGTATTAAGGACTGTGAAGATTTAGCACAAGAGTTGAGGAAAAGGGGTTTAAAAGTGTGCTGTTACCATGCAAATATGGAGGCCGAGTCTCGGAGTAAGGTTCACATCAAGTGGTATGAAAAATATTACCAGGCAATTGTAGCAACAGTTGCTTTTGGAATGGGCATTGATAAACCCGACGTAAGGTTCGTAATACACCATACCATAAGCAAATCAATGGAAAACTATTATCAAGAAAGTGGTAGAGCAGGTAGAGATGGTCTTAGGGCTGAGTGCATTACTTTGTACAGAATGCAGGACATTTTCAAAGTCAGCACTATGGTGTTTTCATCTATTGGTAGTCTTGATCATTTATATGGGATGATTAAATACTGTCTTAATGGAACACTGTGTAGAAGACAACTTATAGCCGAACATTTTGATGAAGATTGGGGTAGCACAGACTGTAATAAAATGTGTGACATATGTTGTAATCTAAATCCTACTGTAAAAGAAATAAGTCTAGAAAACCACTGTAAGGCATTATCCGATATCATAGACAACGCTGAAAATAATGACACTAAGCTCACTGCACAAAAACTACTTGATGCATGGTATTTAAAAGGGCCGGTTAATCTTAGAAACAAAGGAAAGGAACCTAACTTTTCCCGTATCATAGGTGAAGATGTAATTGCATTTTTATTAGTTCAAGGATACCTTGTCGAAGACTTTCACTTTACCGCATACTCAACAATTTCTTATATTAAGAAAGGTCCTAACATGGATGCTGTGAAAGGTGATGATTTTACATTAAAAATGTCAGTCAGGAAGTATTTAGATTTTGAACTGGACAGACCAGCTCCAATAGAAATTGAACCCATGGACCAAGTAAATGGCAAAACCAAGCATACAAAAGTGGAGAAATCAAAAAAGAGATCTTCCAGTATAGAACCAAAGCCTAAAAAGTCTAAGCCAATTATTATTGATAGTGATGAGGATTAGAATAGGATAATGTTTGTTTTCTTTGCATACTTTTTTTTTATAATACTATCTTGAACTTTATAATAATTAATTCGGCATGGAAACCTTAGTATATATAAAAATTAACTCAATACTTCAGCAAATAAAATTTTAATGAAAGCAACTCTTTCTTTTATCTGCAAAGCTAAAAAACCTATTGATGTAGATGCAGGTGTATGTGTAAACGGTAAAAATATTTTACAAAAGTATTAATAGGTGCAGGATAATACAAAATTATTTAAAAAGAATAAATTTAAACTCTTCGCCGAGGAGTGTATTGTAAAGGTGTAATGCGACTGTAAGCATCAACATTCTCTTCGGTCCCTCTATTATTTTTCCCTTTTGATTGATCTTTCTTAGCCAGTGATGATGTAGATTGTTTGGAACCACCTGAAATGTGGTGAAACTGGTTTAATGATTATTGATGATATTATGACTCGTTTAATGATGTTGCAGTGCCAGATTAACAATTGCTACAGGCCGAGCGCGAAAGGAGGCCCCGCATATTTAAGCCCACTCATCTCTACCCGAGAGTAATTTTTTGAGTGAAACTTATTAAGTAAGGAAGAGTATTGAATTGTTTTTTACCACTTTATACTTAAGAACCCATTGCAGATCAAGGGCTGTTTGAAAGAATTTGCTACGGGCGCCGCGCTTGCTTAGTCCGGCACTGCGATGTTGGGATACAGATGTTTTACCATTAGAGAAAAAGAGCAGTCCTACCTCAATCGTTAAACAATGATAGAACGCAAAAGTATGATGTTTGCACTTCACACCGAGGTTTTGCGAGACCGTGATACTACCACAGATAAGCATGCCCATTCTTGCAAAAACAGAAGCTGCTGCGTAGCCCGACCACAGTAGGAATCCAAATAATTTTCCATAAATAATGCACTTTTACAAGCATCGCAAGAGTTGATGATTCCGTGGCGTAGTTGCCGAGGCATTGGCTTCGGCGCCAGGGGCTGTGAGTTCGATTTCCACACGAAACAACTATTTGTATGACTCACATTTTTTTTCCAAATCTGGGTGCTCGTACACGTGAAATTTCTGTATGTAAAGCTTCCTTACGACAAAGGATAATGTTATCCTACAAATAAGGGTGCAAAGCAATTTTTTCAAAGGGAAAGACTACAATATACCTTCCAGATCGCACTGCTCGTTGGGACTTACTACCTAATCACTTCCACACAAAATAAAAATACATCACACATGATGACATACGCTGACTTACATATCAGCGGCATTACGGAACTCCATTTCGAATCCTTTAGAAAATTCATAGAAATAGTCACTGTTAAGTTAATGCATTGATACAGTTACCCGTACGAGTTGCACCACCGTTGCTCCTCACGCTCCGCCTGCCTGTGTCAAGGACGCTGAAGCCAGAGCCCTTGGATCGAACCGAAGAACACTCGCTGTCTACCCCCAACGCGTCCAGCGCTCTCATACGCTCCGCAATCTGGTCCTGTATGATCTCGCGATGGTCGTCTGCCGCCCCCAACACCTCCATCTCGGCCAACCAGTTCGCGCGCTCGCGTATTTGTGTTACCACTGCAATTATATCGTCAATCGCATTTCTCATCGCCGTGTTGTTATCTTGTGTGGCGTTAACAACTGGACTAAAGCAACGCGTGTAAACTTTTTTCTAAAACTATTTGATTAAGGTTTAGTAAGTAGAAATGAACGCGCCGTATGTAACAGTGAGCAAGATAATCGAGATAGTAAGCATCTTAGATTAACGTGTGCGCGATATCTTATTACAAAAATTGATTTTTTATTTAGACATGAAGAAGCTCTTTGCGCGAGGGGTGCCGCGTTTACTGACCGTTGATCTAGTGTCACTACTTATGAAGTTTGCTGTTGTTTGAAAGAAACAAAACTGAACTCTAGCGTTGTTCTATAATAGAACAAAACAAAGATCCAACACCATACACCAGAAACCAAGCAAAAATCGAAATAGTACATTTCTACGGGCAAACCAGCTCCAAAGAAGGCCAAACCAGTTTTATCGGCCAATAAAGTGATGTCTACAGTTTGGAAATGCACGTTAGGTAATCCATATTGGTTACCTAGAAAAGGATGAAACTTTAATGGTGAATATTATGCCAATTTCCTGAAAAACGACCGCATTTGGCTTAGAAAATTTTCTTACAAGAAACGAGTGTACACCTGCGTAAATGCCATGGCCAAATTCCTTTAGTTGTTATCTCACCCACAGTATGCGCCAGATTAGACCGGGCTGCCCTTGCGTCTATTCTGTTTCCGAATTTAAGAAAGTACCTCAGTATGAAAAGAATTAGTTTCGACCATGAGGTTGGAAATAAAATGTATTCTTTTACTTAAGCTATTCATAAATTTTTTGGACTAGGTAAGATACGTGAAAACAGCATTTGTAGCATGTACGGAACATGTTCTAGACGCGTTTATCACATTATTTTTTCCGTTCCATATGGAATGCAAAACGGGCGGCCGGAGGACCCTGAAAACAGAGGGACGAGATATCTTTCAGCGTGTGATTAACAGAAGACTTTTTTGGATAGTGCCCACTGCAGATCGCTTGTTTATTTATAAAAAAAAAACATACCATTACTTGTTTTATAAAATTGGAACGATATATGTATACATATTTATATCGATTAAACTTACGGCTAAAATTAATGTTATTCTATTCCCTACAAAAAGTCTCTTACGATCGTTCCATTTCTCCTTATTGGTAGGCAGTTTTGGCGGGAGTTTGATTGGGCGCGGCGGTCGCGGCGGCTGTTGACCTTTATCGCCATACGCCATGACATTCGCCAGTCCCTCCTTCATTTTCTCCCGATCTTCGCCTCGCTTCAATGGCTTGTAACTTAAAAAGATTCTATATTATAAAATTAAGCAAGTATTATAATCCTTGCTTAATTTTATTTAATTAAATTAATTAAGTTTTTTAATTGCGCTTAATTAGGTTTTGATAACGTCAACGCCATTTACTATACATTATATATACATAAGCTATTTTGTCGTATTCGAGACAAATAGTTTCGGTCTCATTGAATCCACCCTCAATCCCTTGAGTTTATACTTACGAATCTGTTTCAAGAACACCTGACGCCCGAATAGCAGAAAGAGAACGGCGACAAGAAGTTCTGGGTCGCAGAATTCTCACATTTTGCCTAACTATTGGCGTTTCCTTTGTCTCGTTCTCTCTTAATCTGTACGCGGATTTACGTCTCTGTGCAATTGTTAGTTTCGATTCTTCTAAGAGCACTGAAAAAAAAACCAAAATCAAAAATTTCTAAACATATTTACATGCTTGTCATGTTCTGTTGTTAGGACGAAACGTTGCAAATCATCATTAGTTATTTATTCTTCGTTCTAGAGATAAAAATAAATACAAAGACAAAAGTTTTTATCGAATACAGAATTAACATTTAATCTAGTCTTTCTTTTCTCTTTTAGTTGGTACGATTTTTTCTTTAGCAAACTTGCATTTAAGGAACTCTTGCTGTGCACTAGAGACTTCTTCCACTCGCGTGTGAAAAATACCACCATGAGGAATATTTTTACTAGGCCATGTTACATTCACATATCCATTCGAGTCAGGGATTTCCATAATTTAATTTTTACAATTGACTTAATGTCTCTGTAAAATTCACGACTTTGAGACATTTGTTTGCATATTTCCCCTGGCAACGGATCTAACAAGTGGAGCTATAAAAGATACAAACATGTAATATTAATTTCCATGCTTCTGCACGCAAAAGTTTAGTTTAAATTTAAATTTATTTACTTTGAAGCTATATTTTTTTTCTGTTTATATACTAAGTACATAAATATTAAGGCATATAAGTAATATTGTTTCTGGCTTTATGAAAATATTTAGATATAAAATTAACTTTAATTAATATGTATTATATTTTTTAATTTTTATCTAGCTCCCGTTTTTATGAGTTGGGTTTTCGTTATAATATTAATAAAGATCAATGAGGCAAATCCTTTCTTTTTTGTAGGACTTAATTTATTTTTTGTTAAATTATTTTTTTCTACGTTTAAAAAAGGGGTAGTTAACTATCGATAGTTAAGGTAAAAGCAATAGTATTGATAGTCTATCGATAGTATTGTCACGTGTCAATATTATCCATACTACCTATCGATAGTATCGATACTATCGATGATTTTGTACTATCAATAGCCTTTTACTGGCTATCGATAGTACAAACCTATCGAGGCTATCGATAGTATCAATATGTTTGGCCAAAAACTAATGGAAATGGCAATACTATGCACCGTTGGACAGAGGAGTCCACGGTCCACCACTCAACCCCATTGCGGATTGGCAGACTTCACATGCCCATTTAATTTTTTTTTGTTATTATTAAGAAAATAATTCCGCATTTAAAATTTACAATTTCATTCGTGCTGGCATCAGGATTTGAACTCTTAATCTTGTTTTGAGGTTGTTCGAATATCCTTACTAATATTATAAAGGCGAAAGTTTGTATGTATGGATGGATGTTTGTTACTCTTTCACGCAAATACTACTGAATAGATTTTAATGAAACCTTACAATAATATAGCTTATACATCAGCATAAGACAAAGATAGGCTTTAATTTATATTCATATTTTATGTATAACTGTCTTTCTGTCTGAATGTTACGCCTTCAGCCTATTCTACGCAGACGTAGTGGCGGGCAGCAGCTAGTATTGAAATAAAAGCAAGCGCTTGGATACAGTCACAGCTCTCTTTTTCTAGTCTATGACTGATAATATTTCTAATAGATTACTGACATAATGAGTTTACCATGGAAGATTAAATTTCTACTTCTTTTGTAGATGAATTGATACTCAAATACTGGCCAGTTTTAAGGTAAAAAATAAATACAGCATTATATACAAAAGTACTCTGTGGCGGTAAATTATACTTATAGATGACGATGACATTAATCAAATGCAACATTAATTTAAACGTGCAAGTTAAATTAGTGAATGAAAGCCCAGTATAATTTTTGTTCAATAAAATTAATTTAAACAGCGCAACGTATTAACTACATAATTAAAATGGATAATTCAGTTGGATCCGCCATAGAAAAAATAAAATTTCAAGAAATGACTACTGAAGCTAAACTAAAAGAAAAACGTGAGAGTAAGTTTTTAATTATTATTTTAATTTTAAAAGGATTGATAAAATGAACATAATAAAGCTGTAAATTTTTTAAGATTGCCCATTAACGTCTTATTTGACTTGTTAACATAGCATTTTGTTATTTAAAGAATTAGGTTTCATCAATTCGTGTGTACAATTATGCAGAATGCTAGTCGAAAGCAGTGATGGAAGAGATGGATTTTTTTGACTCGAATTGATATGGCTACTGAAGTCTTCTTTTTCTTTTCTTCTTATGTGATATGGCTACCCGTCGTGAAAACAAAGAATGTTTCCGTTTTTATAACATAAAGAATTCCCACGCCACACTTCTTTTATTTGGCGCCATTACAAACAAAACTGAACAGATAACTAACAAATGAAAAGGTCAAGTCGCGTGCGGGTCGCCAACGGTCAAAATTAAACAAAAAAATGTCAATCAAAAAAACTTTCAACGCGGTTTTTCATTCGCGCAATTCCGTTTCCGATCCTGGCCGAGCGAGCTCGACCTAACCCGAATTCTATCTGTATCTATTTCGTTCGATAGGTTAGGTGTTGCACCTCACTAAACTTGATGCGAGTGAGATGCAACACATAACGAACAGCTCGGGCGAACCGTGTGTGTAACTCGTCAACTCGTAAGACCCCGCGTAGAGATGGTTGTATCGCTTTTTCTGAGTACCGTATCTGAATCAGATTTCGATTTCAAATATCAGATTTCGAAACTATGTATTTTAATATCTAGATATTTTACGGTCCTCCTTGAATTCTAAAAAAAAAAAAAATATGTTTTCAACAATATTTTATACTTATTATAAATATAAATTGTGCAGGCGTATTTAAAAGTTGATTATTTAGATTCCTCCGGGTTTAAGTCTTGTTCGACGATCATTATACCTATACATAACTAAACCCAGTGAAACCAACTGTTCAAAAAGAATACTTCTAAATAAATTCGAAAACCCACTAAAATTGACATTGAAAAACTTACTGAATTTAAAATCACGATTTTTTTATACTATTAAGGTAAAATTAAAACATTACTTGATTAAATTAAAAATTTCATTAAAAATAGAAATTGAAGTAATATAAAAATGATTTATTTTAACATCTTATATATCGCTTAATAATTGATTTTAATATATTCTTAGAACACGCAATCATGAGTGACAATATTTTTATAATTTGTGTAAGAAATAATACATTCAGTATTATAACTTAGGGCGGAAGAATTTAAAATATAAACACAAAGTCACATAAGCCTTGGCCTAATTTCCACCCAAGCAGCATAGCACTATTAAATTATATTTTTCTTTTTGTGTAGTTATATTTTTTTTCCAAAAATATGAATAAAATTTAACTTATAAAAATATTCACAAAAAATTTACCTCCTAAAAAATTTCCATTTATATTTTTCTTCCTTAATTAAGGCAGAAAATTCTTAAGTAGTAAGTTGGCATCCCTTACTATTACGTGCTAGGTACCAATGCAATCCAGGTCAAGGCTAAACAAAATTTAAAGACATCGTTAATACCGTAATTCGTATTTAAATGCAACTAAAAATGTTTTTTTCCATGCTGTTAAGATTCAAAATTACTTAACTGCGCGCTTTGTCGCCCGTTACGGCTCAAGGCTAAACAAAACAATAAAAATATACTTAATAATATCGTTGTAGTAATCGTTGATACCATGATTAGTATTTAATTGAAACGGATCTTATTTGCATGGCATTAAGATTCAAAATTACTTAACTTATTCATAATATCTGTTTAAAAATCTGATATTGTGCCTTGCTTGCCGTACTGCTCTAACTAGTGTAATATTTGTATCTCACGCGCTTTGTCGCTCGAAATCTGATATCGTGCATTGCTTGCCGTCCCGCTCTAACTAGTGTAATATTTGTATCTCACGCGCTTTGTCTCTCGAAATCTGTTTAAAAATCAGATATTGTGGCAAACGCGTATGATATCGCGATTCGTGTCGGTATAGCGAGCGAGCACGATACATCAGATTTCGGAAATATCAGATATTGTAAAATACATATATATTGAACGAGCCAGTAAGCGATATTCGGATATTGTACTAATATCTAGTTTTCATATCTGATACGATTTGTATCGCCCACTTCTACCCCCGCGTATAGCGCTCGGTTTGTGTTCAGTCGACCGAGTTGCTTAAACTGAACCTGAAATGACTCGTTTACTGTTTGATTCGAGTCACTCGAATCAAGTAACTCGACTCGCACATCACTAGTCAAAAGTAGTTCTTGAATTAGCGGGAAGCTTCCAAAATTTACATCAAGGATTCGCGCCTGATTTTTAATATGAATATAATAAGAAACTTAAAAATAATACATAAAACTAACGCAAAATCATACTGGCACTAAAATTTAATTTTAATAGCACAGGCAACATTTATATGGTTTTATTAATTTTGCGACTACATGCCTTGGCAGCCTAAGTTCGAATACTCGCAGCGGCGAAAAATTTTACGACAGTTTTATCTACCGGAAGGAAGTTAGCGTAGAATAATATTTTTAATTAAACGATATGCCGTATAATTTCTCTTGAAATGCTCCATTAGAATCCGTAATTGCTCCACGCTTGTTAATATTCATTTATTTTTAATTAATTAAAAAAAATTAATTTGTTTATAAAACATAAAATATTCAGGTAAAAAATTTTTACTTTGATTCAAAAGACGGAAAATAAGTGACCGAGAGCTTACTAGATTGTGGGTCATACAATGTAATATATGACATAGATATTCTTCTCGTAAGTATATTTTTTTTCTCGTTCATTAAAAATTCATTAAATTGCACTCAATTTGCTCTAGTAATAAAAAAATATTACAATTTAGCAATATTTATAATAATTAATATAAAAAAAATATTTGCATGTAAATTTCCGCACTATGACGTCATCAGTGGCCGTTGAATTCATTGAAAGCTATGTTTTCATGAATCCTCGTCACTACAATTTCATGTTAGAAAATAAAATTTATAATTATTAATTAAGTATTGCTGGCTAATTTACTAAATTAATTAAATATTACATTTAAATAATTATAGATTGAAAATTATTATTTTAAAAATATTAATACTAAATTTAAATATAACATTAACATACATATCTAACGTAACATAATAATAACATAACATAGCTTTTACAATGAAAAATTTTGAAGTATAAGTTAATTGAATAATTACAATTCCCGATGAGACAGACAAATGCATAATTATATATAAAATAAAGAGAAATAAAATAATGTTATTTTAGCCGAAGCCACAGCGGCGTCGCTTCATCGGAAAATACGGGAAACAATATCATTCATTGAGAAGTCACAAAAGGACCAAGTTGATTTGGGCAAAAGAATTGACAAACTTCGTTGTCAGGTGCAGCTAGAAAGAATAAATCGTGACGCCCTACTGGCCCAAATCGACGCCAGCAAAAAAGAGCTAGAGGAACTGAAGAGACAATCGGTAAAGAGTTATTAAACTGTGGTAGGTTCATGCAACTGCTAGCTGTTGCACGAACGGGTAGCTCCATCTGCGGAAGTACCACGACCTCACAGAAGACCAGGCTATACTTCATCGTTTCGTCTGGTGATTGAGATAAATGTCCACTTTATTAAAAGGTAGCAACGCATCTGCAACCCTACGGGTGTGCAAATGTCCATAGGCGGCGGTTATCACATAACATCAGGTGGACCGCCGGCTTGCTTGCGATCTTCTTACATTAAAAAAATTATTACCACTTTTAAAGATATCATTTACAGGCTGGAAGCTAAAGTAGCCAGTATCACATACGGCTTATTGAAAAATAATACACAGTATCAGTTTTACTGCAGACAATGCTGTGTTATAGAGCATTTTCTATACACAGGTTTACCATGCACAAACCCAGATCCAGGATTTTCCTCGGAAAATCAAATTCACGCTCTGCATTTGTAGCCATTTTGTTTTAGTCATGCAGCCATTTAAAAATTTTTCACGGTTGAAAAACTAAAATATTAAAAACCTTTTAAAACGACTGTGGATGTTCAGTAAAAATTTAACCATAATCATTACCTGAAATCTAAAAAGTATAAAGAAAGGAAAATTAAAAAACCAAAAAAAGTGTGTGTGTAGTTATGTACACGCGTTAGAAGTTATATTTCTTTGGCGTAACAAGATAAAAATATTATATTTCGCCTTACTGTACGTTTGTAGAAAAAACGACACTAACAATAGAAAAAAGGTATCTAATACATTGAAAGTTTTATTATAACGCATTATCTAGTTTAAAGTATATTTAAACATCACAAAATAAATATCGTGAATACAGTTGTCAGTTGTTAACTTTACGATGTCGGTTTTTCGTGAAGGTATGCGCGTGCACCTTTAAAATTTACTCTCATCATTTTTTCCTAACCATTATCTATAAAAGCGGCAAAAAAAGTCTGGTGACCGACGGACAGACAGACAGCGGTGTCTTAGTAATAGGGTCCCGTTTTATCGTTTGGGTACGGTAACCTAAATATCTGTATGATCTTTTTTTTTACGGGTATAGTAGGCAAACGACCATGCGGGTCATCTGGTGATAAGCGATCACCGCAGCCCATGGACATTTGCAACATCGGTTGAGTCGCAATTGCGTTGCCGGCCTTTAAGGTAGGAATAGGCTCTCTTCTTGAAGGTCCCTAAGTCGTACTGGTCTGGAAATACCGCTGGGGATAACTCGTTCCACAAAGTAGTTCTGCGGGGTAGAAAGTTTCGTGAAAAACGCACTGTGGTGGAGCGCCAACCATCAAGGTGTCGATGGTACTTGGCGGTTTATCATAAAAATATTTTCATCATCAATTAAATGATGATACTTATTTCAGGATGAAGGAATTTCCAATGTTTGGAATCTTCGGTCATCCGTTTGCAACGCGATACAGAGCGTATCTGACGAATATGATATTTGGCCACTTCTGATGAAACCGATACCCGTAGAACCATTACCCCAAATAAAACATATGGGTGTTAAAGACCCAGTATTGCAAGACGATGACAGGTTGAGAGAAGCTCTTAAGAGACGAGAGAATGCGATTTTAGAAAGAGACCGCCTTCTCAAAGAACCCGATACTAGCGAAGAATTTATTCGGTATAGAAAATTTTGTTATTATTCCATTGAAATGATTTCTGCGGTCAATTTGCTACTAACTGATTTGAATTTCAGTGATGTAGATTTATAAAATATCTCACGTATAAAATGGTACCTTTATAAAATGAGCGGTCGTCTTTTCTCTTTTATTTCGCTGTGGTGGGGCCACGCAACAGTGTTCACTGTTGCACGAATGGGCAGGCCCGTCCGGGTAAGTACCACGACCTCACAGAAGACCGGCGTAAAGTAGAAGTGTTACACTTCTGCGTTTCGTCTGCTCGTTTCATACTTTATTACATAAAAAAAGATTGTGGTGATTAAATATTTATTCAAATTATTATTTATATAAATAAATCGGTCATGAAAGTAAAATTATTGATGTTTAATAACTATTTTGTTATTTTTACGAGATGTCAAAGTATTTTTCATTTTTTTTTATTTGAAAATTTTATGTATGATTGTTCAGTTTAGAGAGGGGTTTATAAGTATACGGTATATGTATAAGTATACGGTATATATACTGCTGGACAAAAGTGTTTTCTGTAGAAGTTCACTTACACAATTTATTTTTGCTTTTATTTCGAAAACATGCAGTTTTTCTCACGATGTTTTCCTTCAACGTTGGCCACGTGATAAGTCAGCACTTAAAATTGTAATGAACCATTTCGGTGGTGCCAGCACCTGGATATGAACTGTGGTTGCTAGAGTACATTGAATTAAAAGCGACCTCCCAGAAACGAGCAATTACGGCTCTTGGAGAAACTTACTTCAATATATTTTTTGTGACGTGTGGTTTGCTGTTAGCCCTTTGGCTTTGACAGCTTCGGCGGAAGAGATCTGTCACGACACGATCCAAGGACCCCTTAGATGGAGGTTCGACCTACCGACCTACCAGACGAAGGATGAAAGCTGAATTTGCAACTGAAATAAAATTACTTAAATAGTTTTTGTATATGTAATTTCAGAATAAAAAACGCCGTTAAATATTCTGTGGAAAAAGTGGCCAAGTTTCACAATGATAATACCGTTTAAGACGATTTTTAATGAATTACATTAAATATGTTGAAAAATAATTTGCTTCTTTTTTAAAAAAAATACCTGTAATGCAAAATTGAATAATAGCTCGTGAGTAAAGATATTAAATGGTTTTGCTTTTCCTCACTTTTATTTATTTCTCGCTATTACTAAGAAACTTTAAAAATGTGAACCATAAAAAAATTATATTTATATTCATATAAATAAAAATAATAGTAGAGAAAATAAACAGCAAGTTGGATACTTTTGTTAATCCTAATTAGCCACTGGCACGCCAGCGCCACGCGTTGTCAAATCGGTGTCAGGTGCCAGCATCAGCGCGAAAAAAAAAATGTCATTGTACAACACCGACATACCGAGTTGGACACTCTACTAGAGGATATCGAGCCATTGCACACCGCCTGCTGGTGGTTGGCCCGCAGTCTGAAAGCAGAGCTCCGCGTATCCTTACGGCCATTAGCAATGTCTAATAGCATAATGAAGTGCACTTCATTAGCTCTAGATGCCTCCGAAAAAGCCGAATGCCTTGCGGACAACCTAGAGCAGCAATGTACGCCATCGCGTGAACACATCGATACAGCCCACCTAACGGAGGTGGACCGCGTAACTAGGGCTGCGCTTCCACCGGAAGACGATCCATTTAACTCAGTGACCCCCGAAGAGGTCCAAGATATTATCAAAATTTAAAACCCAAATACGCCCCGGGCCCAGACAATATTCGTAATAAAATCCTTAAAGCTCTCCCTGGGCCGCTTATCTGTTTACTGGCGACCATTTACAATACACTTCTTTCTAGTTGCTCCTTTCCGGACGATTTGAAAGAAGCCACGGTTATCGGCATTCGCAAGCCGAATAAACCCGCTAACAAGCCCTCAAGTTATCGTCCCATCAGCCTCCTCAATTGCCAGCGGAAGCTCTACGCACGGCTGTTATTAAGCAGGCTCAAAGAGCACGTATTTTCTAGCGGTATTATGTCCGTTTGAAAATACGAACAATTGTTGAACAATTCGGCTTTCGAGCTAGAAATTCCTGTCCCGATCAGCTATACCGCCTAACGGAACATATCCTGAAAGGCCCAAATCACCCGAAACACATTAGCATGGGCGCTCTTTTCTTCGATGTCGCAAATGCAGTCAACAAAGTCTGGCACAACGGCTTGATTTACAAGCTGTTCGCACTCAAAGTGGGAGACAGGCTTGAATACACCATTCGGGCCTTCCTGTAAAAACCGCCCCTTTCGATATCGAGTTGAGGGCGCCCTCTCCACAAGCCGCCGCCTCACAGCTGGCGTTCCACAAGGCTCCTGCCTCTCACCCTTACTTTTTACGCTCTACACGAGCGATATACCAAAAGAACCCCACTAAAATTAAAACATGTAGAAAAAGTACGAAAAGATTGTCGCCGCTGTGGGAATCGAACCCACGTCTTCGGCATTCGCGGCCTGACGCTCTAGCCACTGAGCTAAACGGCTGATAGCCACAGCGACGAAAATCTTAACGCCTTCTTTCTACATTGTTATTTTAGCATTTGAAGCAATGTTTGGCGCATCTATTGTTATATCGTTTCCAGCATTAAAAACTTTAAAAATTTATAAAAAGCAATTGCGACATCTCTCGTTCGAATTATCGTTGTATAACGATATTCGAAATTGTTTGTATTTTCTAAAATTAAAATAATTTTAGTATAATTAATTATAATTTATAATCTTTTTTTCTTGCAGCAGCTCTTTCTTGACGGAAGGCGACAACGCCGCAATTCTGCGCTGTGCGATTTGCCTTTCAGCACGGATTTGACTTAACCTGTACTTTACTGAAATAAAAAATGATCGTGAGAAATCATACAATTCGTCTATAAGTTTTTACTGTGGGACGACCACGCAACAGTCTTCACAGTTGTACGAATGGTCAGGTCCGTTCGGGAAGTACCGCGACCTCACAGAAGACCGGCGTGAGTGGCTGTAGCAGTGTAATACTTTTGCGTTTCGCTGAGTGAGCCGGGGCCGGTGCCCACTTTAATTAAAAGGCGTGTTGGTAACGTATTTGCAATCCCGCGGGTGTTGCAAACGTCTATGGGTGGCGGTGTTCACTCAACATCAGGTGAACCGCCAGCTCATTTGTTTCCTTGCGACTTAAAAAATAAATAAATAAGAATAATGATAAAACAAGATAAATTATCTTCAGGGGTCTCGTCACCATCACGTCCTCTTCCCCTTTCTCTTGCACGACCACACCCGCAACTTTCTTTGACGTTTCAATCATGTATCAAATCATGTATCAATGTGACATCCCTATTTTAATCAAATGCACTGTGCAAAATGTGTCAACTGTCAAACCCTAATTAAAATTAAATAACTTATACCTTTTTGTTTATACACTTAATTTACATCTTATCCTGATTTAAAATATTTTCTAAAAATGAACAGGAGTCTGTATTTGGTCAGGTAAAAATCTTTTAATTTCATATGGATATTAAAAATGTATTTAACACGCGTAATCAGCATAATCGTGATAACTAACACACATTATTTTTAATTTGCCTTTTACCAATTATATTGTTTTGTATCAAATATACGTATTTTAAAATTAAGTTGATAATGATTAATTATATAATGTTTCTGTCGATCAAAACGTGAATTAATAATAAATATGTACACATAAATATCTATAACAATCTAAACATAATTTAATAATGACAAAATCATTGTTATATTGTAACTCCGAAAATAAGTTTTACGAGAATACACTTTTGGACTGGACACATTCTATAATAATCATAAAATCAAAATCACATACATAAACAGACTGCATTTTTTCAAAAATATTGTGAAACATTTTGCAAAATTTGATTTTAACAAAGAAGTTATCAGAGTTTAATGTCTTAATATGTACTAATTTACACAAAGAAGTTTATCATTATGATCTTTTATTTTTGTGAAAGCTTGTCAAGCAAGCTGGTTGTATACCAGATGTTAAGTTATTACAGCTGCCTGTAGATATCTGCAACAATTGAGGAGTTGTAGATGTCTTGAAAACCTTTTAAAAAGTGGGCTCAGGTTACCTCACCCACCAAAAACATAAAAGCATATTTCCATTTCAAGTTGGTGCTCTGTGTGTCCATTCTCTCCAGTTGAGCCTGCCTATTCATGCATCAGCAGAAGCTGCTGAGGGGATGAAAAAGTTTAAATAAAATGGCTCTACCACTTATTATTTTATTGTTTAAATATTTGTATAATATTAAACCTTTAATACCTGTATAAATATTTTTATACTTCTTAACATTCAATTATGAATCATCATATTATTTAAAAAAATAAGGAAACAATTGAAGGAATGAAGAGAGCATCTAAAATTATGCCAGATCTTTGATATTCCATTATTAAATCTAGTTTGTCACTTGTACATTACAGAATATGTGTAATTATAATAATTAATACTTAAGGAAAATTGTTCCTTGTTTATGTTTGCACTATAATTATATTACTCATATAAGTCACCTATCATATATGACACATTGTCTGTACTATCGCAATAATATTTGCAACAATATTTAAATAGAATATTTTTATAGGAGTCGCTTCAGACGCAATCATCTAAGAGTATACTCCAGCCGTAACATTGAGGCTAATGAAAATGAACCTATAAAATTCACCACAAGTGGTGCTGCTGCAAAGAAACCAATACAACCTGTTAAAAGGGTCAAGATTGACATGCCTTGGTATCAACCATATTGTGTTATTGTCAGTGTTGCCATATTCCTTATTTATTTCTGTGTGTTACGAGAGGAAAATGATATGGATCTTGAATTTGATAAGACTCTGTATGATAGGATAAAAGGGTTAGAGAAACAGCAGTTACTTTTGGCTTATAGACATAATAAAGAAAATGGTAAAAGTGTAGAGGACATTGAGAAGAGACTAAAGGAAATAGAAGAGGAAGAAGCAAAAGAACTTACACAATAGATTAAGATATTGTTATTTTGTAGGATGTTTTAAGAGATTAAATTATTATCAATGAAATATATCTTTTCTTTAGATGCTTTCCACATTTTATATGGCGGTAATCTGATGATTAATATAATTAAAAAATATAACACTGAATTTAATCATGGGTATGATACAATAGGGTAGAAATAAATAATGGCCTTGAAGTCTATTTAACCACTGTAAAGTTGTAATTGGGAGACAAATGAGGGTGACTAAGCTTATTTCATCGATATGAATGTAAACTAATATTTAAATAAACTAAAAAAAAATTGTCAATAAATATAATCATCAATTTAAACTAATATGACTTGATAGCAGTCAATTTTAAAATATTTGGGATAGGCATCTGTATGTGGCAAAGTTTATTTCAAAGTTCAAAACTAATGAGTATGTAGGAAGTTATGTAACTACAACATTGAAAGGATAATATTAGGCTCATTAATATTTTGGCTCGCCACACAACTCAATCCTAATATAATCCTTTTGTCCAACTTTACAAAAGTGATAGAAGATATTTTTATTTATTTATTTATTTATTTAATCTTCATGCACACACTGTACAAAGGCGGACTTAATGCAAGTGGCATTCTCTACCAGTCAACCTTAGGGTGGTGTAGAGAAAAGTGAGGTAGGTGCACGGATATTACGTGTTGAAGGATAAAATATTATTCATAAAAATAAACATACATAAATATGTATGTTTATTTTTATATTTTATATATTCATATATATATATATATATGTATATGAAAATATATGTATATTACATAAATGTACATAAATATATATATATATCTATATGCATTGATACAACGCAATATGTACTATAAACAATAAATACCTAGTGTATTATAAAACATTTGCAAAAAAAAAAAATTAACGATGAACTGATTCTGCTGACAGTTGTTTAAGCATGCGCTCACGAACTTTGCTTTTAAAAGAATAGCGATTCTTGGCCATCCTGATTTCGAGAGGTAATGCATTCCACAGAAGAATGAGCTGAATAAAGAAAGAAGAATGTAAAAAGTTCGAACGATGAGAAGGACATAGTAAAAGACGATTATGGGTCGAACGCAGGGTTTTATCGCTTTTAGAAGTAAGATATTGAAAGTAGGGAGATAGATAAGATGGGGTAGAAGGGGAAACAAAAAAAGAGTAGAGTGGTTAGTGCTCTTAAAGAACGTCGTTGGCGAATCGGGAACCACTGCAGTTGAGAACGGTATACCGACACATGGTCATATTTACGAAGATTGAAGACGAATCGAATGCAGTTATTCAGAAGTCGGTCGAGTTTATTGAGTTGATCTGCATTCAGGTCAAAGTAGCACACGTCACCATAGTCGATTAAAGGGAAAATCAAGGTCTGCACAAGCATTATTTTAATTTTAGATGGTAAAAAGTTCTTAAGCCGATAAAGATAGCGTAAAACACCAGTAACTCTTTGGCTGACACTTTTAATTTGCTTTTGCCAGCTCAGTGTCATATCAATGATCAAACCGAGGTTTTTCACATTTTGGCTGATAGGAATAGGAGAGTTATCAAAAACTATTTGTGGGATACAGTCAAGATCAACATTTCTTATGTTATGACTACTCCCGATGATAGTGGCTTGGCATTTAGATGGGTTAACAGTTAATCCAAACCTATCAGACCAATTTTTTATGGCAACTAAGTCCTGGTTAACATTATAAAAAGTTTCTTCGAGGCTACCAACAGTGGTCTGGGCATATAACTGCAGGTCATCAGCATAAAGATGATACGCACATTTAAGATCGTGAGATAGATTTATGAAAACAGAAAAAAGAATAGGAGAGAGTATACCGCCTTGAGGAACACCAGCAACAAGATCAAGCCAGCATGATGAGGAATCATCGACATTAACAGATTGTTAACATACCAGTGCTTCATCAGAAACCATGTTGTAGGAGAGGATGGATAAAAGGATATCGTGACTGACGGTATTAAAAGCATTTGAAAAGTCAGATATATGTGTATCTCTACCAAAAAGCTAATATATCAGTAGCACACTTTGTTTCACACTGTATCTTTCTATTCTACATGTGAGCTATTGACAAAGGACACAACATTCAATTCAGTAGCTCAGATATAAAAATTGCATTATCGTTAACAGAATTAGAGCACAAGTGTTTACAGCTGAGTACAAATTCTTTTGTTCAGTTTTGTAAACATTCTACACACAACAAAATTATAGTTTTTTTTTCTTCAAACTTAGCAGCTAAATCTTATTTCGTTTACCTATGTACTTTTTTTTTAAATTAACTTACCAATATTTTTAAATGAGTGTGTTGTTAATGTTATATAATGTCAGCACTTTATTCAACTCGAACATTAATATTCAAATTAAGTTAACAATCAAAACAAAAAGGTATATCAATAAAACCAATGTGATAAATTCTAATTATGTTTATTAACACCAAATTCTCAATACACATTTACACTAGTGCACAAAATTACTCAAGTATGGAAACTCCAGACATGTGGTCGACAAAATTGCCTATTACACTAATTAGAAATACCATGAGTCACTTAGCTACAAGAATACACCTATGCAAACCATGCTGTCAAGGTTTGAACATTGCGGCAAGCTACATTAGTTTTTGCCCCCTAACAACATTCTTCACATAGATGTGAAACTTATACAATAAGAACATATTTATAAAAAATTCAGTTCTGCTGCTCCTTACAATAATGATTACGATGATTCTTAAATGAATTAAATGAGACATTAAAATTAATGTTATAGAATTTACGTCTATTCGAATTACAAATAATTTATAAAGTAAATTAATACTAGTAATTTAAGCGCGCTCGCCGCGGATTCGTCGGGCAAGCTGAATATCTTTAGGCATGATAGTGACGCGTTTGGCGTGGATAGCGCACAAGTTGGTGTCTTCAAACAGACCTACGAGGTAGGCCTCACTGGCTTCCTGGAAATTAAGACATTTTAATGAAAATTCTTCAAAGTTGGTTTATCATGACTTACAATCTTAATGTTTTAATGAAATCTGACCTGCAAAGCGCCAATAGCTGCGGACTGAAATCTGAGATCAGTCTTAAAATCTTGAGCGATTTCTCTCACAAGTCGCTGGAACGGCAGCTTACGGATCAACAACTCAGTGGATTTCTGGTAACGACGAATTTCACGAAGAGCAACAGTACCCGGACGATAACGATGGGGCTTCTTAACACCTCCAGTGCTAGGCGCAGATTTTCGCGCCGCTTTGGTAGCCAATTGTTTGCGAGGGGCTTTCCCTCCAGTGGACTTACGCGCGGTCTGCTTGGTACGTGCCATTTTTCACTGAAACTTAAATAGAGTGTTCTCAAAACAAAATTATAAACACACTTGGATATCTTAACTGTTAAATATTTTGAAGATTGTTAATCAGATATACAGCACACGTATCACAAAAATTTATTATTACAAAGTTAATTTACTGTATATAACAATTTAAAGCACACCTTTTAATACAAATAATACAGAAATACTAATTTTAATACAAAATTTTAACGAGGGTCACAACAATGATCATATGCTCAAAATGGCGTCGAGAGAATGGCGGGCGAACAGTGACGCCAATAATCTTAACGTCGATTGGTTAAGCTGTGAGAGTTTCTGTAGATAGTATTGGTTGAAAAGTGCGCTTCGTGATTGGAGACTTTTCTAACGGATAAATAATAATCGCTCTTATTGGCTAGAGCTCCAAAGATAATGTCGCCAGTAGAAAAAAAAATTCTCATCGAAACGTTGATTGTAAACTTTAAACAAAACCTTACTTTATTTAGTTATTTTTCTAAATTACCTAAAAACATCTTTGTTAAGTTATTGTTACGAATTCGTTATATTAAATTAAAGTTATTCAAATAGAGAATGATTTATTGTCCAGTTATCAAACTATTTTAGAACAACTATTCCAATACAACTTTAAGTATAATTTTTGTTATTTTTATTTTCATGATTTAGAGAATGTTGTTAACTCAATAATATTTAAAAAAATATTTTTTGTTAAAATGTGGTCTCTGAAATTAGGACAGACATTGTACTTAGATGTTTATATTTTGAGTTTCTTTGTTACCCACACATTGTATGACAAAAAATAATGAGAATCGACCTATTTTCCATCTCAGACTTACTTATGCTGCGTATAAGGCAACAAAAAGAGACAAATAGAAAACATAAGACGTGACACTTCTGTCATTGTTGATTATGTTTGTGTGTAATTTTTTGTGCATTGTGCTCTGCTGTCTGCTGTGTGGCTTGTTGATTGAGATAACAGAATACTTTAAGTTCAAGGTCGTCTAAAATTAAAATGTTTATTGCATCTCAAGAAAATTTCCTGCAAGTAGTAAATTATTTTCATTCAATAGCTTTCTAAAATATTTGGTATCACGTGATCATATATTGAATTTTAATTGGTCATCGGTGAGCGTGCCCTGCGCGACGCGAGAGGCGCAATACTTAATAGTTCTCCAAAATGCCGTCGGAATCTAAGCCTTTGTTGACAGCTCAAACAGAAAAACCAAATCATTATAAGTAAATAGTTATTTCACTAGTAGTTTTCTGCAAAAGTGATTGCGCGAAAGGCATAGTTTCTTGTGTTATAACTTTTACTAAGCTCAGGCATGTCGCGTTGCAGATACTTGAAGGAATTCCGAGTGGAGCAGTGTCCATCATTCCTACAGCATAAATGTACACAACACAGGCCTTTCACATGTTTTCACTGGCATTTCAACAATCAGAGAAGAAGGCGTCCAGTCAGGAAAAGAGATGGATCATTTAATTATAGCGCTGATAACTATTGTGCCAAATATAACGAGACGTCGGGAATTTGCGAAGATGGGGATGAGTGAGTACTACTCGATGCTTTGTTATGTACAAGCGGCAGCGTTGTTTCTTTTATTATGGTCAATCCTTTCACATTATTGATTCTTTTCTCCCGAATTATATACAATGCAATTGGAATGCTATAAGAATGAATTCGAAGCCGGTACTTTCCGAAAGTATGGATCAATAACATAAATTATTATTATCCTTCTATGCAGTCATTTTGTTGTTACCTGGATGCATTAGGCGTTTATTCTTATATATTGGGTAATTATTGAGGTTTAGGTAATGGGAATATTATAACATCATTCTTTGTTATATTTTCAGAAACTTGTTCTGAATATTTAAATTATTAATAGGTATTGTATATGAAATCCTTGTTCTTTTTTTTTTGGTTAATTGCAACATAGAATAAGTTTGTAAAAATTATTTATTAAGAAAGATTTTATCAGGATTATACACATAACATTTCCCTTGAACTCAAATTAATGAAAAATCATGAATAATTATTTTTATATAGATTAAGTGTTATTTTCATCCATGAACTAGTTGATATTTTTCTCTAGTAGTAGTAGTAATAACAGCCAATATGTAATAATTATATACACCAATAAAAATAGACAATTTTGTTGGTGCCTACTATACTAACATTATTATTACAGTTTATTTTATTTTAAAACTTCATAAGATATTTTTGAATAAGTACAAGAAAATTTAATGTAAATGTAAATTTGTTTGTACTGTTGCATTATGATGTTACTTAAAATTGCAAATATTCATTCACAACTGAAACAATTTTTTGTATTTGTCCCACATGGGACTTAGACCCTTGATGCTGAGGTCATAGCTGATATTTTTTATGCTTGAAGCTGATATACAAGTCGAGAGTTCAACTGATGTTAAGTCTTTTTTTGTGAAAAGTTGGTAAGCAACTAGGCAGTTCTTTTTTTATGTTAGAAAGTGGTAAGCTACCTGGTGGATCACCTGATGTTATATGACAACCGCCGTCTATAAATATTCCCAACAGCCGTAGGGTTGCAGATGTTAAATAAAGTGGGCCCCTCACCAGACAAAATGCAGAAGTGCAACACTAACTTAACACCAGTCTTCTTTGAAGTTGGGATACCTCTCCATATGGATCTACCAATTTTTGCAACAATGATCACTTGCATGAATGTTACTCATGGACATCTAGTATCCCATTGGTGTGGCATCTGCTTTGTCAACCTTTGAAGTATTGGGTTTACTCAGTTACCCAATTCACTGGTCCTTCCCCCAAGCCTGTCCATATGGGCAACAGTAAAAGCTGTTGTGTGACTGTATCACAGTGATTACTTCCCCACATGTTGCCAACAATATGGGCCGAGTTGTAATTTCCAGTTGGCTATTTCTAACAACAGACACTTGGGTGGCTCTGCCACGGAAAGGAAATCTGAAGAACCTTGTCTATCAATTGTTAATGTAATACAGCAATTTTCCCGTATCACAGGTGTCCATACTTACATAGAACAGCGGGTGACACGGAGCGTCGCTACCACCTGCGATATTACAAGACCTGCATGTGCGTCCACGACACTGACGCCCGTGGGTTGTGCACAAAAAATGGGGCGCACTGCGCTTTCGCCCACGGTGCACCGGACCTACGGCCTCCGGTGCTCGACGTCAGGGAGCTTCAGGCCTTAGAGAACCCGGATGGCGCCGACGGCGACGCCGCCGCACCAAACGCGCTTGACCGGGAACGCAATTTGATGAACGAAGACCCAAAGTGGCAAGGTGCGATGCCTCACTGGCTTTATTATAAACATTTCAATAAAATGCAAACAGTCTCTTTTAATATTGTTGTAGTACATAAAATATTGTGATACATTTTACCTCATTTTATATACAAACTACTTACGGTGCCTTGCTCATTTGCCTCCTCTTCTTAAAAGCCATTACAATATTTATAATATGAAACTGAATACCACACACCTTTATATGACTTAGGTTTGAGGGTATAAAAACATTGAGATTTAGGTCACAAAGAAAAAATGTGATAGAAGAAATAGGAATATAAGTACTTTTTCCTTTGTCTTATGTCCATGATAATTACTCTATAGTCTATATAATCGTTTGAATGATATGTCAAATCCATTTCTTCACCATACTAAACTATTACAACCTTTTAACTTTTTCATGTAATGCCATAACCGTAGTTAATGTATGATTATGAATTTTACATTGTTGTTTTTCATTTCAGATACGAATTATGTGCTATCATCATATAAAACAGAGCCATGTAAAAGACCACCTAGATTATGTAGACAAGGGTATGCTTGCCCACAGTATCACAATAGTAAAGTGAGTGTTATTGTTTTGTATTTTAGATATCATACATAGCTTGAAATATAAATAATATTTACCATAGTGCTATTTAAGTCATGTAATGCTATTTATTACATAATAATATTTGACAAGTTACTTATACAGGGAGATTTTTTGAGAACTGCCCAAATTTACACAGGAGGTTCAGACTTGGTAGTATAATCGTTTATTGAAATAAAAAATAAAGTATTGTTAAAAAAAAACAATGCCATTCTGTTCCCTAAAAAACAGAACGTGTTGACAATGCGGTAGTCATTCATAAATACTTAAATTTTACTGTGCACGAACTTGTGTGCGTGTTAGTTATGAATGATCACGCGTAAAATAAATGAGTTGCGTATAAATCACGCATTTTTTGAGATAAGTTCAAATGAATGTAATTAATTACTTGCAAGTGATTTTAAATATTTATCATTTTTTATATTACATTATTTATGTCTAGAATCTAATAAAAAAAAATGGATACACTTAAAAGCCACCCTGTATATAAGTTACTTATTTCTGTCAATTTTCTTTAATTCATCCTATTTAATAACACTAACATTTTCTATATTAATGTAATATCAACCTATGCAAGAAACGTTTTGTCTTTATAAAGTTAGTAACAAAATAGAATCTGTAACATTTAAGTGTTTCATTAATTTTGACAAATTTATAAAAGCTCTATAGAGACAGTTCAGCTGAAAGATTTTAAGACTTTTTATGTGTAGAATGTGAATTGTTATAGGTAAATGGTCAAATACTTACAACAATGCGGGATTAGAACCTTCTTTTTTTAACATGCTTTTTGGGGTAGCTAAGTGGCCAATGATCGCATCCGCCGTGAGACGCATGTTCGAGTCCCGCAGTGTCGGAAGTTTTCGTCGATTATCTAACATATATTTACATTGTCAGTTGCTTGTTGAGTGGAGGAACTGACGCTAAAAATAAAATTAATCATAAATCTATTTATGCATTGAAGTTTCATTCAATTTGGCACTCTTTTAACAGCTTTAATAAAAACCCAGGGCGTTTTAGGTGTATAGAATATATAAGAGAACTAGCGTACCGGACAGGCGTTGTCCTGTACACACGACTTAAATTCGACAACTTAGAAATAAAAAAAAGTAGTGGACCGAATTGTGAATTTAAACCATTCTCGAATCGACCTGACGACACACAAAAAAATTCTCCGAAATCGGTCCAGCCGTTTAGGAAGAGTTCAGTGACATACACACGTACAGAAGAATTATACAGCGTGTCTTTACAATCGCGACAATAAATGAACACACATATAGAGAATAACTTTTTAAAATTGTATTAAACATTTACTTTCTTTAAACATCAATATTTACCGAGTTATTAAATTTTCCAAAACAAAGAATTTTAGAACAACCTTACGTATAAAACTGTAACGTAAAGTTCATTTGTAAAGGTCACAAAGCATGTGAATGAATTTAAAAGAGACAAAACATACTGTTAGAAGGATAGTTTTGTAATGCGACGCTGTGGCAACTAATGAAAAAGTCTCTCAATGTATGAATCTGTCAGTTGTAGTTGTATAGGATGTTACAAATTTTGTATCTTTTTTACTTAATTAGTTTGTTTGAAAAATATTTTTTTTTAATTATGGATTTTTTAACGTTATTATTTTTTTATTACTATTGGCTAGTAGCGTTAGACGTGTGTTCATTTATTGTCGCGATGGTAACGACACGCTATATATATAAAGATAGAGGGTGTAGCACTTTTTAATTCGTTCGCAACGTTCCAGGACAAGCGCAGATCACCGCGCAAGTACAAGTACCGCAGCACGCCGTGCCCCAACGTGAAGCACGGCGAGGAGTGGGGCGAGCCGAGCAACTGCGAGGCGGGCGACGCGTGCGGCTACTGCCACACGCGCACCGAGCAGCAGTTCCACCCGGAGATCTACAAGTCGACAAAGTGCAACGACGTGCAGCAGGCCGGCTACTGCCCGAGGGGGCTGTTCTGCGCGTTCGCCCACGTGGAACGTGAGTGCGAGGCTTTAATGCTATGCGAAAGGGGTAGGCAGCCGCGACAGGGTTGCAGAAGTTTTTACTTACTCTGGATAGAAATTATTGGCTCTTATTGACGTTTTCGTGAGAAAAGCAATAAAATATTGATATGAAAAAAATTAAAATATTGCATTCTCCCATGCCAGAACGTAAGTCCATAAAAATCAATTACAAATAATGTATTTAAAGTGAAAGTGAGAGCAAGTGTTACATTTTCAAAAAAATCACTCTTTCCAAACAGCGGAAGATCTGACCGCGGGCCGCGACCTGAGTGCACCGCTCGAGTGCACCACCAACCTGGCGGAGCTGCTGTCCTCCGCCATGCCCGAGAAGCGCGCTCCCTCGCCGGCGCCCCACGCCCACACCAACGGCGACGAGTGCGCCTCCACGTCGAGCGGCGGCTCCGCCCCGCCCCGCGCCTACGACGACAAGTTCGCCTGGCACCCGAGGAGCACCTTCGACGCGACGGTCCTCCAAGAAGTGGTGGGCAACGCGCTCGACGACCTGCACCTCGACGACCCGCTCAATCTGGTCGCGTCGCTGGACCGCGACCTCTCCGACGGCGAGGGGCTGCTCGGCGGCTCCGCGCCCGTCAACATCCCGCGGCCGGCGCTGCGCGGCTTCAGCCCGCCCACGGGCGGCTCGCCCCTGCCGCCCTTCCTCCGCTACGCGTCCAACGAGGAGCGCCTGTTCAACACGCACATGAAGGCGGGCAGCTTCGGCGCGGCGGGCGCGGGGCCGTTCGAGCTGCTGGCCGCCTCGCCGTCCGCGCCGGTCGAGCTGTCGCGGCTTCGCGAGGAGGTGGTGGCGTCGCGCGCGGCCGCCGCCCGCTGGGATGAGCGCATCGCTCAGGCGCGCTCCGCCTGCGAGGCGTGGCAGCGCGAGTCGGACGAGGCGCAGCGCAAGACGGCGCTGGCGGAGCGCCAGAGGGACGAGGCGCTCGCGCACGTGATCACGCTGCGGCGCGAGCTGGACGCGGCGCGCGCCTCCAGCGGCCGCCGCGAGCTGCGCGGGCTGCCCCTCAACACGCTGAAGGCCATGCAGGCGCAGACGCGCGCCGAGCTGGAGGAGATCGAGAAGGTACTGTACCTGGAGACGGCCACCAAGTGCATGGTGTGCGAGGAGCAGCCGCGCAGCGTCACCCTGGCGCCGTGCAACCATTACGTGCTGTGCGACGGGTGCGCCGCAACCGCCAAGGAGTGCCCTTATTGCCAGACGCCCGTGCAGCACCACCAATAGACGAAGCGCCGGGCGGTTTCGATGTAGTCTCGCTGCGGACGCACAGTCTGCGCCCTCGTGGTCGGCTACTCTGTGTGCAAAATTTCGTTTCACCCATCCCCGGGCGGGCCAGACTCGCATGCGGTTCCCCGCAAATGGTAGGTATGTAGTTGTAAAGCATCTACTGTTGGTCGCTCTCTACTCATATTTTGTCTCAATAATGTATTGGAAAAAAATGTTCTGGTGTTTTTCTAATGATCTATATCTCTATGTGCAAAAAAGAAATATTAAATAAACTAATGATATTTTTATATATAATGGGTAGAATGTGGTCAGATGAGATATATCATTCGATAATAATTATAGTATATTTAATTTTAGCATAAAGAGCAAGACTTATACTGATAAATATATTGAATGAAATTAAGGAGCATGTTGAACTAGGATTTTGCAAATTTACTGCCACAGTTATGTATAGTTTGCGTAGGATGTTCCATTGATTACTAAAAGCAATAATGAAGGTGTGAAGCAGATTTAAACTCTTTGAGAAATTATACTACCTGAGTACATTTAAAAGAGAAATTATAGATTTGTATATTGTTATGGAGTGTTTATTCACTTTTTGATACAATAGTAAATTAGTATTTGCAAATGCTATATATATGTTATTGAATAATAAACATAAAATTATATATAGCTTGAGTACAGCTGTTTGAAATAAATTTATTGTCTATGGTGATTGAGCATTTTACACCAAAGCTATAGAACTATCAATTAAAAGTTTAATGTGCAGTTGAATACATTTTTATATTTGACTATTCTAATATCAAATAAATATTTTTCGTAAATCAAGTATTCTATATTTAGTGCATGGTTACACTTTGTAGTGGTTTATAATGTTATGGTATGCCTGTATTAGAGAACTTATTGCTTTGTCTTTGGAATGTACAAAGACTTGTAGGTTTTTCTGAGATCTTATCTTAAACATAACTGATTATGGCGATGCTTTGGTCACTTCCAATTATACATTCATACTCAATAGATCAAATAATCACTTTGTAATTTCAACCGAAATGTTTATTATTGATCAAAGCATTGCAACTCTGATACTAGGAATCAAAAATGATATTATAAAGGTTTCAAGAGTATGCTTTAGTTTTGTAATTATGCAGATTTTGCGTATACATTTACGCCTATCGATGTACTATTTTACTAAAACTTATAGAGATTTTCAACATGAAAACTTTAATAACACTTTTAACAACATATAGGAATTTTGCTGTCTGTATGCAATGTTTTAAGTGATAGTTGTTACTTGTTATTTTTTTTACTATTTACTAATCAGCAAAACTTGTTTGTAAGGATGTGTGACTGTCGGGTAATCTTTTCTTTTATTGTTTCCAAAGCACAATTGTTCTTGCATGCAATTAGCTAACTAAGGACCAATAACATAACGAATTTTACACAGTGTGACGCAATTATAGATTCAACAAGTGGTACGACTTTTTCTAGTGTTGCAATTTTAGTGGTACCAGATGGGTACATTTCTTTTTAGATTTTAGTGCATTTTATGTGTACATTCCCATTGACTTCAAGGGTCACTGTTGTAGTAGGTGACAGATGTATTGAACTGTATTGCATTTAGTTTCGAATTTTTTATTGTAAGCATTTTGTTTACAATGTTCACACAAGTCATGTACACATATAATTTATCCTGGCAACACTTTGTATTTAAAATTAACTAATAACTTTTATATGGTAACATTCAAGAGTTAACCTCATGTTTATTAGAAATTATACATGTCTTAAAACGTGAGATTTTTTTATAAAATCTATTTTTCATTTTAATACTATAACCTATTTATATATTTTGAAGGTTTAAATCTTGATGAGGGTTTTTTTTTGTATCCGCATATTATATTAGCGATAACAAATTTAATATTTAGATTATTACTTAGTCGTAAGTAGCGTTTTCAAATTGTAATGGACTTTGTATTTTAAGTGTGTAGTAGAAGCGCATTGTTTGTAATCGGAAGCAATACGACTCAAGGCCGCCGCTCATTGGAATTTTATAAAAATATTAGCTATATTAAATTTCACCATGCCTTTAGGGTGCGCAAAACTTAAATGCGGCTTCAAATTTCGCCCGAGACATTGTACGGTGTATTTAATATCAATAGTCCTATGCAGGTTGCGGGAAGAGGTATTTATTAACGCTCGTTCGCGCCAAATCGCTTTCTGTCTCGCTCGCGCAACTTTGGTGAGAGCGAGATAGAAAGAGAGTGTAAGATCAGTATTGGGAACATTCTTTTTTTATCTATGAGTTCTATTAAGCCAAAACCACCAAGCCATTTCTGCTCTCGATGGTACAATTTCAACCTAGGGAATTTAAGTTTTGCGCGACCTTTATACTTTAACACATTGTGTTCCCCAGTTCTGATAGATGGTACAGTCACGGACAACCTTGCCGAAATGTGTGGGCAGTAATCCCTCTGTGACCCTTGTTTTTGACGTGTAATAGCTATAAAATAAACCCTTGTATCACACCACTTTGACGAGTTACTAAAACATTAACTTAGCTTGTTTATCTATGTTGTATAATAATTAACAGTGTTCATTGTGGTATACATTGAAAACCGCCAAAGAAGTGAAATTAACTACGTCCATATATTTTTTAATTAGATTGCATGAATCTTTTGAGTGATTTTTGTAATTATTTAGTATAAAATATTAATAAAAAACTCAAGTTTTACAAAATTATATAATCGATTATACATAAAATTTAATATTAAAACTTTTAAGAACAAACAAGTTATAACATAAAAACAATGTGCAGATCAGTCCAATCTTTAATATTCTATTACAAAACTAAGCTCAGTGTCTCTTTACAAATTCTTATAATTATGTTCCATCGCAATGCAACTTTTAGAAGAATCCAGAAAGTAGTTAAGTCGTTTCGTTTTTTGTTATAAGCAAATTTGAAAACTTAAAAAAGATTACTTTAATTTTTTTCTATTGTTCATGATTGTGTATAAAACAGACTCAAAATTCGAATACGCTCATCAATTTGTCATTGGAGGGGTTACTGTACCTAACATCGTAATTTACTCCAGAGGTGGATTCTTGATCCGGTGGTCTAGAGCAGAGGGTCCCAACCATTTTTGCATCTTCTCCTTATGGTAAAGCACCTTCGATCAAAGATCTAAGAATTTACGGATTTTTATCGCTCACAATAATCATGGTCGTCTTACTGCGGCCGAAACTAGTGTGCTTCGCCCGACTGAGGAGTGGTGGAAAAATGTGTGGGATGGTTTAATATTAAGTGATTCTATGCCCGGCTGCTAGAATACTCGCTGTCGTGCGCAGCGCGGCCTAATCGTCACAAAACGTATGAGTTGTGGAGTCTCGGTGTTTCGAAGCGTTGTGTGTTGTGAATAAGCAAAGTGTCCTGTGTGATCATCGCCTATAGTAGCTTTCTAGTGTTTGTATTTTCGAATTATTTAAAAAAAAAATTAGACGTGTATTAGAATCCACATTATTTTTATATAGAATCTTTATCACATGGAGAACACCTTCATCGATAAATTTATTGGAAGAAAATCAAGATATTTATATGCGACATGTGTTGGACTTAGTTTTGAGCATTTCTTTATTTACATAAATAGCGATGCGATAAGCGATATAATACGAAAAGATATCTTCTTTCTTCTTGCGTTCTGATCTCGTATGTTTCGAAATAGCGTCGCGCCGGAAGCAAACTTGCTTTTACTGGATCGGGTGTTTTATCTTCGTTTTATTCAACATTTCTGTACTAACTCAGTAATAGCAAAGTATTAGAAATTGAACCTGTATTCATAATATGCAAAGATCTCGAGTATTATTTTTCTATTTAAAATCGAATAACTGTCAAATTTATTGAGGCGCCATTTTGAGAAATCCTAAAAACAAAGTAGTGGTGTTGTATCAGAATTTATGGAAGGATTTATTAGAATTTAACATGTATTGCTCGCTTTAATGATATACGCTAAACTTTTCGGATGCTTTTGCTACTTCACAATGATTGATTGGATTTGAAGATTATGAAGACCGCACCGTTCCGCCTTTTTGTACATTGACGCGACCTCTCGTTGTTTTATTGATGATTATTATTGTTTAAGCAATTATTTACCTTCCCTTTAAATACGAATCGATCTTTAGAGTTCGCATTTTGTTCTAGTTTATTGTTTAGGACCAATTTTATTTTGTCCGTTTTAATTTGTTTGTTGCTAACGAGTGGCAACAGCTTTTTTTATATAATGATATATTACATATATTTTAAAGTAATTTTTTTTTCAATTATTTAATCTTAGGTAGGTAGGTCCAACAAATTTTTTCAAATTATAATTGTTAATTAGAAATAGATAATGTTATAGTAGGAAACCAATTTGCATTCACTCTCGCGAAAGATCAAATGAATTATGTTATTATATTTATTACTCGGCATTCAAAGCTTCTAATAAAGTCATAGTAGATATTTTTTAAAAAGCAATTTACTAACTAATTTCAAATACATCAGTTTCAAATCCATGTGATACAAACATGTAACAGAGATGTGAAGATTATAATTATTCTAGATAGGTAGGTTTAATAAATTTTAAATTCCATTCAATAACATAAGTGTTTCATTTAAAATTTCCCTTAATGGCTCTAATTGAATTTACCCACATTGTCACATGGGGCCAACTATCATCTTTACCTACATTGTCACATGGGAACCTTCCGGAACGCGGGGCCGACTAACATCTGTGTTTAACCTTCCGAAGTCGTGACCCCCACTAGGATGAAAAAAGGTCGAAATTCCTCGCAATAGTTCCGCAGGTGACAATTCCTCCTTCGGTTTTGGGCCCTACCCAACAAAGAGAATGTAATCACTACGTTTAAGAGACGGGACTTCCATACTAGCCAAAAATATCAGTTTACAGTTTACAAAAATACCGCAAACAACAGGAGTACCAACGTAACGAGCCAAATAGTGCTTA